TCAACAAAATATTTAATTAGCTATTTTGAGTAATTCGACAAAGCTCGAAATGTTTATTTGGATTTTGCTCTGGAATATTTCGACATGACTAAATGATGTAATCCGGTAAAATTTCGACGGAGCACAGCCAATTAACGGGGAACGTACCTAACGAATAATCTAGGCAATTATATTGCTGAATTTAATTAGAATAACCACCGCACAAACTGGCATGTTTGGTCCGATTGATTTTCCGCGGACGTTAATCTAAGCACGCTCATAACATGTAATAAGAACAATTTAAAATTGAACACTATTTGGAATTTGTAGGGCACAATACCCTCGATAAACGGGCTGCAACTCCTCGAACGTCGGCTATAAATCAAACAAATTAAAGTGCTCGCGATAGTCCTACGGTCAATTAAACTTATTGAAATTTAATTAGGGAGCGAAAAACACTTCCATTAACTTTATTACTCCAACTTTTTTTCCGTTTCTCTTTCAGAAAGATATACTACTTTTCGAGTATATACAAACCGATAGACTAGAGGTCGTTGTGTATTTGTCACTTCTCTACCGTCTGAAATTCTTTGTTTTTTTTGTTGTATTGTATTCGTAAAGAGTGAAACTTATTAAGAACAGTTCGGAACAAATCAAATTAACGTGACAACGTCGCCTTTAATAGGCATCGCTGTTCCAGATGGGCGAGGATCCTCTACCTACCCGATATCCTATATAAACAGAGTCCTGAGCGATAATTATAATTTTGTATCTAAATCGAGCCTATTTCCAAAGCAAATTACGAAATCAATGACGACGATAAGCCTAATAGAACCTGATGCCCTGGTAATTAATACGAGATATTAAAGGACAAACACAAAAGGGTCCGGGATAGGGCTTCCTGCTAAAAGACGCCGGGGCAAAGGTTCGAAATTACAAACAAGTAATTAATACTATAGAAGTGTACTTGATGATGGCGTTTTACTTACTATGAATATAATAATTATTGAAATGAAGGTCGGGAACGAGTGGGAAAAGGGGTTGAAGAATGCGACGAACAATCCCCTCAAATTAATATAAATTAAAATGAATATTTCATTAATTTGCACAATTAAACATATTTTCGGCACGACAAAATGAACGATGAATAATTTATGAAAGGACCCTTGATATGCATATTTCTTGTTTTATTCGATACTTATTAGTATTTCGGTTCGAACATTCGATATAATGTTATACAAACATTTCTGAAATTATTAAACGACGAACTATACCAGCCGTAAAATTAATTTCGATAGGTTACATCCATATATAGACATGGCCCTACTAATTGAACCGAAACTTTGTTTTCCATACAGATTACGCCGAGTTCGAAGTCATAATTGCCGTAAAGACACGCTAGAACAAGATACAAAACTGTTTCACTTAATTGATCTAATTTGCGGAAAATGAAACTTTTGAGAATTAACAACCGGTAATAGTAGGCAAGTTTAAGAGGAACGTACTATAGTTAATTGGGGTTTCGTTTGAGGCGGAAACGGCTCGTGTTTCATGCATTAACGATTAAACATTATGGAAATATTTTTTATCTATCTATTCTACATACCACAGCAAATGTATTTTGTACCACAGCAAGTGTATTTTCAGTGGGGTAGTTGGTATATATTTTGAGAGTTATTTTAATAATTTTTGATGTTTTCATCACTGTATCAAATTTTGTACCGTTAGAAAGCCTCCGTTTTTCTTTAACTTTGTCTTTAACTTTTTAGGCTGCACTTCCATGGCGCAAGAAACCTAGTAACTTGGTTGGTCACGTGTATTCTTGGGTAATTAACACATATTTGGGGATGTTATTGCTTGAGAATACACGTAGCTGACAAGTGGCAACATCTTCAATTTACTAAAAGAGGAATCTTCAAAGCGACCTGCAGCAATGAAGATATCGAAAATGGTTGTACCTAATTTATTTGTATACCTATATGCATGTGCTTTTATGAATGCTTTAGAAGCCCTTTCAGCTAGATTTATGTCTTGTTAATAAATATGTAATGTAATTAACTCCATAATCCTATCTTCTCGAGTACCTTTGTAATATCGCCGTGTTTGTACAAGGCTTATAATTAGGTATTCGCCCGTTTTATTTTCCTCTTTCTCGAGCGAAACTTGGATTAATTCGAAAATAAAAACTCCTTCCCGTTTTGGTCGTATTTACAAGATATCCGGTGTTTTCGACCTCCTTTTTTAAGGTCGATTAAAGAAGAAACCCGGTGCTGAAAAAAAAACCTGGAATAACTGAAGCGGCGCTCGAGCGGGTCCGGGGTCTATTCCCGTTCGCGTTCGGGTCTCTTTTCAGTCATTCTTTTCGCCACATTTGGGACAATAGTGTGCTTAATGACCGCAAAGCGGTCGTTCAGAAGTAAATGTATTGTTGAAATAATTGTGTGTTGTTGTTGTTCGCTGGAATTAAATAAAGCTCCTCTAAAGTACCAGACCTCGGGCGAATTTTAAATTTAATGAACACATTTCCGTCGGGAGGAAAACTACAATATTTAATAAAAAAATACACCTCCGGAAGACTCCGCTTTCGCATAAATCAGTACACAATATTTCGACTACGAGTAGAAACATTTCGAGACCCAATTAGGCGAGGTAACATACGATAAGGGGCGATGTCAAAAGAGACTCAATAAAAGAGGCATTAGAGCAAACGATTTTTCGTTTGCGAACGAATTCTCAAGCAAAATACGAATGTCGGCCAATTACGTTTTTTTCCCTTTTGTGTTCGCGTATACCCGAAGAAATTTTATGGAGATTAAAATGACGATCGTTATACAAATTGCTTTTATGCTCATAAGTCGACTTATCAATTTTATCAATCGCATCGCTCGCATCGTTCGAATTAAGCCTTACGTACACTTTCTGCTATGTACCTATATAGGGAATGATTTTTTAATATACCATCTTTAACTAGCTACTTATTTAGAACAAGTATATACAGAGGGTAGGCGATATCCCAAAAAAAATTGGAATAAGTTCATTTTCAGCAACATGGTAATACCAGATAGTTTAAGTTTATCGTGACATACCCTGTATATCAATTTTTTATCTATTTAAGAACATAAAAGTAATCCTAAAAGCCATTAATAAACGGTATTAGCGAGTACTTAACAACTTTTTGAAATGTAATCTTTTAAAACTGGTTCAAATACACACAACCAATCCGCATTGTTACAGAAATTTATTCCATTAAGACACCGAAAACTTGATTGCCGTAAAGGCATCATTCATTTCGCCGGGTGAAATCTTACCCGGAAATTCGGATTAGGTCGTATCGGAATTAAATGACGTTCGAAACACAAATACAGATTTTCCGGGCGTTTCGTTAAGCGCAATCCATTTTCCAAGTTTCTGCCATTTATAGGGGGAGACGGGCGATATAAATCACCGCGGCGAAAACGTACATTATCGAATTGATTAAACAATTTTCCACCTCATGATGTTACAATCGGGGTGCTCGAACAAGATTACGAAATTTTCCGGCGGTCACGTTATAAACGAGCAGGTCTCGCCTAGAATGGCATTCATCAAAGTTTTTGATGGTTGAAACAACAGCGCGCATCGAATTTTAAATCCAATATACTACCCATTATATTTACACAAATTCATCCTTTTCGAGAATAAAAATTACCAAATTGGAGAGTCAATAATATTTTTTGGTAATCAATATTAAGAAAAAATTATATTGTATAGAGTTGGATCACTTACAAAAATCTTGCAACCTGCAAACACTCATACACTTCAAAATCGTTCTAAAATCTCTTGAACTGCTTTCTCTAAAACCCCCACAGGAACCGCTTTAAAGTTCCTCTAATAACGCTTCAAAATTGCTCTAAATACGCGCTTCTAAACTGCACTAAAATATCTTAAAACCACCACAAATCCACCCGCCTCTAAAGCAACTCTAGTTATGCTTCAAAAACCGCTTTAAAACCGCTCTACAACCGCTCTCTCGCCGAAGAAATGCATTATTCATTTAATTTTTGAAAAGGTAACAAAGTAACAGTTTCCACCTTTTTAAATGACTTGTAATTATGTAGTTCCATTTTTATAAAAATTTGTAATTGTTTAAATATTACTATTTACAAGCTCTATGTACAAATATGGTTATATTTAATCGCTTTACTGCGTTACAACAATAAAAATTTTCCTATTTTCATCGCCTTCATTCGCCTCTCAACGCGCACTATTGGGGATTTTCGGGCCGCCCTTCGGCGGTGGTGCGATATAATCGAGTTTTTATACACAACAAACAGCGATAGTTCGTTATTATGCAGGAGACAAGCGTTTCCTGCAGCGCGAATATGAAATAAGGCGTATGCTAGCGTGTGAATAAAAATTAATTGAAGCGACAAACGGGTGCCTCGCGACGGAATGCGGCGATCGAAGGGCGTTCGAAAGGTAATAAAAAATTAAAAACAATTTGCTGGAAAGCGGAGAAAGTTAACCAGGAAATATAGTCATAACAATAGGCTTAAACTATTGTGGTAAATTGATGTAGAAATCAGTATTATAAAAAAGTCTTAACGATATATTTATACTAGAATATTGATCTACTTTATCTACCTACTGATAATTAAGAGGTAAATATTGTACTACTGATGCAATATTTAGTTATAAAAAAAACCCAGTTTTGCGCGAATCCGCAATAGTACTGATAACGAAAAGCCCTTTAATTTTTACACAAAACCTTCCAGTTTTTATATTTAATTACGCCAACCTAAAGCCTTGTTCGCCGCCATAAATCCCGGCGCATCGTCTTCTATGGCCGGGCGCTAACAATCTCATATTCAGGTGCTAACGACGCCGTTTTCGGTAGGGTTACCGACGGGCGTCGGGGCGGTGATTGATGCTGCGGCCCCGGCACTTTTACAAACTCTCGCATACCCGCCGAGGCGAGGCGATAACCGACCGATGATGGATCAGTATCTGACGTGTGTTTATGGAAAACGCAGGGAAGGGACGCCGAATTTCGCGGTAGATAAACCGCCCGATATTTAACCTGCTAGTTGAAATAACGCTAAATTTATTATATCACATATAGTACTCATTAATACAATGAAAAATCTCGCTTTGTGTCACTTTGCGAATAAATTAAACAGTACATCCTGAATTTCTAGTAGGCTCTTGCCTCTAGTATCAGGCACGAAGAAATAAATAAACATACTACCTATTATACAATTCAGAGAATACAACCATAAACACCAAGCCAATCCGATCCTCTCCATCAACAGCGGCAACGAAAATACAGCTATAGTCATCACAATTCCGCTAACCACCACTATAATAGAATTAGCAGTGGCTTTCACTTGATCGACGAACACTTCATTCATAATAGCTAGCGGAACAGTGGCGGTGCCCATTACATTCAAAAACATAAACAGATTTAACCCGCAAACGGGCACCCAAACGTACTCCTGCGTCATCGCCGGATTATGCGACTTTACGTAGAAATAAAGCCCGGTGAGAATTAGTGGTACACTACTGGAAGATACGGCGAATAGAATGGTATTCCTGCTGCCCAATTTTTCCACGCACATCGATGCAAAACCGTAGGACACCACCTGCAAGACGGCGACGATCACCGCCAGCGTGCTGCTGCTTAGTGAAGATCCTGCGGCGTCGAAAATTGGCTGCAGGTAAGCGGTGAATGCAGTTACTCCGGACGTGGCGAATAGAATGTAGGAACCCAATGCCACCACCAGCCCGTTCCTGGAACATCTGTCGGTTAGAATCCTGGAGCAGCCGCTTTTGCTTTTGCTCGTGTAAGTTTCCTGGAGTTCGCGTTGGATTTTCTCGATTTCCGTTCCGATTTCCTTGGATGTTTTGTTCCTGATTTTGCTCAGCACGCTTCTCGCCGCCGCCAGATTCGATAGTTTGACTAGATAAACCGGGGTTTCCGGTACGGCGAGTAAAAAGCAGAAAGCGTTCAACGCCGCTGGTACCGCGCAAATTAAATTGAAACTCTGGAAGGATACGTACGAGCCTATTAAGTAGCACAGGACCGTTCCTATAGGGCAACCCGTGCACACCATGCAGGAGATTTTGCCTCTATTGTGATCCTCGGCGATTTCGCCGATGAATATCGGCATTACAACGCTGATGGCGCCCATTGTGGTGCCGCAGAAAAACAAACCTAGGTAATAAACGAGGATGTTGGAGGAACAGGCCACGACTGCCATCGAAATCGCCATGACCGAATACACGGCAGTAAGGCACTTTTTACTGCCGTACAAGTCGCAAATATTCGCCACCATCAGAGCCCCGACGAAGATACCCATCGGCTGGAAGGCTCCCAGCAGCGATAACTGCATCGTTGTGATCGGAGTAACCAGTGGGTTATCCTGCGTGTTGTTAGATAGGAGTTTGATCGACATCGGGGAGACCCAAGCGAACATCAAACCGCAGGTTATTTGAGCTAGGTTTGCTGCAGCAAATAAAAATGCCATAACAACAATGAAGTGGAAATTGATTGAGTTGAGAAGAAAGGAAACAGTAAGTATAATTAGAAAATAAAATAATCAAATGAATACTTACAAGATAGAGCGCAAAAATATAAATAAACAGTCTTCCAATTATTGTTTTCAGGATGCAATTTGTGCGTATTGTGAGCAGTGCAATCATCTCGAAGCGTTGATTTATAAACAACTTCGACTAATTGATGTGAAGATTTTTCATTTGTGCAACAGTCCATTTTAATTTTATTTTAATTTATATAACCTAACTAAATATTCGCGATTTCGTTTTATACCACTAAATTATCTGCTGTATTGACTATACGTCATTAAAGGATTGCCGCATGTTTGCACGGCGATTTTAAAATATAAAATTAAGCGGAGAACGACAAGTTTTGGATTTGATATGTATGTGTACTCGAAATTAGGGAAATATTTGTTTACATGATGTACGTTTTTGAAAAAAATTCTTTAGAAAGGTCATTATTAGGGTAGGAATCCATGTATTGTGTAGAAAATTATAAAGAAAAAATTATTTTACTTCATTTTGTTTAGCAATGGATAAGTTACTGTGACAAATACACTAAGGAAGAATGGGAATAAGCGAGGAATAGGAATAGGAATAGGAATAGCGAATTGCACTTTAGTAAGAAAATATAAGCATACATTATATTATTTATCCAGGTATACAGTGTGTCCCTGGATGCAACTGAGGAGAGGAAAAAGGTCGTTATTATTAATTTTCAGAAAAAAGTAATTCTGTATAAAAAGTCCTGTTTACTAAAAAAATAGTTAGTCGGATGTAATATACAGTAAGGCCCTTTTTACTGCTGTATATTTCAGTATATTTCGCAAAATAAAGCCAATGGGATTTTCCAATGAAAAAAAATCCCAGGCCAGAGTAAATATTTTTGATTGTTTTGATTTAAATTCAGGTGTTAATAATGCAGCTTAATAATGTTACGTAGGTTCTCCAGTCTGCAAAATATTATAGTTTACAATGAATTTAAATATTTATTTTACCCACACTAGACTCTTATGTTGGAAGCAAATAAAACTATTTTTGGCTTATTTGAACATATTTAAAACAATTTACATGCACTCCTGCAATATGATAGACTTGCTATTGCATCATTTGCGGTAAATTCAATGATTATTAAATATTAGTTTACACATTTATATATCAATTACTCATAAATAATAAGTGCTTAATAAGGTCTTAAGTTGTCGGTATATAAATTAAAGACGATTACATGAGAGTATATTTACAGAGCAATGATGAAGGCAGGTAGGTAATATTTATTAACAAATTTTAACAAACGAGCATTTAGTTCAATTACGAGTAGATAGATAATACATTTCATTCGCGACCATATTCAATATGCGGGAATTTTGCGTAAACAAAACAGTATTTATACTGCAAATATTCCAATATTCTACCTCCTCCATTTAAATTACTGCATTATAAAATCTGCAATTTTATTTTTACAAACAGAATCCAATTAAGTTCCCATTCGAGCGTTCGTTTATTAAAAACCTACATAAACGGGACACTTTTTCAATGCGACCTCCACATATACTATTTATTTGAATATAAAAGTAAACGCAATATTGACCAACTTTATTTTTTTACATTTGTGGGCAACAAATTCAAAATTATCAGAATTTAAATTTTCATCGTAGGAACTTCATTACAACAATTATTACTGAATTTTTAAGCACCCATAATTGTTACTGAAAATGGTTATTAAGTAATATTTAATTAGGGAAAAGTACACGATCGAACAACGGGTAGAAATTGCGAAATTTCACTTTGTTATTGTTATTTCTAGTAAGGAGGGCAATGTCAATTAGCCACTAAGATCATGTGGCCTTTTTTGTGGCATTTTTTCCTAAGGGGTTATCTTAAGGATAGAATCTGTATCAATTAAACTAAAACTAAATAGAAGAAACTAATTGAACTGATTAAACTGAAACTAAAATATGAAATTCGCTACAATATCATCGGAATTTTTACATGGAAAATATAGAAAATATCATTAATAAGATAAAAATGGTATAAAGGTAAAAGAATCATCATTTTTCCAATGCTTTATATCAATATAACCTCCACGTGTCTACTTTCTAAACCAATAAAAACGTCGTAAGCAATGAAAAAAAAATGTGTTTTATGAAAGATTTAAAAAACGCCAGTTACATTCGAGGCACCCGATATATTAGTGCAAGGTAAACGACGCCGAGCGAAAGAAGCGTCGCGATGCACGTCGAAGGGTTTTTATCACAGTCCGCAGGCCTTCCAGACCACTGATCGCGTTCCGGAGTCATCCGGTCGAAGAAACGGAACGCGAACCGACCTGCCGGTCGCCGATACGCCGCGAAATTCACTTCATCCCCTTCGACAAAAGGGCTTTTATTTTCGATGTCGGGAGAATCGACTCGATTCCGACGACAAAACCGCCCGGTTTTTTTTTGCGTAACCGAAAACAGGATCCTTCCGGTGACGGGTCCCCTCGAAAGTCGATTTTAGTGAAGCGGGCGCGCCCGATAGTAAGAAGTCCCCGGAGGGCGCCGTTCGTAATTAGATGGCTCAAAGAGAGCAATCCCGACTGCAATCGGCGAACGCACTAATTAGAAATAGGTTTCAGGAGCAGATCATCGCTTCCTCTTTCGACGTTTTTAATCGCCTTCCCCGTTTTACGCCAAGCTATATCGCCGTTCAAAGTTTAATCGAACCAACCATTATACCGAGAAAAAGGCGTAAATTATATTTAACGCACTCATATTACAATAGAAAACCAATACTTGATAATAAAACTTTTTCAACTCCTCGTGACACACACTGTACATTTAACATCCAAGTAAAAAACCTCGTCTTTCGAATGAGGCAGTCGTGAAGGGGGCTTAGATTTTCCGGCTCCCCTGGCTTGTTGGGCATCGGTCGAGAGAACCAGAACGCAACAATCGAACGAAGGAGCCGTGATGCAGGAATAAAATTCGATATAATACTAAGAAGGAAGCCTCGGACTTCGGAATGCCGTCGGTGCGACAGCGTAACGATTTTCGTGCGAAGCGCCGCGACGCCGGGGCCCGCAGAGCGCGAATTCGGGCGTTAAGGATTCGAGAATTCCCTTGCATTCCTGAATGTAGATTACATGTCGCTTTATATTCCCGAACGTTGCCGGGACTTTTTCAACGCCGATACAGATTCGAGGAATCCGGCGGAATTTTGAATAAATGAGGCGGCGGTTCGCGGGGAAAAATTCGCTTATACGGATCGATTAGCGGCGGATTCGATGCCGAATGCAGGTGAGTGGCTTTCGCGAATGTGATCCGGTAATTACGCGTTGGTATCGATTGCGTGTGTACGCGATGCACCCGAAGACGAGCCGGCGAAGTCGCTAACAGGATAATTTATACTCCTATAAATTCTAATTTAGCGAAACGATCAACAACTAAACACCATCATTAGCGTTGTCGTGCACGCACGTTATTGCCGAGCCGAGTTAATAATATAATCAGTTAAAATTGGAATAAATAAATGTGCGGAATAAGCCTTCCGATCGAATGGAAATTTCAACGAAACTTCTGGACTATGAATAATTCGTCAACATCATAAAACTCGCGACTGGATTTTCGGGCAGGGGGTATAACTTATTATACGTTCACCTCTCGTCGCCACTATAATTGGATATTGGATATTTTGATTTACCGCAACGCAAATTGATGATATAATTTGTTTTCCGTATGTATTTACATTTTAATTGTGAATAATAACAAATGGCGGTTGTCGATTTTGATGACACTCCCCGGGGTATTAACCGGCATGTTTATCTTAAAAGTTCAATCATCGATTGATACGATTTTTTAAAATCAAAAGGTTGCTAAATGGGGATTATATTACATTTAATTAAACCTACACGAATTACCACACACTACATCTTTTTTTATTTTTTAATTAAACAAGCGAGCTATACCAAAGCTACATAAATGGATATTCCATCGAGTTTAGTTAGTTTCGATTTAATTAGTACGAAAATTGCCAATAAAACCGAAATATCGAATCGGCTGCGAATTTACTACCAACTATAAGTCACTGGGTATTTGTTCGGTAATTCTTAAAAGTTTATTACGGAGAAAATGGAAATGAAACTTGTTTTTCCAACACATTTTCAATTTCCGTTCGAAGCGAAGTCGAAGGAAATAAAGATATTTCAAAGATAAGTTGATATTGGAGATGAAGATGATGTTTTCGAGTCATCATTACAGGAAATCGATAGCGCGATTTCGAGTAGAAAATTTCTTGCTTAAAACAATCGTAAAATTTCGAATCGAAATTGTTTTAATTTATTAATAGCCGAATACAAAGTCCGTGGAATTGTACTATTGATGTTTGTAAAATGATAAAAATTAAGTATAATAAAAAAGGTTTGCTCTACTTTTTTTTAATAAATATTACAACGTTAAATAAGATAAAACCTTTGTGGTTCGTTGTTTTTAATTAAAATTCAGTATTAAAAATATTTATGTAATTGTTTTCTGATTTAATTAAATTCCCATAAGATAAGAGCAAGAAGGATCAACGACATTATTAATAGAAATCATAAATGTGAATATTTAATTAGTTAGAACGTGCAAAAAAATTTGATGTCGGGGTTGAAATATCTGCACTAAAAATAAATCATAATGAATTGAAACAATATCTTATGGGTGAGTGATGTTAAAAAATTATCATAAATTTTATAAAGTTTTACTACAGTACATTTTTCAATTAGATACAAATAGACTCTATCGAGTAATTATAAATTCCTTATAAAATAACTCAGTAAACGCTAATGGTCAATGATAATGAATACATAAAAGAACTAGGTTTAATTTGGATCAATAAACTATAAGAACATATTATCGGTTTATCGTCTGTTGTTGCTTTCTTAAGTTAAATTTTCTCATCAACATTTATTTTCGAATTGACACATCCTTAACTCGTATATTATAATTTATTATTGTATTTAGTGGTAAATTCGCGTTAATTATGATTTCATTAAATTGTTAAATTTATTCGGAGTACATTTTATTTGGACAACATTTCAAGATGAACGTTAACGAAGATGGGGTGACAAATAATAACGAAAGTGGCAAGAAACTTGACAATGAAAAGACCACCAGTTTATTCCTGTGTTTTGTTAACACTATAGGTAAGTTTTTTTACAAATATTTACTGTTAAAAGAGAGTAAATAGTAAGTAAAGTTAGAAATAGATGCAAGAAAATTTGAACAAATATGCGTATATGCATGCAAAATATTTTCCTAATTAAGTATATGCAATAATAAATTTTTATTCTCAATGTTTGCTATTTTTATCAAAGTGCTATTTGCATCAAAAGATAGTGCCCATTTTGTTCATTTTTGAAATCATGATTGAATATTTGAAGCACTCATTTTTGTCAATAACTTCTTTCATTTTATTTTTCATGTATTTCTCCGTTCACAATTTTTTTCCTAATTCCTCAAAACCACCTCCACGCATTTATTTAAGATTCTAATTTAGTTAGTCTCAAAAATTGCTGAGTAATTACTATTACTCAAAATATGAAAAAAGAACTATTCCACACAATCCCAGCTTTAGTTATAAGTTAAAATGCTCACTTGAAGCACAAATTGATGTATAAAATAAAAATCGTTTCAACCAACCCAAATCCCCCATTATATTTGCGATCCTAGCTCGAATCCCCTCTGACCTAATTGCATTTTCGTTTCAGTTAATCTTCACGTGATCACTTTAGGCGCCACGACCGTATGGATATCGCCGATGGCATCGAAACTCGCCTCGTCCGATCCCGACGAAAATCCTCTAGGCAGGCCCATCAGCACATTCGAGCTCTCCCTCGTGGGGTCCCTGTCGCAGGCCGGCATGGTGATCGGGCCTCTCCTGCTGGAAAAGTTCTTCGACCGCTTCGGCAGGAAGAGGTCCGTTAACATCCTCATGGCGTTGGTGGTGTGCTGCTACGCGATACTGTCCCTTTCGCAGCACATCTACCTGTACTACGCCGCGATTTTCTCCATAGGAATCCTGCTGGGAGGGTGTTTAGTGGGAATTTTTATGTACATAAGCGAGGTGACTGAGGACCATAACAGAGGCAGTTTCAGTTGTTACAGCGGCGCTTTTATCCCCGTTGGAAATTTGTACGCTTTCATCTTGGGCTCCTGTTTCTCAGCGAAAGTGTTTAATTTGCTTTGCGCTCTACCCGCTCTATTTGCTATTGTTATATCTGTGTTATTTTTGCCCGAATCTCCTCAATATCTAATTAACATCTCCGAGAAGAAGGAAGCCCTGAAAGTCGTGAGGAAATTGCTGGGAGCGCATCATTCTAGGGCGATAAATTTAGTCGCAACTGTCGAATTGAATACGAAGAAAATAAACAATAATAAAGCGGGCGTAATTAAAGAGTTGTTTGGCAATAGGAGTTCGAGAAATGGTTTTCTGATTTGCTGCATCCTGACTTTGCTACCGTTCTCATCGGGCATCCCTTCCGTGATGTCCTACTTGCACACGATTTTTAAAGAAGCTCAAATAGACACTTTCTATAGCACGCTAGCAGTAGGATCGCTCCACATCTTCTGCTACCTAACAGCTTCGATATTAGTAGAAAAAATGGGCAGGAAGGTTTTACTGCTGCTATCGATCTCCGCTACTACCGTCCCGCTCCTGATACTTAGCGTGTATTTCTATTTAATCGACATCGGAGCGCCGATTGTCGATGATTTGAAATGGGTACCGGCAGCCGGTGTGTTACTGCTTATATTGACGGCGACTACTGGCATGTGCACGGTACCGCTGGTGTATTTGAACGAAACGTTCACCAACGATGTAAAATCAACGGCGTTGTCCATACTTTATTTTATCAGTACCACGCTTGTGACCTGCGAAATTTTCCTTTTTCCTTTGGTGCAGGACCTCCTGGGGTTGTCGTGGTGCTTCGGGGCGTTTTTGGTCATGTGCATACCAGCTTTTCTGTTCGTTCTCTTAACCGTTCCGGAAACGAAGGGACGGAATATTTCAGAAATACAAGAGATGTTGGCCGGACGGAAGCTTTATAGTATTAGTTGCAAATAATTTAGTGAATGTAAGGGTAATTGAATTTTAATTGTTTATGTTGTCCTTGTAGGATTAGCGCTATACAAGTACGCAGAAAGATGTAAAATTATTTCGGAAATGTTACTAAGAATGTTTCTGTAAAGCGCTTGCTTTTTTGTAAAATTTTATAAAGTTCTGTAATACAATTTTATACTAAAATTTGTTGTTTCATTAAATTCTTACTTGTTTATATTGATTTGTTAGTTCAGACACCAAATAATTTTTAAAAATAAACTAAAACAACTGATAAGTTTGTTTATGTTTCCTTACCTTATATGTCCGATTTCATGTTAAAGTCTTATCTTGTTTGTACTGTAAAAATATTGTTTATTAATAGTGTTTTTCCGTCAATAAAAATTTATTTAAGTATTTAAAGTAAATATGGCTAGCCAACCCAATCAAATTAGAAGAAATAATTCGTAACTCCAGTTCATTATAAAAGATTCGTTAAAGAAATATCACTTTGATTCTAATAGAGATTTTAATATCTTCCCTTCGAACTTTAAAAATAATCCCCTTGAACAACATTTTGAAAGCAATACATAATTAATATTCCTCTGGAAAAATCACCGTAATATTATAAAAATTTAACGTGATATCTATACCAAATATTAAAAATTCTTCAGAATACGCCCCTAAATTGAAACCGCGAAATGGCTGCCTCATAAAAACGAAAAGCGCGTTTTTCTTGCAAGCAATATCACTTTATTAAAAGTCTACAGTTACATCAAAACATAGTCGAGTAGTTTTCTTTGACATCGTTTCAGGTTTAGTGGAATTTGCAATTATGAACAGTCGCAATCACAACGAAGACTCTCCGCCGGCAAACGGAAAATCCAGTATGTTTTCCTCTTTTAGTCGTTCTCACATTCCACCAACGCAAGCTAATAAAAACTAAATGAATGAGATACGTCTAATTGAATAATACTTGTTATCGGTGAGTAACGGGCGCTATAAAGAAAAATCGTTTGTTATCGCCAAGTAAGAATTACCTCAAAATATATTACATACGGTAGCGCGTTCCTTTGAAGGAACAGCACTCAAAATGATTCTTGTATTAAAGATGAGTTTCCTGAAAAGCAACCTATCGAAATAACTGTGACATAGGCCGCTAAACTCTTCGAAACAGTCGCCCAGAAGAAACTCGGTCGGTCTCCTTTGGCTCCGTCTGGATTACATTTCCGCACAGCTCTAGCCTATTAATAAGATTTTCATAGTCCTTTTTTTTGCACTGCGGCGTTTCTAATAAGCTTCTTTCGGTACGAGACAACCAAAAGCAAACTTCGATATGTCTTGTCGAGAGTTTATATTGGATCGGTCGTCCTAATTACATTTTGAAATTAGATTTAACTCAAATTATTCGATTTACGTCCTTTGCTTTTCGAGAGATACCGTCTGAAATTCGAATATTTCTTTGCCGTTCGAGAAAGTTGAATGAGTTTGTGGGGTTTATATTCGATGTGTTTGTTGATCTTTTTTAGTAAATTGTTAATTACGTTTCGTGTATGTTTCAAATTTCGCTTCATTTGAAAAATAACAAACTCTCGCCACAATTCGATACGAATTAAACGAAAGTAAATAATCGATTAATTTTTCTCTTCGTTAGGTAACGAATCGATTATGGAGCGTTGCCCGGTATCTGAGCTAGGAAAAAGTTCAAATACATCTGTAATTTCCACTTTAATTTCCTTTAGGTTTTAAGCAAACTAAAAGAAAAACGGAAACCCGAACCGACCGCGGCAACCGGAGACACTCCTTTGTAATTCATGGGATTTCCCGGTTTATTTGTCATTCATCTCGTTTTTCTTTTCTCGTTTACTTTCTTCGTTTCCGCAGCATCCGAACGACGTTACTCGATTTCGGAAAAGGTGCGCGGATAAGCCACAAATCGAAGCGATGCACGTAATCAAATCAATGTAAATCGTTTAGAAAATTCGAGGTTATTAATAAAAAATATCGCCCGGCAAAGCACTGTCCAAACTAAATAACCGAGCGATAAATTTCGATTTAATCCGAAAGTACTGTCGGGCACGAAACCCAATTTTCCGTTACCTTTCCAGGATATTTGGGATTCGGATTCGGCTCGGACCCTGAACTGCAATGCGCTTAATTCCCCCCAAGCTCCATTTGTCTCAATCTTAGAAACAATGTATTATTTAAAGATGCTATCCCGCTCCGTTCCGTTTTCTGTTTATTTTGCCTACAGTGTTAAATGTTCCGCAAGTTTTCGGCGGAAAACTTATACTCGCATCGTTCATATTAGTTAGAAAAACTTGTTTATTCCAAACTCATCTAACACCTTCAAATAGAGAGTTGATGGAGGGGTAGTTTTTTTTAATTCTCTGCAACTTGTATCAATTTCTTTTGCTCCAAAAATGGGCTCTGTCGCATAGACCCAACAAAAAATACACCTAAAGCATAATTAAAATGTCAGTTACCTTGTTAAATATATGTATAAGAAACTCGTTTCAATGCTCGATTAATTTCGAAGAGCCTTTTGCCGAGCTACTTCTCGCTCTCTGATTTACTGATACTTCGACAATGTATGCTAAATTGAATGTATAGCGAAGCCATTGTGGTGGCGCGTAAGCGATAGATGTATAACTTACGTTGGGCTTATATAACGAAGCTTTCTGACAGTGTTTACGGGAAGACCAAAGAGCAATCGAGTAATTAACCAACTTAGTTTCGCCTTTGTCGAACGTTCTTGCTGGCGTAATGAATGGCGAGGAGTTCGGGAATGCAAACGGGAAGGCAAACTACCACTTGTAAGCGAAGAATCCGGGATGAATGAAAATTGTTTAGTTTGCTGATTATGTAAAAAATCGATATTAATAAAACTTACCTGTACGTTCTCGCTTATCGGATTTGGCGAGACACTTCCGGGTAACGCGCCGGAATCTGTTATTAAAATGCGCCGGGAAACAAATTAAGCCATCCAATTTTCGCAAACCCCACTTTAATTAATTTATCTAATCTATTTTTATACCTTTCCTATTACGTTTCGCGAAAACAACACTCAATCTTTCTATGTATACTTATTGTTCGGCTCCGGAGAGAGGATGTTCCCGATATATCCGGTGCCTAGAGTGCCGCTTCCGGTTACAGGACTCAATTACATCATGCGGGTCGTTTGTTTTGCCATTACTTGATGAAATCCTGGAGCTCCTTCGGAATCGACAAATTTTTATTTCGGCGAATATTGCTCGAAACGCTTGAGGATTTTTGTTTGTTGTAAAGACAAATAAATGTTGGAATGCCGGGGGCAATTTTACGAATTAAATTTTAATATTCTACAACCACCTATCAAAGGAATTAACAGTATTTACATTATCGGTAAGCAACAAAAAATAATTTTATATACAGAGATTTCATTTCTAAGTAGAAGTTCAAAATACAGGTAGATATTTAAAAAAAAATCAATGTATCAAATACAAAATGTCGCAAGTCTTATAGCAAAAAGCTACGGGTTTTAAGGCAAAATTTGTTACAAGCATATTACGGTATATACAATTCGTATTTTGAATCTTCCGTCTAATTACAGCCCCGGGTGTAAACAAACCTAAAGTATTTACGGTTTTTCGTTCAATTTTATAACTAACTAATGACTATCAGGTCCGCCGGACGGCGGTCTTTCAAACTCTTGCGTTTGAATGGCGACGACCGAAAGTGGACGACTAGGTTGTCCCTGCCGCTGCTGCTGGCCTTGGGACTGGCCTTGAATAGTTTGAATTTCAGCCGTATCGACACTCGAAGGATTCTGCAATTCACAAATACAACACCGAGCGAGACAAAACCTCCTCAACGGCCACTTACCGTTTGGCTCGATTGCGTTGTACTTATCGGCTGGGCATTGGTACCGACCGAGCTGGTGGCTGTTGTCACGGTATTGGTCGCTGCGGACGAACCCGCCACCAAATTCGTCGTCGATGTCTGCGTGGTAGCGTTAGGTCGCACCGCCGATATGAGATGAGTTATGCGCGCCCTCAGCGGCGGCAACTGCGGAGCAGTAACCGCTAGAGCGTGCGTACGCAATTGCTGCGGCGTATTACGCAACAGGAATTGCTGGAAGTGCGCCTGCTGCAGTATCACCGGCAACTCGTAGTGGTGAAAGAAATAGACCATAGAATGCTGCAACCATATAGCAAAAAAACCACGTTTAGTTTGGTACTTCTTACAGAAGTGTGCTCCTAAGATTAAGCCCTTTGTAGATCTCTCAGGAATTTTTTGATTGCAAAATATGCCAGATTCAGACAGAAGATCTAAGCCTCTAAACACTGAGATAACGTTCCCTTCCTCTGGTAGCATGGATAACGAAGAGAAGGAAGAAAATCAGCAAGGAAACTAGGAAGAAAAAAAAGGAGGAAACCTGAAAGGAAATCAGAAGGAAAGCCAGGAAGGAAAGAATGAAGTAAACACATATTTAACACTTTGATACCTTCTGCAGATGCCCTAGGAATTTTAAATTTATTGGAAATTCAACAGAAAAGTTAAGCCTCATGAAAAATTTGTATAATAATAACTAAGCACTAAGATAATATTTCCTTCCTCTGCGATCTAGAAACCAGAAAGGAAATCAGGAACAAAACCAGGAAGAAAACCAGGAAAAAACAAGATGAAAGAGAACCAGGAAGAAAACGAGTTAGTTGACAGATTGGCAAAATAAGAAGCTTAACAATTTTAAGAATATTCTCTTGAATTTTTGTGTAAATATACATTTAAAAAAAATACAAGAAGCACGTCTAAACTAATGGGGTGCCTATTAAAACCGTACCGAACCTATCTACAATGCAAAAAACAGCTCATTTTAATTTAATACTTGGTCAATAATTTCGCATCGAAGAGAAAGTTAAAAGAAAATTAAACTTACCCCAAAAGCAATATAACCGATATGTGTTGTATAAATTCGTTTAAAAAAACTTAAATCGACATTTCAAAATAAAACTGTAAATGAAAAATCAAAATTTGACAAATTCGTTAGATAACGAGTCAATCCATTGGCGTGGCAAAAAATATTTTCGATGTATAAAAATAATCGAACGATAAAATCGAACCGCCGTTGCGGGACATCGACGACGGGATCCAATATCGCGCGTATCAAAGGCAGATGTGGCGCCCGAGGGGTTTTAATCTTCCCTAAAGTTTTTTTTAAAAAATCGGACGAACGGAGGAATTTTTCGAATTCCAATTGTTATGTTCCCGAAAAACAATAACGATTCGGTCGTTTCGAAACGTGACAATTACACGATAACAACGGCATCGGATAGGCAAATAACAATCGCGGCGGGATATCGACAGGTTTCCGAGCTATATCGATATTACATTGAAGAGGGGGCGAGAGAGGTCAGGCCAGGGGGTAACAGACAAGACGATTCCGAACGCCATTACTAGCTATTATTAGCTTTAAAATGCTTCGTATATTTTTATGTAGATATACCCACTAGGTATTCTTATACAATCGTTTTTTTATTGATACTGTAACAGGTATTCAAACCAAACTATGTACCTACTCAGTATCGTATTCTTAAATTTCTATAGCCGAAAAAACAATCAAATAAATTCACTTTTATTAAATAAAAAAAAAAACGGATTAAATTCGCCGCAATAAAACCACTTCCCTTTTGTGTGTACCTATTTCAAAAATCTTCCGAACGAAAAACCTAAAAATTAATATTTGCAGAAAAATATCTGATTGCTCGCAAACGAGAGTAACGCGGAGAAGAAGAGCACCGCCGCGAAAAAGCGCCGCCGCCGGCGACGGAATTACCGAAAAAGGAAAATAAAGCGCACCGGAAAAAAACCCCCCCAATGACATTATAATATCTTGTTTCATTTAGTTCATTGTCGAAAAATGTATACGTACATAATTCCAGCGGCGGATATAAAAAAAGGGGGCGAGGGCAGGAAAAGAATTAAACTGCCGCGAACAAATAAGAATCCGGTGACCGGAAAGCCGCTCCGCCGCCCCCCCTTTTTCTCGGCGGCCTTCTCGTCACCGACTTTAATACCCACTTAGTCAAAATGCATTGTGTCGTGCTCGAAGCGAATTCCATCAACTAAAGTACCTGCCTCGGCTTTCCGAGACGAAAGATCGCCCGAGAATGCTGAAATAACAACGAAAACCGACGCAAATGAATAAAATACATACCGCACAGATTGATATTACTTATTATTCAGTTTGCTATAAATAGACGAGCGAATCAATTTATTTTAGGCGACAAGATGGACGCACGTCGATTTTCATTAGCTATTCAGAGCAAGTTTTATGCCTCCGGTGGTGCTAAATTTGTTAATTTAATTTTTTTCTATATACAAATTAAAATCTGTAATTGATTTTGCAACTAATTTACACCCATTCTGTGTCTCTAAAACTTACCTGAATAAAAAACCACGAAGTGACGAGCGCCAAGCTGCTGTACTGCCCGTTAAATCTATAATGGTAGGCGTAGAACGAGAAATGGTAGAGATAGAAGAATCTGAAATCAAAAAAAAATATATAGAAACAAACAAGAAAAACGATAACGTTTTCGTTCACTTCGATAGCTCGGAAATGATTAATTGGCGGCCCGTTTTCCGACGTTCGCTTCCTCACGAAGGAAGAGAATACAATTATCCCGCCATCCGTAATGCACCATCAGTAATTAAAGTAAAACTGCTAATTAGTAATTAGCAAATGAACTTCCGTGTCGTTAGAAATCGAAACGAATTGAAATTGTTATCAATAATTGTAATGTTCTCGTTCATCCTTATATGATCTGCATTATTCCAAGATCACATCAATAATCTCATATTTCGTTACAATATTAGAGCTAGTCACAAATTTTTTAGCTCTATATTCAACAGCGTTGTTAAAAATAAATCTTCGTCAAACAGAGAGGATACACTGGACGTTTTCCATCGACCTTCCGAAACGTAATCGGATAAGTTTTTCGTTGTCCGCCGGGCGGACAGGCCAAGACGGTGGACATTTCAATCTGCGAATAACATATCGCATTATCTGCAACAGGCGTCGCGGCGCTCCCGTTTCCCTTTTGTCCCGCGGGCATATTATCCCGACACAACGGGGAAGGCGCGCATATAGGAAAAACAACAACAGATATTAAAGAACATGTGAGAGGTAGAACGACACGGACGTTCGCGAATAATGCGCACCGAGTCCTCCTAAAACGATGAATTACATTCGGCTCTCTATTACCTAAAATTGAGCTATTGTGCGCTTTGTTGGTCTCGGGTAATAAACGGGAACAATGCGGATAATGTTACGTAAGATGTAATTATGAGTCGACGGAAACCCGAGCCGGTCGAGGCCGAAAATCGTGCACGAAAAAACACAGGAGGCTAATTATAAAAGATATAATGGAATGGACACTGAACGATAATAACACAACACATAATAAATTTATAAGTATAACGTGTTTGTTATTTTTTCCAGGATAAACAAATCTGTGAATACAGCTTGATACGTCGAGTTTATTAAATTTTAAACTTGCATGGTACACTGTCTTGGTGGTGTTGGATTGCATCATTAAATATTATTTGGAGATGCTCAGTACAATTAAACACGTTCAATTTCATCATAAAACAAAGCATTAGAAATCTTTTCAGTTACAAAACATTTCCGGATCTCCATCCGGATCCGCTTGCGATTGTTCGCCCGGAAAATCGCTCGATTCCGAGTAAATAATTTCCGATTATGCGAGCTACTATACATTTTTCGATAGGAAACGCCCTTTCGAAAAAAACCGGGCAATCGTCGAAATATTTGTTGTAATCCGTTCAGTCAATATTTGGCAATAGTTGATAAGCAAAACAAACGGAACGTGTTCGATACACGTGAATTATCGCTCACATGTTCGATGCACGTGCAACACGCAGTTCGTCTGTTCCAGTTCATATTTTTTTTGTCGATCAGTTCAGTTCGCTTGGGCGGAAGGATTTAAAGTTTGCGAGTGACGTTTAGAAAATTTCGCGCCGAGTAAATGCGCAAATCGAGAGGATATCTTTGGAACAAACCGAACGGATTATTACACCCACCAGGAATCTTTTTTTGTCTTCGAAGTTTCCAATTCGCCACTTACGGTTGTTCCTGCGGAAATTCGGAATGGAAACGTTCCGAATTTGTTTTAAACAATCAGCATTTCGGGCACGCTTCCCGTCTCATTTCTTTTCTTTTTTTCCGGGCGCTTTCTAATCATTAATAATGTCTTTTTCTTAGCCGAAGAAAGCGTTGTCAATTGCGTCCACAATAAATCTTTATTTCTCAATCCGCTTTGAAGTATTATATATATTTTTTTCTTCTTTCAGAGAGCGTTCGTCGAATAATACAAACACGCTGCGAGATAGACAGAACACCGAGCGTACCGGATACGTGCGCATTCCGGGGATTAGGGATTTTCCTCAAAGGAAAACGGCGGAGAAAGAGAGAGAATCGGGAGACTCGGACAATAGCAGGAGAGTCGACCATCATTCAAATTCGCATATTTAAATCTCCTACAATGAGATACATACATATTTTTCTACTTTAACGGAAAACGTGCGACCTTCCGAGGCATCTTTGAAAATCGAATGAATGCAGGATGTTTTTTCCTTCAAAATCCGTCGGTAGAAAAAAACAAGCCTCTTATATTTCCTTTTACAAAAAAAAGAAATAAAAACATCCTCTTACGAACTGTGTTTGAAATATACCTAATGCTTTGTTTTCGTGCCATTCGACACATTGATGAAATTTCCTTAAAACCATTTCCTAATTTCCTATTGGAAGCTCCGTGGATACCACTCAATATACTTACTTCAAAGTACAAGGTAAACGAGAAAATATTTCATACAAGGCGACCAAAACGAGGATATTAAAATAATACCACAGCGAACTAGCGCCCAGGAAAATAGGGACCTCCATTTTAACCATCGCTGCTCCATCAGCGAGCTCGTAAAGACTTCGGACTGGAAATCTCCCGCGGCTCTCTAATCTCTTTTCTTTATGCCGGACGACAAGGCATTTCGATTATCGGCAACAGCGCGAAATAGTAAACATCCTGGAAACCGTGCGGGCGGTCGAAAAGTCAGTGCTGTCGATTTTATCCTACATTTTCTATTTATCTAATTATTAACTCGACGGGCGAATTTCAGCTATACCATCGACGAGAAGAATATCCGGTCGATTTCGTATTAAAATAATTAGTATTGCACTTGAAGAGGCGATGGTTGTGTAGAGTTTTAAGGAAGCGTCGCGACGCCACTGATCGAGTCACGAGCATCCTGTGTGGACGCACCATATGACCTCGGCTTAATTAAAACGACTGCGTCGTTAAAATTAACCGGCATTTAATTGCCCTCTCTAATAGTTTGGTGTTTTCTAAACGAGTCCTTTAGCCGGAATACAGCGCCAGGATGCGGAATTTCGGTCGATCGATTTCCCATTTTTCAAACGCCACGCCGATACGGGCGATTTTATCTCTTCGAATTAACTGATTTCTTGTCGGTTTACTAACACGATTATGCGCTAGTGGTATCGGAACGCATATGATTCCATAAATGCTCATTGAAAGCTGAAATTAAACTCTCCAGTGCGCAACTTTGCAGGATTTACATCTACAAAACTAACCGAGTTTATTACGACGATGCCGGAGTAACCCACTTCAACACTCTTTCTGGTTATCGAGGCGGAACGAGGCGAGATTATCGTCGATATTAACCGATACAAAGCCGGTCGCAGGATGTGTTTAAACCGGGGAGTATTCGAAACAACTCCTCTCCGCCCGGCGAACCAAATTGTAAACAATCGGCCCTTCATTAGACCGGAGAGTTGATCTCCAGGTTATGGTGTTTATGGACAAACAGAATCGGACGGTGTCACGTACGAACTTGAGGAGTCCTGATTGCTTTTAACTCTCTATAAACGACGGGCGACGGCGGCGGCGGCGGCGGCGACGGCCGGCGCTCCGTCATCATCGAGACGTGATCCGGCGATGCCGGCCCCTAAAGGACCCACGTCAGTGGCGGCGCGGACGCTTTAAATTAGACTGAAGGGACGGAATTTGATCGATTTTCAGTCGATGACAGCCTGTTAAGATGAAGTTACGAAAATACGGTAAAACACCCTGTGTTACAATGCAAATATTGGCTTACCTTATTGGGAGAAGGAAATATAAAACCGCGAAAAAGGAAACAAAAATTACAAAATACAAACGCATATTTTTTACCTTGATGATGGTTTATTCAATCAATAACGCTCCGAGAAATTTGAAAACCCGACTGATGCGAAGACTAATATGGTTGGAATTTTACATGTGCGTCGTATGTGAGAAAAGTCTGTCAAAGAGAAGCTAATAACTCGGCAGCAGCAAATTATTTTACCGTTTGATGTATATTTGTCTGATGAAACTAATTAGCCGCCAGCTTTGTTTTTGCCACGTAATATTCTTCCCTCCGTTTTTATTTATACTGTCCGCTTTTATTTATTTTTGATACGGATGTCGCTGACATCGTTAGTGGAGCATAAACGAAATCAATTTGACGTTACTCTTTTTTACCAACATGCCTCCATTGATGCAATCATAAATAGAGTATGTTTTTAATAACCTAGATGTAGCCTATAGAACATGAATACGTAGTTCGTACACTGTGGTGCTTTACTTTTATTTTCGAATGTGATAAGTACTTTTGCGTGTTTGTAAAAATATTCGTAAGCCCATAAAATGAAATAAAACCATAGCATTTCCAAAACAATTTGAGTAATTGGAGAAATTACCAGACATGCATATAATGCATCTTTTAATTCCCTAATTGTCGCATATTATTGGCATAACCTTTTCGGTGTAGGATTCCCTAATGATTTTCAATTGGATTTATGTCGGGGGCATAATCTGGCCAGTCTAATAAATCGATTTCTTGGTTCAGAAACCATGCTAGAGATTCTGGCATTATTTTGGTGGAAAATACATTGAACATTCCTATGTTCGACTAAAGACGGTGATTCTCCAAGACATCCAGGTACTTTCTAGTGTTTTTTTGAACGGATAGAGAAACTCCACATTTGCGAAATGCACCCCTACGAAATAAACTTATCAGGACCACCCAACCTAAACATCTTCTTATTAGAAAAAATTACCTACAAATCAGTTAACATCGTACTGTTTGTTTTCAACATGTTGGTACAATAAAAAAAAAGTTTTCTATTCGAAAATAAAGGCGGTGCTATATGCATCACAGTGTATGAACATCAAACGATTTTCCGATGTTTGCCGTATACTACAACTAATGATGGAGATGACATTAAAATCGTCGGTGTCTTTTTTTTCGGACGTATTATCCACAAAAACACTCGACGTCACCGGCGAAATTTCCGCGAAAGCCTGTCCGACTTGTTTACACAATCGCGTAACCAGTCGTTTGGAGTGCGCTCCATAATCACCGTTTCCGTGGAGGCGACGGCGACGTGGCGTAAGAGGGCGCGCGGCACATTCACACACACACACATACACACACACGCCCAAACCGATCCGCCTCGGCTCCTAATACAAACCAAACAAAATTATAATGACAGTTATAGGGAGTAAATATCTCCTACATGCGACGCTCCGCATTCTCCGATACCCGAGCTCGAATTAGCGGCCCCATTCAAGATAATTAGCGGGATGATAGATGGGAATAAATTATCCGCGATCATTGAAAGGACAAAGGCTCTTGATGACCGGCACCGTCTTGCTGCTGCCATTGGCGTATCTTCCTTTCCTTTATCGCATTCTCTGATGGGAACAGCTCGTTAATCTTACCAAATTTTAGTTTGTGAGATAAATTTTACATAATTGATGACAATCAAATTTGGCAGAAACAGTTATAAAGGATGAAATGATAATTTAATAATTAAAAAAAATAGTGGAAATCTACGCTACTGAATTGAGGATAGCATCGAATATCGCGCTCCTATTTAGCCCCTATGCAAATGAAAATTATGAGTCACTTGTTTCGAGGCATATTTGTCGACATTTCCATAGAATATGTAATTATTCCGTAAGACCGTGATGAAATACGGCGGTTTTTCAAATTCTTCCGATGCTGATAATAAGAGGCTATGTGACGTTAGATCTGGTAATGAACGATGGAGTGTCGTACTTATTTAGTGTTTCAAAAGATAACGAACGCTATGAAAATAAATACTTATTAGCTGCGAACGTCATCCAATCCATTTGCTTTCTTTGATAAGCGCCCAATTTGTCGTCCTCGTCGGGAATTATTTATATTTTACGTTGCCTTTTCCGGCCCGTCCTTATGGCAGAAAAACTGGATTATTCCTTCGTGCGGAACGCTTTATCAAAAAGAGCGCCTACAAATAGGAGAGGAAAAAAAACTAACGGCTCCGATTCCAATGAAATTCCATTTACTCAATATTCAATTACCGTTGTTCAATACCGTTTAAAAATTTTCACCGACCTAATGCAATTTTCTAGCGAGCTCTCGCAAACGAAAAAACCGTCAGACGGGATCCGGGGCGAATAATCCAAAGATATTCCTGGACAGAATATATTAATTCTCAACTTTAAAAACTTCACTTCTCGAACGGCGCTTATTCCACTCACTTAGGCGTAATGTTATTAGATTCGAGAATTTTGAACAAGTACCAAATTGAATCTTTTGTAATAGCATCAACGGTTTTCGAAATGGTCTCGGAATTTTAATCTTCTTTTTTTTCCTCCTCCGCTCTCCCATCTCGCCGTAGTCGCTACTTGACACTGTCGCTTTCTTTGATAAGGTAAAAACGGGAAGTTTTGAATGCGATTTCGACGGCCCACGGGGAATCGCCGTTTCCAAACAATTCGCCAAGATTACATTCCAGTAATTTGTCCTCCGCTAAGCATTCGGTTTAATTCCGTCAAAGATTTCCCCTATACAAACGTAATAACGCGCCAAACGACAACAAACCTTAACATACGACCATAGAAAATCGATCAAATTATATGATTGATATTTTATTTCCCAAGCAAATTATATTCTAAATATTCTATAACAATGATAGAAGCTTGATAAATCTAATGAAAGCTTTAGTATTTTTTTAGAAAATTGCAACATCAGGCGTTAATTTCAACCTTATAGAAAAGATCCTCTTCTCTATAACGTGGAAAAGTATTTGGATAATATCGAAGACTCGTTTTCAGTTAGAAAAAAAGCGATACTCGATACACCGACAACAGAAACGATGTATTTGAATAACCCGAATCCATGCGAACAATAATCATCAAAAACGTGACGCAAAAGATGAATTATTATTAAATCTGGTTGATCTCTGGCCTGGTATACAACGCACAATGCATTATTCATTTCGCAAAAACGAAAATGTTATTAACGTGGATTTGGTGCGCCTGTACGTGGAATCGCATCGTCGAAATATTAATTTCGCGTTCGTTTATGTAAACATTCGGTTTGTATTTACGGTGCGCCCGGAAAAACACGCGCTAGACGGAGCTCTATTAGGCAACAAACGAAAATTTGATAAATTCTCTTACTCACCTCAGCCAATGCCGTTTCGTTATGGACGTATGACAGCATATTGCATCGTATTGATCCGCCACCCAAACCGTAAGAATGATGTAAAAGGCGGTTGTCGTATCGTTGAAAAATTCAGACATTATAGCCTCCATACCTGCAACGAATCGAACGAAAAAATCTTGTAGAAATACGAAAAAAACACATACATCATGGAGGCATAACTACAGTAAAAAGTTTAGTAATTTTGGTGGAAGCGCTTGGTGGAAAGCATAAATTTGAAACGTTTTGAAGTAATTAGAGTTAATGGGAGTCTTTCTTATTATAGGTGCTCCATTTTTAAATACCTGTGTTAAAAGGTTATTATTACGCACAATGGAAATGTGAATATACAAATTTAAAAAAGAAGTTTCCTATTATACGAAAATTTAGGTGGTGCTGTAGTTATACACCAGCATTTTGTGTATTACACCAACTATTCGAAAATTAGATAAACATCAATTAATAGAACAATTGGATTTATACAGGCGATATTTAGAAAGTCGCATTGTGTTGTGCATGCGAGCCCTACACGAAAATAAACGTCAATTATTCAAGTGCAATTAATTTCGGCATCGAATTTATCAATGCGAAATTCCGTAATCCCCCGTATAGTATACGGTCATGCGGAGGATTACGCCTCGTTTAAAAATGCATTATTGTCAAAACGCTTTTGGAAGTACCCGAAATAATACGATATGCCGTTTAATTTCATTCATTCAATAATTCAATCCTCGAGCACGAAATCCACCGCTATTAGTTTCGTACCTGACAACAATTCGATTGAAATTTATTCGATAAAAACGGGAGGTTTGTTGTTGTATCGGAGTGGGAACGCGCCAGAAGGATAGATAAAGATGGAGGTCAATTGATTTGTTTGCCGTTTCGAATCGAAAGCGCCCGAATAAAAGGCTTTTTTTCCGGAGCTTTTGTTCTAATTTAAAGTGTATCGGAAAAATTGCGCTCATTAAATGCAAATGATTGCTTGCGGGACATAACGTGTTGTTGTCAATTTTTTTAATAGGCATTTTAATGGGACATCGCCCTGAGAATCTTCCCCGAAAAAAAAAAACATGTAATTAAGTTGAAAACTTTTACTTCGACATTTTATGCTAAACACGAAAATAAAAATATGTTTTTCATCTACCGAGAATTTTAGCGTACGGTTTTTATAAGCTTTTCCCGTTAGACTTTATCCGATCAGTTCGTATGAGAGCTTTTATGTGCCATGCATTTTTGATAACATAAAAGGTGTTCCGAAAAGAAACAAAAAAAAATCTCAACAATAAAAACCAATAATGCTCGAAATGACCTAATCCGGTAGATTATTTATCCATCATACTATTTTTGATGTTCCCGGAACGATTGTAAATTCCCCGGTAAGGGTTACATACAAGCAAATCCGAAACATATTTACAGTTAAATAAAGTTTAGATGAAAATCTTGTAAAAACGGTCAGAACGCGCAACTAATCCAACTCGGTAGGGAAAAGTAAAAAAAAAATAGAAAATATATGAAAAATTAAAAATACCAAACAAACTTCGAGAAACGTTAAATTACCCGCGGTGCTTCGAAATTGCGTTTTATTTCGCATCATAAACGGGGGCGGCGTCTAAAATAGCCGGAATAAATTAAAAACTTTTCCGGAACCGCACAGAAGTCCGCGATAAGTTTTCCTGCATAGGTAGACGGCATTTTTCCACGACCGTTGATAAAGCGAATCGACAATTTACGTTTCTTTACCATTATTACGAATTAAGCAACAGAAAAATATAAGTAAAAATGAGTTCATGAGAGGGAGTGCAAATTTCCTTATTTCTACAATTCGCTCTACATTATTTCGAATAATTACGAACGCCTGTCGAACGAAAAGTAGCACAACGAACGACACGCATTTTATTTTCCATAATTATTATTATTTTTGTATATACCTCTCCGCTATATTCACAACATCGTCATCTCTTCATCTACTTTTCTTGCGAGATTATGAATACGAAATCTGTCTCGGATGTCGACGACGTCTTGATCATAATAATGCCGGTGAATGGAGCAGAGAGCAACGGAGGCCTCTTATTTTTTTATCCTTTTTCCTCCCGTCCTAGATGCTTTTTTCTCCGACGCTCTCGCTCGCTCGCGTTTCTTTTTTCCGATGCTTCGCCTTTGCGAGGCAATAACTGAAGACGGGGCTCCCCGCCGAACGGCTAGGAATTAATAAACAAACTCTTATTCAGTTACATTGCTGAACTGGAAATAGGTGATTATGTCGTATTTTATCTAACGACGGCGTTCCTAAATAAAATGCGAAATCATTTCGATTCGAAACCGTTCGGGTTTATTTCTTTTTTGTCACCCCCGGATTTTTATTTTTATCGACGTTGCATTATTCGCAGGGCGTTTCATCGATACGTAAAAAATTGTACTTTTGGTCTAATTCGGCGTGTAATTTTCACTCTGTGCCAAGTGATAAAAATATCCATTTTTCGAGTCTCCTTTAATTTTTTTAATGAACATTTTACATGATAAAGAAGGTACTTTTAAAAGTACTGAAATAATCGAACATTTGTTTTGTTTTCGTTGTACCTTGTAGGTACTACGTATAACCGACAGTCAAATATGCTTGAAAATATTTTAGAAAAACATTTTGACTATACTGTACAGCTAAATTTCCAGATTCGCAACTCTTCTGGAACTTCTAAAACTTCTAATGAACGGCAACCGCGAAAAAGCTTGTATAAGATTTTCCTCCATCCTCACTCCCATTATAGAATTGTATTTTTGCACATCTTCCACAAAGTGCACGCATCATCAACGTGACACTTCGCAGATATTAATAAAATAAGTGACGAATCGTCGTTCTTAAAATGCAAATTCGCCCCTTCGACGACGCCTCTCCATTTTGCCCCGTTAATATTCACGCCGCCTCCGCCATCCTCGGCCGAGTTTTGACGTCGCCGGCGCCGCGCGGCCTTCGATAGTTCGACGTCGCTCTAATTTGCGCCCCCGACAATAACGGCCGGCTCTAATTTATCTAAAATAAAAATACGAGGGTCGCTCGACGGTTTTAAGGGCGTACGCAAATTGATGTTTGTTAACGTCGCCGAGTGTGGGCGCCGCTTCTTCGGGTAAAACGATTATATTTAGCGACCGATATGCTGTTCGAATTATCCGATTGATCAACCGACGTGACTGGTTAATTAAAATTTTAAAGATCGAAATTCGCCCGTGCGATCTTATTCGGGTATTTTATTGATTAATGAAACTCGTTTGAGGGATCCTTTAAAAATGACGTGTATAGTGGAGTAGAGCAAGAGCGATGAGCTCATCCATCACTAAACGGTATCGAAACCGCTCTAAATGCACAAAACGTTGAATCCCAATAAATAGGAATAAACGAGTCCCTTCATAACGGAATCAACAAATAATTTTTAGTACGAGTTTATTGCATTTTCATATACAACAACGTTGTTGATTCAATTGGTGATTGATCAGAAATTACAAATATATGCACTCTAGAGTACACAACTGTTTTTATCATATAATTAAAGTTTCTATACAGTGATGGAAATATATTATGGTACTCATTAGAATCGTTTAATAAAAAAAATTAAATAGACTTTTTCTAAAATGAAATGCTTGTCTTCTCCTTTGTCGTAAATATCGACTATTTAATCGTCTAAAAACAGAAACAACGTTGTTCTTCTCATATCTGAGGACATCTGTCACGTGCAAACAAATAAACGGAGTATCTGTAAATGACAAATATCTAACGCCCGAACGCGATGCAACCCGACGAAAAATCTGCCCATGAATTTTCCATTATTTATTGGAAAGCGATCCGCGCCGCCCGGTTCTCGGTCTTTTTTCGCGCCCATACGTCTTGTCGTCGATTCATCAAAAACCCATTCCGACGCTCCGCAATAAAAACGACGGCGGAGCCATCCGCCCGAATTAGCGACGCACGCGGATGCGATCCGACGGCCTGCGAAACAACCAATTTTTCCGAACATCCCACGCTTCCACACAGCATAGACAATTTTCTGGATTATCGACAATTATTGCTCGCCTTCCTATAAATCGTCTATACTCTTTGTGCTTTCCAATGTTTTTAAAACAACCCCAAGAATCTTCGCATGTACTTTTGTAGCATGTAAAAACGAGTTTTGATAAACTAAAACTTGGTTTTCCACGTTCGATAAAAATATTATAAACATATATCTCCTAATTTCCCAGTTTGTAGAAATCAATGTTTTCAGGAAGTATTTAAGTAGATCCATTCATGATGCATTTAAGTATTGTTATTTTTCGTTGCTGTACGGGAATTAGGTGAAGGTTTAGGGTGAAGTATGATCCAAAAATCGATTATTATTTTGGAGAATTCCGGTGCATGTTAAATGGCTTCTATTATAGCAAAATTTTGAGTCAATAATTAGAACCTGTACATGATTTACGGCCGACATGTTCGTGGCGTATATCGATTTGTCAGTTTAAATGCCTCCTGAATAATGGGGTAATATTCATCTTACAGTTAATGATTCAGAAACCTATTAAATCGTCGGAACATCGGCGATTTCCAATATTCTCCGGTGCTACATTGTGTAATTCCGCTTACCTACGTATTAACCGCTGGACAGTTTATAGTGTACAGTATACACGGTTCGCCCCTTCCAAAATAAAACTGTTGTTTACGATGAACATGCTAAAGCATCAGCCTAGATACTTCATCTCCAATGTATCTAGTACCATATTGGTACCGTAAAATTATTCTTTCCTTATTTCATCTTGTAATAAAACGGTGCTTTGCTAGTTTTTCTAGTCTCGGTAGCGCGCAACAAGTCGGATCAATTGTTGGAAGCCTCCCGACGTAGTGGAAGCAACAGGCAACGAGACATCGCCGCCGTCTAGACCGCCCCATCAACAAGTTGGGCGTCCTTGATGGTGCGGCGGCGGCATGCCAACCACCGGTTGCCACCTCGGCGACGAGAAGGTCTTCCGATTTCCGTTTCTTTCCGTCCTCGCCCTGTCCGCGGGCGTGTGGGGTTTTTCGCGTACGTGCGCCGGATTCTCTCCGCCCGTCTCTTTTCCACCCGCGTACGTTCGTATGCCGGCGCAATGAATTATATTTTTCGGGGGGCCGAAAGTTTGGGGACGTTTACAAATGTGGCGAATAAATTTTTACGTGTCCTTTATTCGTTTTGCGGCGCAAGTTTTACTACTGCTTTCTATAAAGTAGATTAACTTTTTTCGGGATTATACGGGATGTTGTTTGCGGTGCACCGGTATTAACCACCAAAATAATAATCTTTTGGGTCGCGTTATACCCTTAATCCCTTATAGAAATATACCCCGAAAAAATAACAATACCTAAACGAGCATCTGAGAACTTATGGTAAAATGGATATTAAAATGATTTATGCAAACTGGGAAACTAATTTATACTGTAGAGTAGAGTGGGACTAGTACAGCAAGCAGGTAATGATGATCTGGTGCATCACTTTCCGAAAACCCAACCCAAAAATATTCTGCACTGGATTATTATATCGTTTCTCTTATTAGTATTAACTGACTGAAACTTTTAGTAGTTACCTTTACAGTTTCATTTCTATTGCTTAAAACCGTATAAAAACAGCTCGGAATCAAAGAAAAGGAAAATTAAACCAACAAACGTTCGGCCACGACAATTTCGAGTAAATACGAACGTCAAAAGAAACGGCAACAACGAAATTCGGTACAAAAGTGAAGGTCTCCTATTCCTTTATGTTTTTTCCCGTTCGCCGCCGCAGAGTCCCTACAATTTCCCCGTTTATTTTAGATGCTTTGTTCTGAAATTTTTCGCCACTTTTTAAAAAGGCTAGCACTAGTCGGGCGTCCTTTAGTATGCGGCCGAGCAATTACCAAGATTATTTGAAAGAAATCGCAAAAGTTTGAGAAATAATACAGTTTTTCTTGCACAGATACGACCAAAAGAATTCCCCATTCGTATACGTATGATACACGAATGTTTACTAACAAGTTACAAGTGATTTTTTAATGAAATTTCCTCCGCACGTGCCTCAATTTAACACACTGATTTTTTTTACATAGCTATATAAAAGTTTCGTGAATACGTAGAAATTTTCACGATGTCGACTCTAATTTAAAAAATATATTTATATTCGAATAAGCGAACAACTTTTTAAAATAACATAAAATTACCCCGATAATAAAAAATACAAGTGCGGTGTCGAGAAGTTTTCCATTTTCGATTTCGGAGGAAACGCAAAAAAATACTCCAGCACGAGAAGGGAAGTGTAGTGATTCGTTTTCACGAAAATAATTTCCTCGGTTTTTCTTTTTGTTTGAGTGCGCGTCCTCGCGACTTCTCGACGAAAAATAAGCGAAACACAGAAGGGCAAGAAAGAAGTTCTCCAAAAAAATAAATATGTTTCTTATTAGGTCCTTTTCGTTCGATATGAAAGATGTGGATGACCTTCGAGGGGTTTATTTCTTTCGTTCGGAGAAATTAAGGATCGAGCAGGTCCCGCGGTTCTGATATCAAAACGAAATGAAAAAATAAATAAATAAATAAACGGGAATTTTGAGGGAAAGCAATCACTCGGACCGAAATTAATTATTTTCGTATCAAAAGATACCTAATATGTGGAATAACATTGGAATGGTTTCAGAGAAAATCTACAATTTTTCCAATCAAACTCATTTTTATACGGTACGTTTCATTTTAAGAAAAAAAGATTCTGTCTGTCCCTTATAATTTAATTTTTTATTTTTTATTTTTGTTAGGGATTTGCGAAACCAGCTCGACCTGTATATGGTATAGCTACACGTAAAATGTTGGTAAAAGTTTCTTTCCTGCTATATGGAAAGCGAGCTCTTCCTTCGGGCATCCGTTAGAATGAAAAACAATACAGAGAACAAGCGTATACAACACAGAAAATCGGTCGGCTGTTTTGCGCTTTCCAAATTATCCCTTATGAAAATATAGATGTGTTTTCGTTACGTTGTATACAGAACGGCCCAAAAAGCTCGTTTTATTTTCGGAATTTACGGGCTTATTTTGTAAACCAAGTTTATTCGAAGGAGCCGACGCTCGTTCGTTTCCATTTAAATTAAAACTAAACAAAAATAATGATTAGTTATTAATCTGTAGGCGGTTAACTTGGTTCCTTTGCAGTCATTAATTTTTCCTTCGGCGACAACTTGTAAATTCGTCCGTTTACTCGAACCGCGTGAGAAATAAGTCGACAATTTATCTAAATCCAGCGTAATTATCTTCGGTTAATATTGGTTAAGAGCGAAAAAAAAAACCAAACAACAACTCGGGTTATTAATTGCTCAAACGAAAATTTAATTTATTTCCGCCATATTTTAAAAACGTTATATTGTTCTGAACGATTTTAACCAGCAACTAATTTAAAAATTTTAACAAGCTAGTTTTGATTTCTCGCGAAAAAAACTTGATAATTGTAGTTATTTTACGGTACACACGTATTCTCCGACCGCATATCTACTACACGGAATATTTTAATTACCCTTAACTTTCCGGGCAAAACTTCCTCTGGCATTACTAAAAACCTCTCGAGCTGCCGTGGAAAAGTTAAAAATATTCGCCGGTCATAAAAACGGAAATGGAAAATTAATTATTAGATAATTTGCTACTCCAAAAACCGTATTTTCATAGACTCATTCAACTCACTCGGGTGTAAATGATACTATAAGTTGTGTAAAATATCAAATTAATAATTAAAAGAGAACTTACCGACAAGTGCCAATATAACGGTTAGCAAAGGAGCTGCAGGAAACGTTACTGTTACATTGAACTCTAGCATTTGGAGTAGATCGACTGAAAATAAAAATAATATTTAACTATCTACTAGTTACTTCCATCTGAATAATTGTACATGATAGTTTTTTAAACATAACAGGAGCTTCATCTGGAGGTGAAAAGATTTCTCTCCTAAGAATAAGATAACTATGTGAATATTGCACCGAGAGTAAATTATCTGCTACAAAAAAAACAGACGAGAAGTAGAATAAATTCCACTGACCAACAAAATATTTTACCTTTTTTGATTTTCCTCCCAATGCAAGCGTAACGGTGTCATCCGGAGGAAAAAGATACGAACCCCGCAAGTCTCCGAATACATATGAAACATTCCTACAGGATGAATCGATTTCAATTCGATATTTATTAACCTCATATCGAATGCATTTCCAAAATTTATTATTGCAAGAACACCAGAGAAATATGTATAGTTATCGTTATTTCAATTTACTCCATAATCGTGCATAATTTTGCATCCATTCAATTCAAATTTAGTAAAGACAGGGTAAATTAAAATGAATATATTCGTTCTTTCGACGATACAATACACCCGAAAAGTTCCCCTAACAACAACAAAAAAATCACCGAAATCGAACTCCTAATCTGATTTATCTTTTCAGCGTCTTCTGATTTTCGGCCGAAGGTTATCCCAATAAATAATGCTAAGCGAATCTGACTCACCTTCTATGACGGATGGCTTTAATGCGAAAAGGGGACGGTTAGAAAATAAAGGCCGCGTATACATGGCAAAAAGGGAAAAAGGGAAACGGGATAGCGGCGGATCGGGATTTTTCTTATGCAAAGCCTCTACGCGACCGCAAGAGTTCGGTCAACACCGAGGCAGTTGTTTGCCGGTCTGCGGAGACGGCATAGCCCGAGGGCGGTTTGCCGGTCCCCGGAGAATCGTCTTTCCGCCCTTCTGGCGCTCGGCCCCGGCCCGGACCGCCTTCCCGGTATCCCCCAAACAGTATTATCTTTAACCAGAAACGTATACATATATCAAAATCCATCAGGATTTTGACGATACTTCCCCGAGTCGAAATCAGCCGGTTGCGATTTACTTTGTAACATACTATATTTAACCCACTCAAGCTTATACAGGAAGGCTTTTATTTAAGTACCTCCAATTGCATCGAGCTTATACCTCAACGCTCAAGTTACTCAATTTATCTATCAAATGATTTATTTCAAACCCCATTACATACACACCAATATTATTTATGAGTTACTTATATTTGTATACGGCACAATATCCGGTCGGGGCGTCGCAACGAAACGAATCCCTTTGTCGGGTATACAGGTAAATAAATTTGGGAAAATAAAATTATTGCCGAAGAAGGCGACAAAGGTGGTACACACATACACACATATCACACGCGTTCGTTTCCTTTGAATCCGACGACTTCAAACGGGAGCGCGCCCGTCGAAAGTTAACCGTCACGTAAACGCGAAATAATACCGACGATAATGCCGAAAGGAAAAAAGATATTCGCGAAATTTCCAATAGCGAAACTCGCGCGTGAATAATCACACTTGTTTCTGGTCATATATGTATAGGCAGATCCTTGCGACACTGCGATCTTTTTTTTTATCATTCGACGAGGATTTTTTTTGTGTCTGGTATATCGGAGATGAATAGTTACCATGGCGAAAAGGTCGCTTTGAAACGTGTCCAAAGTTTCACGTTAAACGGAATAAAAAAGATATAGGAAAAAAAAATACCCGAAAGCTGTCGGTAAATAAATGTTCTCCGACAGTGATATTAGGTAAATAATTTTTTTACCCCTGAATATACGGGGTGTTTCAACAGGAAAGTGTTACATTTTAGCCAGATGTTTTTTCAATCACTTCTTTCGGATTCTCATAAAAAATGAGTTATTTCAAAAAATATAGGTCGCAAAAGAAATGGGTCAAATTCAAAAACACCCTGTAACTCGGTTATAAAAGGTATAGTACGTATGGGTATTTTGTAATTATCTGGAGTGACACCATATAAAATAGAATAAATATTGGAATATTCTGGTGTATAAGAAAGGCGAATTAACGGGGTAAAGGAAATTCATTTTCGCCCATTTTCTAAACACCAGTGGGATGTTGCACAAGACAGCTTTAAATTGCATTTTCTCATTTGCGAGACAAGCCCGATTATAGTGTAGTTAATTTCGTCCGCCTTTTTTGATACAGCGCGATAAGGCATAATTTATAAAGTCATTTGTGAAGAATTTTCCTTCATAAAAATAACGTAATCCCTCTTTCAGGTTATTAAGCTCTTCTCGTATAGCGATGTTGATACTTTCGGACTTTTTTTCCCTTCTCTTCATTAATCCCCTCGGTCGCCGTACAACTTAAAAAGTTTTATCATTACCGAAAGTATGTTCCGAGCACGATTACTTGTTATTGAAAAATCGGGTTCCGTTGAGACAACGACGATGAAAACGACCGAAAGAAAACGCTTGCTGACGATGCTGAAAGATTAAGAGTTTCATAAAGGATTTCGAGAAGGGACGGTATTAGGATGGGATGCAACAGATTGGAAAATAATTGGCGAAACTTTTGATTCACTAACTTGCAATAGAAAGCGTCTGAAAAAATTAATCTCGACGGCTTTTCCTCCGATTTTCCGATTTGTTGATTATCAATCAGATTTCTTACTATTTAAAAACTTACAGGAGCAATTTGGGTTTAAATTGGTTACGCTTGCTTTGAGAAAAAAGCCCCTATAATCTAACAGACTCTCAATTACCAGGTCAGTACAAAATATTTTAATTGTTTTTTTCTTACTGGGCTAAACCTCAACATCAAGAGGGGGCATTCTAATTATTATTAATGTAAAAATAGAAGGTTAAAGAGTAGAATAAGTAGAAGAGTCTGGGCATATCTTCATCTAAATCCGGTTTTGAATATACCGTATATTAGCATTATAGTGATATAAGCTGTCGTAGTAAAATACATCAAAGTCAATACAAACTTGGCAATTCTGTAAAATCCTGCAAGCGATACCTACAACGCATACTTTTTTCAAAGTATTCGAACATACAGCAGGAAAATTTCCAATTTCGTGGTAATTCGCTATTCATTGTCGCTAGCGCACTTCAAACGCTTCCGTTTTATTTCATGATTTCGAGCACTTGCGTTCGATTCGACAACAAAAATATATTACAATGGGCTCGCAGAAATTACGTATTGTTCGACTGTAGGGCTATTGTTGAACACTTTGGGCATATTAAAAATTCGAAAAGAATACGAACAGTTGTACGGGAAATAGTGAAATCCGTGCGCTTTTCGTAATAAATAAAATGGACAAATCAAACTTACCGATAAACACGAAAATCTGATGATGGGAATATCTCAGCAGCATCGACACCGAAACGGTCTGGAAAAAATAAAACAACAATCACGGACATATTTCGTTAATTATCGACGAAATTCTCGTCGAAACGAAAACAAACGCGTTTCATTTCCGAAGATTAATCATTCTGTATACACGTTTCCGTCTACGCGAAATTACCCTTCTGGCGAAAAACTCGCATATACCCCGAGATTTCTAATTTACGCGGCAGATCGTGTTACAGAGGTATGAATTAAAAAAATGTATACAGGAAGGAACATTATTTTTTCGTTACACAACATACATATTCTATGCTTAAAGCATAACACCACAGAAAGAGGTCTAACCATAAAGGGGAATTATTTGAGTTCATTGCAAACTTTGAAAGAAATTTAGAATTTTTGGTCCTATTTTAAAAAGCAGTGCAATGGACAAATTTATACTCTAGGGTATGGTAGAGTGGAGTAGAATAGAGTAGGACAGAGTAGAATAAAGTAGAACAGATTAGAATAGAATAGAGTATATTTATAACAGTAGGAATTTTTTTACTTAGATAATAATCATATTAGATATCTGCCGTTAACATACGGTATACTAATATTCGAAATGAATATTTTCGAAAGCTGATGGTATATCTAGCAAACAGGGCTCGCCATAATCCAGCTTCGACGGGATTTTCCACGGCGCTTGGCGAAATCTCAACTCTCATCAAGAATTGTTTGTTGTCAAATAGTATCGGAGGAAAAATAGCACAAAAAGGGAACGAACGAACCGAACGGGCCAGACAAAGAGCCGTCCGATAGATAAATTAATTTGTCGGGAACTTCGACTCCAATCGCCGCATATGAGTTATATAGCTCAACGCCGCATTATGTTTGATTGTATCCGAACGAAAAATTATATTACTAATTACGAGTAACTCATTTATTTAATTAATTATTTGAGCTACACCAAACAAATCGCAATTCTCGAGTCCAATCCACGAGCAGAAGGCATTGAAACGGACATCGTTGATATATCCAGGATGAAATTAACCACGTGCATTATATACTTTGAGAAGAAAGAGAATTAGACACACGTCGACTAAACAACCGTGATATAAACAAGCGATTGTCGTTTTCCTATGTAGGACGATCCCGTGGAAACTTGGTCCGAGGTCGGCAACCCCGCCGACATCCCTCAATCTCTCTCTCGCCCCCGCCGCTTTTCCGCCTCTCATCGTCATCCTTCTTCTTCTTCTTCATCTTCGTCGTACTCTCCCGAACCGGTCACGTGGCTCGATATCACACCGAGATATGGCACACGTCAGTTCCGGTTCGGTGATCACTTGTTTTCTAGAGACTATACTGTTCGATGACGAACCGGAAGTGAGGACTTGTTCCGCTCGCCCGCACCCAAGGCGGTCCTCCGCCTTTTGTTTTTTTTTTACCCTATTCGAGCGCCTCTCGTTATGACGAGAGAGCAGAGAGAGCTCTGTCGATAATGAATTGTTTTCGCTGGTCGAGCGATGATACTTCTCGTTTTGGTTTATTACACCAATTAATTGTTTTTCTAACGTATCTATACGAAGCTAATATGTAACAGAGGTTTCTACAGTTAGTGGCTTAATGTCGGGTGTCCCGAAAGTAATTGGTATTTTAAACCGGACGGTGGTAAATTAGGCGAATAAATATGTTTATTACCTGAGAGCTTAAAAAGGTATTTTAATTATATGGGTAAATTGGGCGCAAGAATAAGAAGATAAGAAGAATAAGGAAAACTTTGCGCTGATTTATAAAACAGTGCCATGAACAAATTTAAACTCTATGGTATGGTAGAATAGAGTAGATTGGAGTAGATTTGAGTAGAATAGAGTAGAATAGAGCAGATTAGAGTAGATTAGAGTAGAATAGACTAAATAGTGCATCAAAATTCTTTGCTATAAATTAAAATTCTCATTAAAAGAATTATTTGTGGTTATTTCGCGGAAAATCTGCGCCCAATTTACCTGTCAAATTAAGGACCTTTCATTCTCCGCGCCCAATTTACCTTGGATTTACCTAGGATTAAAATCTGTAATACCTTTTGCGCCCAATTTATATCCGTCATTTTCATTTTCATTAAACAAATTTACATTCTATCGTATGGTAGGGTGGAGTAGATAGAGCAGACTAAAGAGTAGAATAGCGTAGAATAGAGTAGTATAGAGGAGAATAGAGTAGAATAGAGTAGTATAAAGTAGAATAGAGGAGAATAGAGTTCAATAGTGTAGAGTAGAATAAAGTAGAATAGAGTAGAATAGCGTAGAGTAGAGGAGAATAGAGTAGGATAGCGTAGCGTAGAATATAGCAAAATGGAGTAGAATAGAGAATTTTATCATTTATAATTTAGCCACAAAAAATTTAAAACGTCAATTACCGTCGTGACAAGCTATATAAATAATTTTCGTCGCATATTGGCGAAAATTTCCCCGAATCGACGGCTCTGCCAGCTAGCGACCATATACATATACACGCATCCATCGAAACACGATCCGACTCGTTGTCATACGATATAGGTGACATAATTACGTGATAGTAGGCTACTGGGAGCCTGTTAACCCTCGGCTCCGGTACCCGCTGATTTATGTACTTTGCCGCCGCCCGAAATATGAGCGGTCTGATTAACGCCGGAGACAACGTTGGTTAGTCGGTTTGGTTGGCTGGCGACCCAATTCGATGGCCCGATGGCGCCTCTCTCGACCCCTTCACGCCCGCTTCATTACTCACCCGGCCTCTCGTCAAATGACGCGAGAAAGGGATCAGTTTTTTTTAATATACAGGGTTTTAATTTATTGATTCCCGAAACTTCAGGAGGTGAATATTTGGATGATTTTAAGGAGAAAAGTTTATCTGAATATATGTCGTAAACCAGTAAACAAGTTTTCGAGGGTGTTACAATTTTAGAAAAAATAAACTTTTCTATTATAATTTCCTTATTACTCCAGATATTTTTATGAAATTTTGGACGTGGATGTCACTGGTAATGGTAGAAAATTAATTTTTACCCCCAAAAAAAGTGTTTCCATGCATGGGGGGCGCCTACCAAATTTCAACAAAATATCAAAAACAGGCTTAATGTACTTGGGAAAAGAATGTTTTGGTTTTTATTTTTTTGCGCGAAAATGGTGCGTCGTACAAAGGTAAGTCTTCGGACCGAATTTGCTCCAAAATATATGAGGATTTAAAAAATAATTTTGGTTTTTAGAAAAAGCAGTGGCGTACCATTTTTTCTTCAAACATATTTAGTTCAAACCCAGTACGGATGTCAGTGGAAAAATTTTTAAAAAGTTTTAGGCCAAAAAAATGATCTTTAATAATTAAAAAGTGTGTACAAAATTTCATCAAAATATCTGGAAAAATAAGAAAATTATGATAGAAAAGTTATTTTTTTTCTAAAGCTGTAACACCCTGTAGCTCAAAAACTAAGAGGTTTAGGACATATATTGATATAAACTTTTCTTCTTAAAATCATCCAAATATTCACATCCTGAAGTACCGTCACTCAATTAATTAACACCCTGTATATTTTCCATTTTATGAAGCGCCAATTTGTATTTAATTTACAGCCGGCGCATTTAAGAAACGCCCCTACGCGTACGCAATTATCGCATTTTCAAATTAATTTCACTAACTAGTTTTATTCCTTCGGCATGCAACGGCAACGGGCGCAAACCGGAAAACAAATAAATAAAATTATCATTCGCCGGAGATCTCGCTTTACGTCTGAACCTTTTATTCGAGCGCCTTTATTCGAGCGGGCAATTATAATTTTATTTCAAAAAGCGACGAATTTGCGAGAGCGTTGTTGCTGCAAAATAACTTATCGCGAATGTTTTAGCCGGTCTTCGCGAAATTACATTGCAAAATAAATATTTGTGTACCTGTAGCTATAATTTAATAGTGGCCTCGGTTAATTGAACTCGTTTCGGCCGCGTAATGCGATGTCCAAACTATCGAAAACAATGTTTTGGTAACGCCGGGTATGCGGAGGAGGCAAAAAGGCCAAAACCGAAATTCAGTTGCGAAAATAAGCGAGGCAGATAATTAAATTTAATATCTAGTTCTCCGCCTCGTTGTAATACTACTTAAAACATTTGTGTAATAATTTTTCTATACATACAAAAGTTTATATCAATGTATGTCCTAAACCTCTTAGTTTTCGAGCTACAGGGTATTAAAATTTGAGAAAAAAAATAACTTCTCTATCATAATGTTCTTATTACTCCAGATTCTTCTTAAAATCATCCAAATATTCATATCCAGAAGTATTTATTCAATTAAATAACACCCTCTATTCCATTCGATTATTTTTCTAAACTATCTCAGAATCTAATACCAATTGAATGATGTATAAATACTGATAAATCATCCACATTGTTTATCCCATACTAAACTATCAAATAAATCCAAAATTAGTCAATTTCGGAATACAAAATTTGCACCGAAATGCATGCAATTACATTGCAATATAGTACCACATTTGAATACTTACAAAAACGATCATAAAGAAGAGAGCTGCAAAGTAAGACGTCCTCGCCATCCACATGCTAACAAATCTATAATGTTCACCAGACACCACATTCCTAAAAACAACAATTTATAAGTACTCAATTTTCTCTATCGTAAGATATCTAAAATATCATTTACCTCAAATACCCCTTATTGTCCTCATACTCGGCCAACGTTTTAATGGAAGCTAGCAGTAAATCGTCGTATCCGAGGAACTCTTCGAGCAATAACCTGCTGAACGAGTCCCCGAAACAGGCATCTTTACCCGGATCTAACGTGACGATTTCCACGGGAATTTTCAATCTAGCCCTCGTTGCGGGACTCAAACGAAGGAAGCCGTACTCGAGGGAAAATTCCACGATGTATTCGTGATCGTCCGGACCTGAAGCATTTTTTAAAACAATTCCTGAGACTACTTTCAATCGATTAGATTGAGGAGTAACTTCAGTACCTTTCGTTTTGGAGTCGTCGGTAATTTCAGCGACAGTGTGGTCGGATTCGATAGTTTTTGTTGAGTTATCGGATCCAATTTCTGTTCTTTTGATGGGCTGATCAAACAGCGTGGACTCCTCAGAGGCAACTAGCGGATTTTTCGTCAAAAACGGGTAGTTGTCCCATCTCGTGGGCGATATTTTCGAAACGTTTAACAACGAATCAGCTATCACTTTTTCTTCACTTGCGTTATTCTTACTCGAGCCCAAATGATCTGCAATAAAATTAATACATTCGAAAATCGACACAATTCCAATCGATTACTGACCTTTTATATTATCTTCTAACGGTTCAGTTTCCCTCGAACTGTCTTCTACAGCCGATGGTTCGATGTTAACGAAGCTATCCCTCGCTAACAATCCTATCACTTGCACAAAATCCTCGACTTTGCCTTGCTGTTTCAGTTTCTCCTCTTTCGCGTAACTCTGTTCGATGTTGTAATCTTTCCCCACGTTTCGAACTATTTCTACTCTAAGGATTCCGTCTCGAGGCCAGGTGTCTTTGACGTGCATTAAGCACGTCGAAGGCGTCCGCGAAAATGTGATATGTATATACACCAGCACGAAGAACGCTGATATAGCTTTAACTAACGTGAGAAATTCTAATAACCGTCTCAATGGCCTAGGAAAAGTCCTTGCGTACGCTAAGGCAACTCTATAGAATAACGTATGAAATAACCTATCACGGACATTAAATAAAGGGTTTTGATTATTGTTGTTCCTTAATCTATTGGTGTTAATGAAAGGTCCACCGCCGATGTGGTTGTTATCCGGGTTGACCCCTTCTGGCACAACTGGAACGTTCCCGGACATTGTTAGGTAGCTTTGTTGCGATTGTTATCCAAAATTCTAAAACGTTGGCTCATCCTAAAAAATAAAGTAGGTTAAAAACTGGCAGATCAGAATGCAGAAAATTGAATTGTTATTACTTGCGATCATATTGAGTTCATTAATATGGTAATAAATTTCACTTTCAAAATAAGAGGGGAGATTAAAATATTTGATATAGCTACACACTATTATTCCGTAAAATTGACGTAAATTAAATCTGAATTACAAAGTTATTTTTTACCATATTTATGAGTTTTAATCAGAAAAAATAGGAAACGTACCTATACACAAACGTGGTAAAGTACTAATACGAAGTTACAGTGTTAAATCATAGTAAACAACTTTTAATAATATAAATTGTTTTAAAATTTTGTCCAAAAAAGTAAATTTTTGAACCAATATATCTCGTAATGTCAAAAACAAATATGAAATTTGACTTGACACTCTTGACAGTTCAGATGACTTTGACGTTTCACAAATCTTTCTTTTGCTACCACTTGTGCATATGGGCAATAGATTTTTCAACTGGTCTGTCTCTGTGTTAGCATTCAGCCAAAAATAGAATTTGGGACAAAATAATTAAAATAATTATGAATTAAACATTTATTAAAACTATATACAAAACTAACAAAAACATTAATTTCATCATATTAATGAATTCCTTCTAATGGAGAGAAAACCTTGTACTGATACAATTTGTCTCCACCGTATCCATAAAGGAGTCTACCCACACCGTTTTCATCATAGTAGGGATATCGATATTTGGGTCTAAAAAATTATAATTACTCGAAAATGTACTTTTAAAGCGGTACTAGAAAAAAATACGTTATTGTTTACCCACTTACCGTTCGTAATATTGGAAATTTGGAGCTCTCGGTTCAATGGCAGTTACTATTGCAAACATACCCACCAAAAGAAATATCTGAAATTATTTCATCGATAATATTTTCATTTATTGTACTTCATGTTACTTACAAAATAAGTTTTCAACATTTTTCTTCGAGTTGAAAATACGCGTCGACTCGCATTCACTGTTATAAAAAGCAGCGAATGAAGACAAAAGTGAAAGTTCTTCATCAGTTCGTTACCACTACATTTCTACCTTTTCAATATGTAGGTGACGATGTAAAAGTTCGGAACTATTACATATTTCATTTCGTAACATACGAGGGTCGCTTAAAATTTAAACAAACTTGAACGAAAGGACACTTCAACAATGACAATAAACACTTCAAAATAACGCATCCAGCATTTCCCATGTCAAACTGGCATAACGAATAGCAATCAAAAATGGAATAAATTCAATTCATCCCCATCTCACTTTCGTTCATCCACATTTCCGTCCGCCTCGACCAAATTCATGTTTCTCGTTCACCGGATCCCCATCACATCGACATGAAAGACATCGGACCCTCGAAAACCACCGACTTTGACGACGTGTACGTAACAATATTGCTCACCGAATCGACCACCAGCTTCCTCAATTTGAACCTGCCCCACGTCGAGTGCATGCACCCGGACAACTCCAAGATCTTCATCATATCGCCGGAGAAGTACAAGCTCATCTACAAGAAAGCCGCGCCCCTATGTTAGTATTATATGCATTTTTTGCTGTCTTGTAACTAACGCAGTCCGCTGGATTTGTAGGTGTAAATTCCGATGAGAATGTAAACAGTCAGGGATCAATTCCCATCAGTGTCGCCCACAATCCCAGTAGCGCCAACGCCGATGCGAGCAGCTTGGATCAAAACAGGAGCCTGCCAACGAGCAAATCTGATTCCGTCCTGTACAAAACCCACCTGCAAATGGCATCGGATGTTTGCCTGTTCAAGAGCAATTTTTCATCGAGATCCTCCAGCATGTACGGTAAGTCGTGGTCGCAACTACTCGGCTCCACAATCGATGCTCGTTGGTCTTTTAGAAGGATGCGATTCCGATGAAATCCTGCAGGATAGGAAATCGGCGGAATTTAAAGCTTTGAAAATCAAACCTTTACCGTTGTTGGCCGTAAGAACAACCGCCCATTCGAACAAACTCAACTCGTACTCGACGGACATTTACGTTTCCTTACTAGACTCGAGCGTAAGTTATCATTATTCAATTGAAAATAGTGTTGGAAGCGCATTTTTTTATACTTCAGATCAATTCCTCTGAGCACATATGTCGAATTTGCCACGGAGGTGAGAGTATAGACGATCTGTTGACCCCTTGCCGGTGCAGGGGAACAGTCGCCCTGGTACATTTGAAATGCCTGGAAAGGTGGTTGAAGGATTCGCATCACAGTTCGTGCGAATTGTGCCAGCATCACTTTAAGATCGTCAGAAAACCGAGGTAACGGCTCGCTATTTTATCCGAAATGTAAAAATTACTAGATGATTTGTTTTAGGTACGGCATTATGGGTTCAATACCGGCGTATTTGAGAGAAAACGGGCCTCAATTTAGGGAAATATTAATCGATTTGTTCGCTTTTATCGTCTACACACCATCAGCGGTAGCATCTACTTACATGCTAATGGTGCTGTGCGAAACTTTGGTAAAATCCAACGTTACGACCACGGGAACTTTTCCATCGCATTTGCTGGCATTTTCAGCCATATTTGGTAAACGAATAACATCAACCACTTTATTTTATTATTCATTCTTGTCTCGTTTTCAAAGGAATGGCCGCCATTGACTTCACTTACTCCTCTTGGTTGCTGTACACGTGCCAAAGACACTTGGAATCATGGAGAAGTTGGTACCACAGTAACACGACACTCAAAGTGGTACTGTCGCCGATTAAACTGCGACCGCACAAGAAAATTAGACAGCAGGAATATAAAGTGTTAAATGAATAGAGATAGTGAGGGGATATTACCACCAATACAATTGGAATGGTAGAATACAAGTGCTTTATTTTTTACTTCGCTTTATTTGATACAGGTACAGAATTACGAATGTAGGCAATGAAAAGAAGAGCCAGTTTGCTGGAAAGATTAATGGAATGTGATTTTCAACACATAAGCCCATTTGCTTCTAACTGTTGCTAAATCGGGAAATTTTATGTTGACAGCGGATTGGTCGACTGTCCACTGAAAAAGTACACTTTACAAACAGTATATGAAATATTACAGAATACTCGGTACCTTCAATATGCCATCATTTTCATTTCCAAGTAAGGTTACTGCAGTATCAACCGAGCGGAAATACTTCAATGGAGATTTCACCACCAAAATGTTATCCTTCGGCCAGTTTAGGGCAATGATGTAAAAAGCCTGTCCTTTGCCGGTGTACCATACATCATTAGCTAAAGTGTCGTTTTGGTAAAACCAAGGCTTCGTGCCGTAAATAGCCTCCCCGTTGATTTTTAACCATTCGCCCATTTGGCTCAGGCGATCCTGGAAAATCGGCGCGATTATTCCCTCTTTCGTGGGGCCCACGTTCATTAGGAGGTTACCTGAAATTTACCTGTAAATTAACTAATTTGTGTTAACTGTGTTAACTAAACTTTACCTCCGCAACTGACTGTCGATACTAATTCTTTAATAAGTTCTTCTATGGTGTAATAATCAGATAATTTGGCGTTTCTTCGGAATCCCCATGATTGCTTGTCGATAGTCATGGCGTTTTCCCATTTGTGCTTTTGAAGGGTACCTTAAAAAAACTTTTTAATTTGACATCGAAGCGTTAGAAATAGGCACTCACCAGGGTTATACCTGTCTTTGCACGAGTAAAAATCTCCATGGTGGCACGGTATATCGATCCCCCATCTATCGTTGGTAACAATTTCATCTTTCACGGGACTGTCGTTGTAGAGCCACGCCAAAAATTCGGTGGATTTCCAATAGGAATCGTACGCCTCCCAATCGCCATCGGACCACAGAACGCTCGGCCGGTACTTCTCTATCAACTCCACCATCTCCGGAATGATTTTATTCTCAACGAATTCCCGTTTGGTGTAATTCGTCTGCTTATCCGACAGGTAAATGGGATTGAACCACTCGTAGAGCGAATGGTAAACGCCGAACGTCAGGTTCCTGGATCTTACTGCCTTTGAAAGCTCACCTGGATACGATTGTTTAGATGAGAATAATTAATGATGTAGTGATAAGAGATTGTTTCTAAAGAAAATACGTTACCAACGAGGTCTCTTGCTGGTCCAACATCGGCGGAATTCCAACTATAAGCGTATTTTGAGGGCCATAGAGTGAATCCTTCGTGGTGCTTGCTGGTTAATACAATGTATCTAAAAGCCAATGTTTTAGTGTGCAGTAATTATTAATAAGATATGATGTACTTTGCTCCGGAATTGGCGAAAATCTTGGCCCATTCGTCGGGATCGAAAAATTCCGCCGTAAAATCTTTAGCAAAGTCTTGATATGTAAAAGTTTTCGGGTAATTCTGCTTCATGTAAGCGACGTATTTTTCCGACTTCCCTGCAAACCGAAATAAAATGCATTCAATCGAGGAAAATGGGATGATGGAATTGAGGTTATATAACATGTACCTTTCCAGTTGTTCCAAAACCATTCGGAGCCGAAGCTGGGCACGGAGAAAACTCCCCAATGGAGGAAAATTCCGATTTTCGCGTCGTCGAACCATTGCGGCAAGGGCCTGGTGTCTAAACTCTTCCAGTCCGGCTGGTATTTTCCCAAAGAGCCGGAAAAACACAGCGCGAAAATCGATAGAACTGCAATCGGGGTCATGTTGAATAATACAAATATACGACTTCGTTCGTCGACTAATTGAAGTAGCTCGATTAGAATGTAAACTGATAATTCTTTGTTATTTTTTAAGATAGCAAATATTTATAACGACGTATTAATAGTTTAATAATAACAGAATGTCTGCGCACTCATATTTTAGTGCATACGCCTCCTAAATTAGTCGCTTAGGAACAAAATTAAATATATATTTCTCAATAAAAAGAAGGAAGATAACGGAAATCAATAAACAATCAATAGACTTAAAAAATTGGTAGACAATTTGGAAAACTTGATAGAAATAATAAAAATTGTTAACAAAAGTAAAGAGGGATCAATAAAAGAATATTTTACATATTTTTCTCCTGCAAATTTGTTTTAATCAAACAAATTTAATTTTCTTAGTCCCACATATTACTTCCTAAATTTGCAGTCCTTATTTTTCAAAGATGTTAAAAATAGAAGAATAGAAAATCATATTTTTCTCGTGCAAAATTTCGTCTTAATCAACTCAATTCTTAATTTTCCTGATCCCAAATATTCTTCCTAAATTCCCAGCCACAACTCTTCAACGAGTTTCTCTTGCAAATTTCGTCTTAATCAACTCATTTCTTGATTTTCCTGATCCCAAATATTCTTCCTAAAGTCCTAGCCACTACTCTTCAACGAGAATAAAAAATAAATCCACCGGGATTATAAATATACCGTACATACAATATAAAACAAAAACACACCATATGGCATCAAAGTTATCTATCTACACAAGCTAATTAAACAACACATATTGGTAATCCCTGTAATTAATTCCAATATAGGTAAGCATCCCTATTTTTCACGCGGTAATTGGCATATGGCAGGAATAGATAAATAGCCCGCTTATCGCCGAATAACCCATCGAGTGTAAAAATCAGAAGACAAACAATAAAGATACGGAGGTTTATATAAAGGATAGCGATCGCTGAAAGGACTCCGAGTGCGGGAAAATCTGTGGGTAAACAATTTTCATTTCGAAAAATGCGTCCGGATGCGAAACATGGACGGGAAAACCGCGAAAAGGGATAATAAACGAGTGTACAAAATAAAAATGAGACGATACAAAGCTAACGCCAGGGAGCGGAACAGGATGCACGGACTCAACGCCGCGCTGGATAGACTCAGAAGGTAAATAAATTTCAGTTGTAAAAATTTGTCCACCTATCGTGGTTTGTGTTGCAGCCACATGCCTATCCATCTGATCCACTCTGACAACACCTCAGCGCCTCAGAAACTGTCGAAAATCGAGACGCTCAGATTGGCCAGGAACTACATCGCAGCCCTGACTCAGACCTTGCAGGAGGAGCGACCGATGGAGATGATGAGATTCATAGGCATCCTGAGCTCTGAGGTCAGCCAGACCACGGCCAATTTGCTCACCAGCACCTTCCTGAGCAGACAAGTGTACGGGTCCTGTTGCCAAGAGGATTTCCACAATTACAAATGCCGCGAGAAGCAGCACGCGCTGCCGAGCGAGGAACAGTACTGGAACTATCCGCGGTACAAACAGGACACGAACCAGAACGTTAAGTTTTGGAACTTTTACAATTGCAATAACGGTGATAATGGGTTTGTGAATAATTATTCCGAGTATGATCGTATGTACGCGAGTAATAAAAATAATTTTTACGTGTAATTTTTTGTAAGAGTTTTATTAGATCAAAGTCGAATAACAATTTTCAAAAAAATAACTTGTTAAATATTAGGTAAAATTATCACAATATTTAGTGGAATGGTAGGAAGACATGTAAAATATTTCTTAGGTGATATGTATTATGATTGAGGCCATAAATTTAATATTTAAACTTAAATCTTTATAAACTTAAAATTCCATTATCAACGAGATTATTCATTTTATATTGTTAAAATTTAATATAAATTACATTCGATATCTCGATTAATCTAATAACAAAACTTGTCAAATAAATTAGTAACAAGTAATCAAATAAATTCCATTAAAAGGCATAAAATCGAGTCAATCGATCCATCGTCGTATAAAATTTTAAGTAGTTATGATATGTTATTCTTGATTAAATTAATTATGTATAGCAATATATTTACAATTAAAAAATATTTATACAACTCCTAGTAACAAAGATATAGTAATAAAAACTGTATACACAATATATTTTTTCTCCTTCATAATTATAAGTAGAGGTATTTTTGCTTATTTTTATTTTTAAATACCTTGTGAGGTATTTGTAAAAGTATTAAAAATAGGCAAATGTAGTTGAATAAATGCAATAAACTTGAATGGATAATTTTGTCACTGACACCTTTCTTTCTATTCGAATTTGTTATACTACAAAAGGTTTCTCAATTCATCAATAGCAGCTCTTAAACCCTAACTATTATCCTTAAATCCTTAAATTCTTTCTCCAAATTTGTAAATGATAGATACAAGAAAAGGTGCAAAAAGTCAACACAAAATCAAGATCACATTTCGCAAGTGATGTTTCCAAATCAAAAAAGTAGGTACATAATATCACCATATAGCCAATTCATAAAAAACATTCCCTTAATCGATCACATCTCAAAACTCGAATCGCTCATAGCTCCATCATTATGCGAAAAAGCAACAATCTCTTCATCATCATCTTCGTCATCTTCGTCGTAATAAGGTCTCAAAATAGGCGTTTCTAAAAATTTAATCATACAACAATTGCACAAAAAAAATAAAGAAAATAATCTTACTCAGAGGCGTGCGAAACAGTTCGTCCTCCTTCGACTCGTCCCTCAAATCATACTTAAAGTCCTCATAGAAACTGTGCTGCGCCAGAGGGCCGTATTCGTTTCGCTTCTTGCAGCACACGTAAAAGGCCAAACCTACGCCTAGCAAACCCGCGCAAGCGAAGCCTATGATGAACACGAAAGGCAACCTAGGTATACCGAAATAGCTCGAATCTACCTTCAATCTAACCATCACGATCGTGGGTAAACGATTGTATGAATTTAGTGATACTAATTTGATAGTGGGATGGTACCCGTGAGATTCGTAGTTAACCGTGTAGTTTCCGGGCGGTAATGGTACACCGTATTTACCGGTTTCGTCAGTGAAAACAGTCTTGTTTACCTCCAGTACTGTCACGTTGGCTTGTGCAACTGGATGATTCGAATAATCTTGAACGTATCCTGTAAATATTTAAAATTAGTATACCTCATCAAAAAGTAGCTTGGCAGTTGAAGGATGGTTGATTCGAAGAAGGAAGAAGGTAGGTACTAAGAAAGATTAATTGATACTTGATATTAGAAATGATTGGGTACCTCTAATTCCTGTTGGAACATCTCCCTCGAATGGCAGTTGTAAATGATTCTCGCTGGGCGTTTTAACGATAGTACCGGGGTAAACTTCGGGCGCGGTACCGAGTTTATTAAGCGCTACGTTTAATGTGGTGATTTGCCCGAGGGTAACGGTAATTTTGTCGAGGCTGGGCCGGTAATCGTGGCAAAACACGCGCAGCTCGTAGTCGCCCGGAGGCAACATTATCTTGAACAGGGCTTTATTTTTAGTCACTTCGTATGTTTGAGCCACCCCTGATATTTTTATCGAGGCGTTCAACATCGGCTCGCCTAAATTATTCACCACTGTTCCTTTAACTCCTGCAAAAAGAAGATACAGTCACATAATAAAAACGCTTTTTAAGAGAATAAAGTACCTGTTAGGAACGTTGATAGTACCCTCATGAGAGGATTTAAGGTTTCCCTCCAAATATACGGGATATCACCGACGAAAGGATAGTCGCAGCAACTCACTTTTACTGTTAACATCGGAGTATTGTATTCCTGGTACAAGTACTCGGTAAGTAATTTATCTGTACCGATTTTCGCGCTGCTGCAATGCCTCTTTACGCCCAAACCCGAGCTATAAGCATCTGCTACATATTTGTATATTCGAATATCATCTTTCGTTGTGGGATATCTAAAAAAATCAACTTAAAAAAAACGATAAACTTATGATTAATTAACTGACAATATCCCAGTAGCGCCTCCTTCCAAATTCACCACCAAATCGAACCTCTCCTCCACCAGCATCCTCTTGAACGCGTTCGCCACCGACTTGGTGTCCTGGTTGTTGCTGTCCCTGCCGTTGACGTTGAGCACCTGCTCGCCCACCTGCCGGAAATCGGCCGAGATGTCGTTGCACGAGAACCGCTCGGGCTTCACCGCGCCCGACGCCGCCTTGTCGTAGTCGCCCCAGATGCTCTCGAACGCCTTGTCGATCACCGGCACCACGTGCACCACCATTCGAGACAGGATAAGCGCCACGCGCTCGTCGCCCACGCGGTACCCTTCGAGCAGGTGGCGCGCCACGAAGACGCCCAACTCCCTGCCGATGGGCTGCGTCGCGAACAGGTTGCCCACGATGGCCACGTGGAACTTCGATTCCTCGTCGTTCGCCGTCTGGAAATTTAGTGAATAATTGTGCGTTAGGAAGAGTTATTTATGCTTGAAATCGGTGTATGAACCACCCTGTGTAAGTATTTTACCTTATTGGTTATTTTCAGCGAGTGTATGGCCATCGAGATGAAGTTATCGCCGCCTTGGAATTCGGCGATGTCGGGGTAATTGTTCTCCATCGCGGTTAGCATGACGTCGATTTCGTGGCTGGTGTGGTACTTGGGATTGAAATGGTTCTCTCCTAGGTTGAAATCGTAGGCGTTCGCCCAATGTCGAGGATCGTCTCTCATTAGCGTCACGTTGTATTGCACGTGGCCTGAATCCGGTACAACCTAAAAAATCATATTCGTTATATTGTAGATAATTGTAATTGGAGTGTTCGTACGATTTCGGTGGTGTAGCTTTCGTATCCTCTCGCTGAAAACGTGACGTTGTATCTACCGGGCAGCAAAATCCTGTAATAATCCCCGAATTTGGCCGAACGCGCCGCGTGGTCTATTCCTTCGACGAGTATTTCGGCGAAATCAATCGGATGTCCGATGGTGCTGGTAACGTAACCGCTCACTCCTTTGTGTACCTGCTCCATGTAGGCCACGAGGGCTTCCTTGTTATCCAGCCAATAATCCGGCAGCTCGTTGGCTTTGGGGTACTTGTAGCAGCCGATTTCTAATGTAATTTCCATGCAACCCGCCACGAGGTAGTTCCAGTCTTGCATGCCGCCGGTTACCACGTACCATTTGGCGCCGTTCGTGACGCCGCCGTCGAAGATTTCCTTAGGGAACATGGGACAGGGGATACCCTCGTGCATTGTCCTGTGAGCCTTGAACATCAAACAGGATTAATTTTAATTCGACGATAACGAGTAAGGACTTACATTGGCGTAAGTATGCGCTAAGTGTTTAAATACTTTGTCATCGGGTGATAAATTTTCATTCGGTATGTTGTTGGGGGTGTCATCGAAGGGGTAATTGGCTACCAAAGCTCCGTTGTGTAAATTAGCGGAGAGAACGAAGGGCTGCGATAGCGTCCAATTCATAACTGCTGCTGTTTCTGGTTGAGTAATACTGTTAAACTGTTGAAAATACTCTTAAGTCTTGACTTTTTTCTAGAGTTAATGTGTAATACCTTATTAGTGCCATATTGATCGGGGAAGTTTCTGTTCAAATCGAAATCGTTGGCGTTGTTCCTGCCTATTAAACTCGACGCATCGCCTGTAACAATATTAATAAATATTTCTGTATAGGTTGTGGTTGTATTAAATAACCTTCTTGCGACATTTCGTATCCGTCCGGATTCATGCTTGGTAGGAAATGGATTCTTGTGGTATTAACCAGCTTAGTAATTCTGTCATTTGTGCCGTATCCTTCGCATATGTATTTAATCAAATAAAGTAGTAATTCCCTACCGATGACTTCGTTGCCGTGCATGTTAGCTACATATTTGAATTCAGGTTTACCTACAATTACATCTCTTTTATTTAAACGCCTTTAATCAAAAGTTTCATCGATATACCTGCTACGTGAGTATCGGGAGTGCTTCCTATAACGAATACCATAAGGTCCCTTCCTTGCACTGATTTTCCAATAGAATGTAGTCTAGAAATACTCGAGTATATTTTGCTATATTCTGTCATAAATTTCACCATATCTTCGTAGTGATGGTGTTTGAACAAAGTGGGGTCATCGATTACGAAGCCGTATTTATTTGATGTGTTATTATTAATTTCCTCAATCGTGTAATTGACTGTAAGAGAAAGGAAGGTGAATTTATTTAGTGCTTTGTTTTAGAATAAAATAGTGGATTAAGAAAACTTTCTGGTTAGGATACGAAATAAATAAATACTTACAATATCATTACATGTATTAACGGTGTGATTCCAGATTAATTTGTTAACTCACAAGGTAATAACAACAATAAAATACACATGTCTTTCGAATTTTTTATTTTTTAAAAAGTACGTACAACAGGTATTATTGTCTTAAACTTACATAAAAATATATTCAAAAAACTGATATAAAAATGTCTTTTAAATAATATCAAACACATGTATTTTATTTGAGTAAAATTATTCAGTTGTAATTAAAAATATTAGTAATTAATGCTATAAGAAAGCTAATCAATCATAACAAAATTTTGTTTAAGTTTGTGCCAAATAAAACAACAAAGTGTGTAGGTATTATGTTAGTAGGATTAGGTAATCTAAAAATATAAAAACATCACAAACAAAAAAGTACTGTGTAGTGACAGTGTACTAGGTTGAACCAGTTTAGCACTCGGATTCCCTGTAATTCGTAAAAACCCATAATACCCAGAAATTTCCAAACGAATTTTATATTTAATTTTATCTAAAAAATCTGACCTCATCTAACTTATCATTTATGAAGAGATAAAACACTTAGGACACACGTACGTAAAAAATAATGTTTAATACTAAAGAGATTTCTTTTACCCGAACCACATTACTTCTACATCTACTAACTACTTCTACAATATTGTCATTTAATGCTTTTAATTTGTCAATTCGCCTTCATTTTTCCCGTTTTCAATTCCAATGCCAAACATCATCAAGTCTTTCATTTCCCGAAAATTTACCTGATTGTGGCTGTTGCAATTTCAACACGAAATCTTGTCTCGCAGTCTTCCCTTCTTCGACAACAACATCAACAGTCTCGGACGGTTCATAACTGAAAACACTCGCAAATTTTTACCCTGATTACATCACCCATCGCCCATTTATACTCACCCAAAGGCAACCGCGTACATCCGATAACTCCCGGGCAACAGTAACCTCCAATACTCGCCCCTATTCGACGTGGTGACGTTGTGATTGACGCCCGCGACGACGACGTCGGCGTCCAATACGCCCTCGCCCTTATCGTTTTGCACCATACCCTTCACGCCCCAATGGGTGGCTTCCACGAAGCTCAGCATCGATTCCTTGTTGTTGGCCCATTCCCTGGGCAGCGCCCTCGCCGGTGGGAATTTGCAACAGCTCAGTTCGAACGTCACTTCGAAGCAATTGGAGTGGACGTAGTTGAAGTCTTGCATGCCGCCTGCGATAATATTGTATGCAATTAATCGGGGATTGAGTGTTGGGGTTTTAGCGATGGAAATTACCTCGTACTTCGTACCATTTGGCGCCGTTCGTTATGCCTTGATCGAATTTGTCGTCTCGGCAAGCGGTGCCATTTTTCATGACGGGGTTCGATTGGGCGTAGAGAAGGGCTAGTTTTTTAAATAGAGCGTTGTCAGGTGACGGACTGTCCTGGCCATATTGTCGACCGGAGCTATAAGAAAACAGAAATGTTTACATTTCAAATACAATAGTATACTAGAATAGATACACTAAAAGGATTAATGTGCTACATCTGATAAATCTATTAAGTGTAAGGCAAATTGTAACAGTTAATATTATGGTATTTATACATAAAATTATTACATTAGATAAATTAAGTACTACTTATAGTCAGAATAACCTCTTTTATAAAGGTCTCAAGCAATACAATGAGTTAGCTGACTCTGTTAAAAACTGTGATAGTCTGAGGCAGTTAAAATTTGAAATTGTATGTATTTTTATATGTTATTATGAACTTAGAAATTGTTTTTTATTTTTTTGTATAGGTATTGAGTGAAATATATATGTAAAATATAAAATTATGCTAATCAGGTGCTAAATAAAAGTAATTATCATTATTATTAGTTCATTATCAAAAAATAAAAAAAAACAATTTTAGGAACTGCTACTTAGGAGTAAAACAAATCTATAATGAGTAACGTTTGATAAGCGATTTAAAAATCTTCCTAGATAATAATTGGTTTACTAATTATAAACATTTTTAGATAGATATTTTTTAAGCCAATAATTCAGGGCTATAAATCGAATACCCTTGAAGCTTACTTGGAATCATCGAAGGGGTAACTGGCTACTACGGCTCCACCATGTAAATTACCAGATAAAACGAACGGTTTGGAAATTATCCAAGTCATCATCGCCACTGTTTCGGGTTGTCGACCGGCCAAAATAGTTCCTGTAATGAGAAAAGAAATGAAGTATTATAAGTAAGAACTCCATATGGACAGATTAAATTGTCTTATACAATTTTGTACCTGTTTTTGTGGTGTCAAATTGATCGGGAAAGTCTCGGTTAAGGTCAATGCTGTTCTCGTTTTCTCTACCCACATATCTCGGTTTGGATTCGCAAAGACCCTCCTGAAAGAATCATTTATTTTGCCGATAGAAATAAGTAGTATACAGGGTGTCCAGCATAAGAACCGGTACAGAGCATGGGGGTGTAAGGGGTTAATTTCAAGTTGGGTTAAACAACATATTTTGGGCTATCGTACACGCCCCTGCTCTGTGTCGGTTCTTATGCGGGACATCCTGTATGTAAAAATAAGTAAACTGTACAAAGGTGGCTCATAATCTGTAAATTTGATCTTAAATAATAAGTTCATGGCCAATATAGTCCTGTAAAATTTTGTTACAGGTGGCTTAATAGTTATCAGATATTGTGAATAACCGCAGTCTAATCAACAATGGATTAGTAGATAAATAACACAAGTAAATCACAACTATTTTGTAATATAAATAGCAATCTAATCACAACAATAAATCGAACTACGTAAAGAAAACTATTAACACAACTGTTCGAATTCAAACATTACTTAGGTGTTAATTTTTGTTTAATATTTTAACAGTCGCTATTATAACTGTGCTAAATAATTATTTCGAAATAACGAAAATAATACGAACCAGGGAATTTTCGTATCCATCTGGATTCATCGAAGGCATCAAATAAATATCTGTGCTATTAACTAACTTGGTCACTCTTTCGTTAATGCCGTAATTGTGAATTAAATACAGGGCTAAATAGATAGTTAGTTGCCTTCCAACGGACTCGTCCCCGTGCATGTTAGCAACATATTTGAACATGGGTGTCAGTAAAGTCCTGTTCTGGACGTTGGCGTTGATTTCCAAAACCCATAAATCCCTGTTTTTCACCGATTTGCCCACCGATAAAAGTCGGACGAGCTGCGGATGTTCCGCTTCGAGTTTCCTGAACAGATTCGTTACTTCATCGTAGTCGAGGTACCGAGGATTTTCCAGGAAGCTTTCGTATTCGGTTTTCGGCACACTCAAAGGTTCACTTAAATTTAATATCACACACAGGATTACTATTGCTCGGTACATTTTGATATGGAGAATACTAGCGCAGATCAAATACGAAGCGACATGCTATCGGGAGTTTTTGCAGTCTTGCGGAACGGTTTTTCCACAACCACAAACAAGAAACGTCAACAGAAAATTAAAATATCCCCTCCACTGCCTTTAGTGCTGTTATGAGAGAATTGGCACCGGCGCTGAATTATTACTGTATTTAACAAACTAATTGTAAGCTAATAAATCGCTTCGAACTTTTAACATTTGATGGTACTATTCTTGTAGGTCAAAATAATACAATAAATTTGTTGTAAAACGTTTTATTAACTTGTAAATTTGTCATATTAAAAACAAGGTGTAAAAAGTGTTGCCTATATCTTGTATATCAATCTGTCAATGTCATTAATTTTACAAATGTTACTGTCAAAAATGTCAAATCGAAACCTTTTGTTTTTATCGAATATTATTTTAAGGTTAAATATTTTTAAAAACATTATTGTTTGCTAGCTCGTTTAAATTAAAGTGATAAGAACTAATTGTGATAATTTAAGTATAAAATGAGTTAATTCCACCTAAAATTGTTTACAGTACAAATATAATAAGTTGTTACTTCGAAAAAATACAATAAATAATGAGTTATGTTAGTGATTTGAGCCAGTCTCAGGAATATTTGAGCTTCAGAAGTAATGTACCGTTAAAAAGAATTGTAGTAGATTCCGATAATTCTAAGGTGTGTAAGATATTTGATACGAAATAGCGAATCTGTTTTAATTGTTTATAAATTAAGTACTATCATTTTCAGGGTTGGCGTATTTATGATTGCGGTCCCAAAGCAGTTCAATGCCCTCTAATTTGTTTACCGCCGGTTTCCGGAACTGCGGATATATTTTACAAGCAGGCTCTTGCTCTATCAGCGAAAGGTATTAGAGTTATATCAGCAGAATCCCCAGTATATTGGAACGTAAGGGAATGGTGTGAAGGTTTCAAAAAATTACTGGACTACTTGGAATTAGACAGAGTGCACATATTCGGATGTTCTTTAGGTAATATTGGCCAAATTTGTATAATTCTTGTATCTTCTGTATCAAATTGCAGGTGGTTATTTAGCTCAAAAATTCGCGGAGTATACTGCGAATTGCCCTCGAGTGGCTTCCTTAATACTGTGCAATACTTTCACCGATACTTCCATATTTAACAATCACGACTCGGCAGCTATTTTTTGGATATTGCCAGCTTTGGTCCTTAAAAAAATGATAATGGGTAATTTCGGTTCGGCGAAAGTCGATCCAGAAATGGTAGAAGCAATAGACTTTATGGTTGAAAGGGTAAATAGATAGTAATTTATTTTCTTAATTTATTTATACGTTTTATTTTCAGCTGGAAAGTTTGCCACAAACTGAGTTGGCTAGTAGATTAACACTCAATTGTTTAAGAGGATATGTAGAAGTCCACAAACTTAGAGATTTATCTGTTACAATTATCGATGTTTATGATGAATCCGCTTTATCAAACTCGGTGAGAGAAGAATTATATAAATGTTACCCAAGTGCCAAATTAGCTCATCTAAAATCAGGTGGAAATTTTCCTTATTTAAGTCGATGTGGAGAAGTTAACCTACATTTACAGGTAAATTATGCCAGATATTAAGGAAGATGTTATAATTATTTTATTGTTCCAGATACATCTTAGGCAATTTGATAATTCACCATTTAGTGCATCAGATAAACCGTTAATTTGTAAACATTAATAATACTCAAATTTTATTTTATGTTATACTACGTATATCTATTAGAGAGATGTAAGTAAAATACCAAATAATTTTCTGTACCGAATTATTTTTTAATAAATATTTTCTTATATTATTCTATAGAATTGAATAGTTGTATAACTATAATTCGAATATATCTATGTATACAAGTAGATGCAAAGTTGTTTGCAATATAGGCTATGGGTGCAACAAAGACAACATCCATTAGTCTCTTATAAAGGAAAGAGTTATATTATGGGATTGTAATTTTCTCTCTCTAACCACTGTTATTTTTATTACCTTTCTTTGTTTAACTTATAGATTTAATTATATTGCAAACAATTTTGCATTTATGTGTGTATTTATAAGTCAAAATTAATGGAAAAACGATTTTTATTTAACTTTTTTCAATGGGTCTACATGGAACACATCAGGACGTCTTGTTGGTTTCATTTCCTCGTCGCTGAAATACTCTGGAAAACTATCATTCGGATTAGGCTCGGGCGATTCACTTTTCTGCAGTTCTTGGGATTTCGTTATAGTTGAATAAATAGTCATTGCCTAAAAATTAAAAAAACAAAATTTTTTTAAATTATCACCTAATCAACGAGCATTATTCTGCAGTTTTTCACTAATCGAAGGAATTTTTTGGAACGTTTGTGCTACGAAATCTTATAAAAATTATTCATTAAAAGGGTATGAGAAGGTAAAATATGGCCTGGGACCACCCTAAAATTTTTACTTTTCTGAACGAATCAGAAATCTAAAGTTTATCATTCATTCAAGACTTACATTATTTGATTTATTATTGTTATGGGATAAATCTTGTGAATTTATTAATGAAGGATAAATACTCATTGCCTAAAACAAAAACTTAATCTTAGATCTACAATCTAAGCACATAAACAATGTCCTATGACACCAATGAACTCTAAAAATATTTAAGTAGTTGTATAAGGACTATTAGGGAAAAGAAATATCAATAATGATACAATCAACCAAAATAAAACACTTACTTGTGCAACTAATCCGCTAACATCTCCAGTATTGGCAGGCAATATTAAAGTATTATTCGTCCGAGCTAATTTGTTGAAGGCATTAACATACTGTTCAGCTATACTCAATGAAGCAGCATTAGGTCCCAAATCCTTCTTCAATGCTTCAGCCACTAATTTCAATCCTCCTGATCGGGCCTCGGCTACAGCCAAAATAGCTGCAGCTTCTCCAGCAGCTTTGTTGATTTGCTCTTGCCTTTCGGCTTCCGAAGCTAATATACGAGCCTTCCTTTTACCTTCCGCAACGTTTATATCCGCCTCTCTGACTCCCTCAGATTCTAAAATGGCGGCTCGTTTTTTCCTCTCGGCTTCCACTTGCATTTGCATGGCTTCTTGTACCCTCGGAGGCAGCTTGATGTCTCTTATTTCGTAACGCAAGCAAGTCATACCCCAGGCTTCGCTTGCTTTGTTGATCGAATCGACAATCGAAACGTTGAGGTTTTCTCGTTCGCGGAACACTTTATCTAGCGATATTTTTCCCAATTCAGATCTCATGGTGGTTTGGGCTAGTTGAGTTATGGCGAATTCAGGATCTTCGACTCCGTAGCTGGCTAGATAGGGATCAATGATTCTCAAATACAACACACCATCGATGTTTAAAGTGACGTTATCTGATGTAATAGCACTTTGTTTGGGAATATCTACAGCGATTTCCTTAAGGCTTTGCACGTATTTGACTCTATCTACTATGGGAATCAGTACGTTCAATCCTGGCTCGAGTATACGATGAAATTTACCCATACGTTCTACTACCCATGCCTGAAATAACCAATACGATAAAAATAAATTCGTTTTGACGATTTTCGAAGTAACTTACCTCTTGTTGGGGTACAAACATAACAACAGTATTTACCGGAGTGTAGGATTTGTGTCTGATTGATATATTTCTGGCGGCATTACTAAGGAAATTTGGCTGAAATTTAGGACAAATACATAATTAATTGCAAAAACTGTCTTTCGAATTCTTACCTTCACAACTACTCTATACAGGGTTCTTGTTGTAGAAATCATTGCATGTATAAATAAGTCAGTAATGAAATTAAACTTTTATTTATTCAACTTTCAAGATTTTTCAAGTATAGGAATTCTAACCTCACTATTCTTCTTCTTACTTAGAATTGTATCTATTGTTAAGGGTGCCTTCACCTAGTAAGGTCGGCAACTATTAATGACAATTAAATTAAATAAGAATAATAGGCTTATAATAATGGAAAAACCTAATTAGTTGCATAAATTGGAATATGCTGAGAATAATTTTTAATATGGAACATGTAGAAATAAAATATAAGTGAATGTAAGATGTAAGCCCGCCATTACACAAAACGGAAATGAAGAATACGTCAAGTCAAAAACAGACAAGACAGGAAGATCAAGTGAACTTCTATCAAAATTTAAGTCAAAAAATTTCTTTTTGTTTTGAGTGAATCGTACGTACTTTTTGAGAAGCAATATTTTAAGTTTATCACTAAGTTACATCGTCTTCTTGACAAAAAATCTTCGAAGTAGCAATTTCCCCCACTAAAAAATTTGAAGATAACAAATTGAAATTTCCCGCGACTTAGAAGCTATATCGATTCCGGTTCTGCCATTTCGTTTTTGGATCATTGTAGCGCGGATAGAGCACCAGTCTCTTTTTCTGAGAGTGTGCTTGTGCTTATTCAGTTCGTGAAGTGTGCTTCTTTAAAAATAGTATACACGTAAGTTGAGCGTTATTATACCTAAACAACTCGTTTCGATGCCTTTTTATAGCGCATCGGAATCAATTCCGAATTATCCCAATTGGCAAGTGACCATTTTCCAATGAGACCTTGTAGTGTGTGGCTTCCACCTTGAGAATTCCCTTGAAAGTACGCCCAAAATGTCGTGACCCTATTTGAAAGAAAACTATTTTTTACAAACTAGTAACTCGATTATGAGTTTTATTCATGCAAAGGAATTATTTGAACGTAGGGATATGGTCGATGACCTGCTTTCGTGGTCTTTTGTGCCGTTACACGCCACATAGGTAGCTTCTCAACTCTTTCACCCTGTTATCAACGTGAGTAACGTGACTCATTCTTTGTTAATTTTGTTTTCATTCCTGGTATTTTCGAAACTACACAAATAAAATAGCGATTGTATGACCGACGACTGAAAAAAATGTCGTTTTAGCTCGTATTTAGTCAAAATTCGTAAAACTAGCGCATTGTAAAAGAAGGGATTATTTTGAGACTCTTTGTGTATTTTATGATTCATCAGTCGGTAAATATTTTCGATATTTGCACTCTAATATTGCCAATACGAGTAATCATATTTGTTAGATTGTTGCATGCTTTCTAAATTTTTATATTTAATTGTATTTTTATAAGTGCTGTTGGTAAGGATTTCTTAATTCTTGAATAGGTGAAATTTGATCCGTTTTTCATCTGAAGAAATATCCAGTTCAATACAATAAAGTGTTTACGAAATTACCTAATTACAATTTACTAGCTCTCCTTGAGGGTTGAATTTACTGAAGTTAGCTATAAGTAAGTTCATAGTAGCTTTATTCCAATTTGTTCGAGTCTTCGTTGAAACCCTCTTGTTTATTTTCGAAATACTTACCAGTAAATAGTTGCAAATAGTTCACAACTGGCTAGATTTCCTCTTATTGTGAAAGAAACTCCAAAAGCGTGGATTTTAAATTTAATAAAGCATTTTTTTACAGAAATTTTTGTATGAGTCAGAAGGTAGAAAAACCAGTTCTATCCGGTCAACGCATCAAGACCAGAAAAAGAGGTATGTATAATAAATATTGGGTAACAATGAGCAAAAGTATTAATTTCCAAATGAGGAAGTATTTAACGTAAAATCTGGTATTTCCTACTCATCAAACCAAAAATTTAACAACGAAAACAAATCAAATCTGTTCTAAATCGCTTTATCGCCTATGGGATTATTTGTATGTTCATAATTTAATTAACCTACATAATTTGAACTAGAAACCTTCAAAAATATGTAACGCTTTGATAAGTGCTCTACAATTTTGCATATTTAATAAACAAGTAATATTAATTTTCAGATGAAAAAGAGAGGTATGATCCAACTGGGTTTAGGGATGCAATAATCTCTGGACTCGATAAATGTGCTAAAGATTTCGAAGCTATATCTCGTTATTTGGACAGTGCTGGTAATAAACTAGATTATCGTCGTTATGGCGAAAGTCTCTTTGATATACTCATCGCTGGAGGCATCCTGGGTAAGTTACCAAACAACCATATTGGTATAATGTAATATTAAAAAAACTATTCTTCTTTCAGTTCCTGGAGGTACATTGTCACAAGAAGGCGATGGACCATATAGAACAGAGGCGTGCATTTTCAATTCACCGAACGAAATCAATATGGAAATAATGAAGAATTGGGAACAAGTGTTCATTAAACTAATGCGTCGCTATAAGTATTTGGAAAAGATTTTCCAGGTTCGTATTGTCATTTATCACATTCATTCTGTGGATTTTTTTGTCCAAATTGAGTTCTTCTTGTTGAGATCTATAAGACTAGAATATAACAGTAAAAGTCAATTTAATAATCTCGATATGTCAAAGTTCACAGAATTAACATTATGCTCTCCACAGCGAGTTTTTGTAAATTTATAATTGATTTATATTTTATATAGGACGAAATTAAGAAAATACTATTGTTCGTGAAGTATTTCCTGCCGTCCGATCGTAAGAAATTGTCCGTGATGGTGTACATCTGGATAGCGAATGGCAGTATACCGTTTACAGCTGTGCTCGTCTTAAATAATTCGCATCTCGTCAAAGACCATCTAGCGTTGGACTTCCTCATTGACGTGTTCAAGGCGTGGCGCCAGGAGAAGGGCGTCAATTCGCTTTATTCGGCCATCAAGAAATCGAACATTGAATCTCACCTGACGAGTTTCATACCCGACACGAAGCAGTCTCAGCTGTACTTTCGTAATGCCTTTCAGGTAAATGAATTTCGATGTACCTGGATGAAGATACATGGTATAATCGGTGGAGTTTTGGCTTAATTTGCGTTGTAATTTCAGGATAACGGTCTAGAGGAAATACTCAAACTATACAACGATCAGCACCAACAACTGGCCAAGAAGGAGCTACAGGTGCTTTTGGCTGACAGCCTCAATGAAAGTAAACCTCTTCGTGATATAATTAATGAAATCAAGGAGATCGGCTTGAGAGATAATATATTAGAACACGAAACTGTTTGTATTATATGGACGACGGTCATGGACATTCCAGAATGGTCGAAAAAAGAGGTACATTTTTCTCGATAAATTTACACTTTTCCAGTCAAACTGCGAATTAAATTTGTTATTGTTCGATTCGTTTTATATTGTACTGGATTACATTAAAAACACCGTTACTGGCATTGATTAATTTTGGTTTTTTCAATGTTATCATGGGTTGTAACATTCAAAAATTGCTTCTTCATCACATCTTGTTATTAGTTATTATTAACAAAAATTATTGAACGAATTATTCTTATTTTACAGGAACTTGTAACGGAACAAGCCGTACGACATCTCAAATACTACACTAATCTGTTCGCCGCGTTCACCGAGTCAGCGCGCTCAGAACTCAGCCTTTTGCTGAAGGTTCAAGATTATTGTTATTCGAATATGACTTTTATGAAGGCCTTTCAGAAGATCATAATGTTGTTTTACAAGATGGACGTCATCTCCGAACAGACCATTTTGAAATGGTACAAGCAAGATTATAACGTTAAAGGCAAAATGATGTTCGTGGAGCAAATGAAGGAGTTTATTAATTGGCTACAGAACGCAGAAGAAGAGAGTGACTCTGATGGTGAAAGTGAATAAGTAGGTACACGCATATTTTTTATAAGTTAAAATTGTTTGATTTAGAAGCGGAAATTGCGCGGTAATTTTCTTTTTTGGTACGATTTGTTAAAATGTTTTTTTGATTAATTAAACTCGTGTTTAGAATTTTAGAATAAATTTTTTTATTTGTTTCAGAAATGGGGGTTTGTTGGTTTTGAATAAAAAATATCAGTGCCACCTATCATTGCAAAAATATGAAAAGTAGCATTTTTTCCAATGTATTCAAATTGTAATGTATAAAAAAAATTCTGGTGCCTTACTATGTTGGTGTGCGGCAGGCAATAGTTGTTTGGGGGACATGTAACATTGACCTCATATAAATTTATTCAATAATTATTAAAAAAAATACTATATAATATATATAATACACGGGAAAAAATGATATTTGTCTTGAAACGTCGCCAATAAAGTCATAACTCAAATGTTATATATTAATGATTTATGGTCAATTTTTTAATATACAAGAAATTTTAATAAAATGGGTTTTATTTTGTCGAACTTGCATTTTATTTGTTAATAAAGTATATTAAAATTATAATCACTTTATTTTACACTAATAAAATCCTGTATTTTGTACTCCTTTTATTCCACTTTTCAATTCTTCTTTATTATTTAGCGGCCTTCTACTTGTCGGGTTTCGGTGAAAATAAGGGATGAAAGCACCCCTGCGAGTTTGACAGTTCGCGCATCTGAAATAAAATGGCCAATTCTAAATACAATAGGGTGATTTATAAGTAAATAACGAGGGTTGAAGTTTTATTAAAAATACTTACGAAAAGTTTTTCCAACGGAAATTTGTTATCTACATTACTTAAGGGAATAAATATTAACATGGTAAGTACTATTTATATTACTACTAAAGCCAAACATAATTTTCATAGTAGTTTGTAAACATGAATCAATTTTTATATTCTAAATGCTGAAAAATAGGGCACCTAAAAAGGTTGTGTGTGTATTTTATAGACCCAACATGAACTTTCCATCATTCGGAGGTCATTTTGCAACAGCTTTGCCAACGATACATCAATTCGCTGCAAAATTTTCGCAAGGCAACTCCTCTGCCTCGTTGTGCCCCTCTCAGGAGACCACCACTCAAAGGTACACTGCCAATGGAATACCTTCGTTCACCCAACATCACCATGCTAATCCCCAACAAATGCTCTCCACTGTAAACACCAAGGAGCTGAGACAATGCCAGGTAATTACATTTCGAAGCTCTCACAGTCCTACTTTCTAAAATTCGTTATTTTCAGAACAATTACTTACTCAACCAAACGATCTATCCTCATAACAACAGCAATAACAACGGACAAGAGAAACGCCAGCATTTCGAACCGCAGGAATTCGCACAGGAATTATGCACTGCTATGTTACAGCAGAATCAACAGCAACAACTCGACAAAGTTAAAGACAAGGTAAATTAGTCAATTAATCTTTAATTATTATCCTCTAAAACATGTTTATTAGTCCAAGCAACCTCACCCTCATCGACCAGTTCAACAAACTCCAAGAAACGATGGCGAGAGTAATCCTTCCACAACAGTATGGTCCAGCTTGACTTCGTCCCCTTCCACTGTTACAGTAGCCAATTACTTATCACAATTACCCACTACTTCACTACCACTGAGCATCCACCACTTCCTCAAATACTCCACCGAGAATCTCAACTTGAAAAAGGAAAACCTTCTGCTCCACGCCAACGGGAGTAAAGTATGCGACAACAACGTGCAACAACTCGGCAACAACAATCCCGACGCGTTGATGCAAAACGCCATGAACTTCGGCTCGTCCAACGCCAATTGCTTGAACAATTTGGGAAGCCTAACCAACGGACAAATCCAGAACACTGTAGCAACCAAGAAGAAGAAGAAAAAAGTGGAGAAGGAGAAGAAACCGAGACCCAAACCGGGCGAAATTCGCCTAACAACCGCCCTAGACGGCTCGACTTTGTATTGCTGCCCCGAATGCCACATGGCTTATCCAGATAAGGACCTTCTGGAGCAGCACTTGGTCGGGCACACGTTGGAGCGGCGCTTCGTCTGCGACATCTGCGGCGCCGGACTGAAACGAAAGGACCATTTGACCAGGCACAAGCAATCGCACAATCCGGAGAGGCCCTACGTTTGCACCGTATGCCTCAAAGCCTTCAAGAGAAAGGAACAGTTGACGTTGCATTTCGTCATTCACTCGGGCGAGAAGAGACATTCGTGCCCGGAATGCGGCAAGGGATTTTACAGGAAAGACCATTTGAGGAAGCACACCAGATCGCACATACAACGGCGGGTTAAAGCGGAATTGTCGCAGCAAGGTAAGCCACCTACAGCATAGGTTTCTCTGTAGTTTTCCCGATGATACGGAGTCATTGTTTCTGACAGAGATCACCAATATTTGTGAACCTTAGAAGTTCTAATGTCCTTGTTATGTCTAGATCTTTAGGATCTTTGAACATCCTTCTCCAGGTTTTGTATCTCCTTATGGATAGTGCTGGACTGATCTGCCTTTTCTGCTCTACTATTTTGAGTCTGCATGAATGTGCTCAGAATGTCCTAGTTGTGATAGTCCAAGTACTCTACTCCGATTATCCCGGTCCATAGATCAGAGTTCAGGATATCTTTAGGTCCCCTATAATCGGTCATTTATCTCCATCGAATGAGGTGCCTAATGGCCTCCTTTTTGACTAGTCCTTCAGCTACCTCGTTGCCTCGTATCCAGAGATCCATACCACATTCTTAGTGCCCAACTGACACTTCATTTATATTTGTTTAGGTACGACTGCATCACAGGCGATTCATCTGCAAGTGCAGCCTCCGGTCGCATCTAACATCAATATGGCTTCCTGTATTCTTCCATGAAGTCGATACGAAAGTTGAAAGATCTTCGCTGAGTAAACTTACACTCAGGGCCGGATTTTATTCCTATAGGCTAACACATGCTAGGGTCTCGAGATCAAGAGAGGCCCACATTCAAATTTCAAACTGACAAATGAATGGAAAAAGAGTAAGTGGGCATCTTTTCGTCTAAATTCGGCCCTGTTTACGTTGTAAGTATCATTACTATTTGGCGATTGAGGACATTCTAGTACTATGGACGGGAAATACATACAAAATAACGCTTAGGCGCGATAATTTTTGGCTGTGATATTTTCGTAATTTTGTTATGATCTGCTTGAAGTAAGGTCATGTAGGTAGAACAAAAAAATCGAATGCGAAATTCAAAATTATTTCGATTTAATTGGAACGGAGAAGTGTTAGTTTTCGCTTTATACGCCCTTGTATAAGTACTAGAATTATAATTGTAAGGTTCAAAATACACCCTAGTATTTAATATACAGTGTGTTTTAATAAAAATAGAAGTTTTGAAGGGATTTTTTTAACACACTGTATGTGACACTCTAGTCATTTGGGGCTACCTCATACTCTATATGTGATAAAAATTTTGAAGTATTCCGAAGCGTTACTTTTTCAATTAGAGCGGTACAAAAAACGTTTGCTTTAAAATAAATGTGTAGTACAAAGTACATACCTTATTAAGTAGTTTTTTTCATTGTTTTCATGTGAAACATACAAAAATATTGTTTAGTTGTTATTATTTTTAATTTTGTTACGAATGTTGTTTTAGAAATAATTTCTTTGTCTGTTAATGCTTTCAGATAAAAATAATACAGCGATATTAGAAGTATCACTGCAAATAATTTAACGTGGTAATATTTTGAAGAAATATCAACAAAAATTTTATGCAGACGAAGAAATTTTATGCTTTACTAATCCTTTTTTAAAGGATAAAAACTTATTGTTTGATTAGATATTTTTTAATTAATATAATTGCTTACATTCATTTGCCTTCTGCCTATTAAGGGTGTGCAAGTTACATTTACCCTGGAAATGATTGATTGATATTGACATAATGTTCATTGAGGTAATACATGTAAATGTAGTTATTTATAAGCGATAAAAATATATCTAGGGTGTAAATTTATAGAATTTTGTATACTTTATAGCTGTATCAAATACGATTTTTAAATATTCGCATTAGGGATGTTTACCTTTGCCGTGAGGAATTTAAACTATTTTTATATCAGTATCGAAATGATTTGCCTCTAATTATTTATTTGTCTAATAATTATGGCAATATTAGTACTACTTCTTCAAACATTTTATATGTACTTGATTTTATTTAAAAAAAATAGAGTACAAATAATTACCTAGTAGGGTTGACATGTAATAATTCCCTATAATAAATTTTGTGTTTGGTTTTTTCGACAATCACTTAAATATTTTTTATGTATCTATGTCGTCAATAAATGATTCAAGATAGTTCTAAATGGTTCTGGAACAGTCTAAATGATTTTGGACCGGTCTAAGTGATTCTGAAACGGTCTAAGTGATTCTGAAACGGTCTGAATGATTCTGGAGCAGTCTAAATGATTCTGAAGCGTTTTAAATTATTCTAGACAGTTCTAAATTATTTTGGAGTGTTTTATATGATTCTAGACAGTTCTAAATCATTCTTGAGCGTTTGAAATGATTCTATATAGTTCTAAATGATTCTAGACAGTTCTAAATGGTTCTGGAGCGTTCTAAATAATTCTAGACAGTTCCAAAATAATTTCTTGATGAAAGAATGTTCAAGATGAATCATGCGCTAATGTGTAAGTGTATTTTCGTTTCTGCCCTATATAACCAATAAATAATACAAGAAAAATAGATTTCGAATTTAATTTTATAAATTTTTGTGTATGTATTATTTTAAAGCGACATACATGTATAGTGAGAAGTGCTTCCTGTACCTACTCATTGCTTTAATCCAGTAAATTTTGTAAGTACAAAGTGTTTTTTTTTTCCATTTGTAAGTCTGTGGTGGTAAAAAATATAACGTGAAATTATTTTTGAGTTTATTTTAAATGAAAACATTGCATATATCATATTGAGATGCTAAATAAATATATATTTTTTATAGCAAAAACAATCCTTCATATTTAAATTTGTAGTTTTCTAAACATAGACATTAAGCGTACAAATCTGAAAGCAATATACTTATAAACGTTACGTTGTTTTAAACGAGAACATTCAGCAACGTAATAAAAAAATTAAATTTGCGAAACTATATAGCAATAATAAAAAAACAATTTTATAGGTATCATCTCGATAGTTTCGTCGGTCGCGCCTCCTTGCAATTTGGAGAGAAGAATTGCTCGGAGCGCTCAAAAAGAACTGAAAAATCGGAGAGTACTAATCGAGTTCTTTTATAATTTAACCGAACAATCGAGATTATCATCACAGCAAAATTAATTTATCTGCAAACCGAAGTGTTCCACTCCTTCAATTTACAGATTTTAATTTTCACAACCAACATAAATCAATAAAAAAACAAGATTATACGTACAATAAATCGAAAATAACATGTTTTGTGCTATGTCCCAATATACAAATATCAAGTGAATAAAAATTAGATTACAATTATAATACAAAATTAATTCTTACCGTCTAAACGTTAAACATTTCTCGATGAGTTAAGTCGCATATTTACAAATATATGTTCAATATAAAATTAATATACAAAAAAATTAGACTCTAAGCATCGTTAAATCGCTCGTCGTAATGGAATATACAACTTTCTGACGAAATTAAAAAATAAATTGGAATGGATTTAGCCGTTTCACGCGTCATAACCAGTCTTCGTCGTCTACCAAGCATCTTGGTACATTTAAATCGGCGGGGACCCGTCGCGGTATCGCAGCGTCGGCGTTAGACTGTTGGCAATCGAATTCACCAGCGAACAGGAGTAATCGTCCTCGGAAAAAGGCACCAGAGAAGCCGCGCCGAGCATCAGAAGCATGACCGCTTGGATGGGCACCGAGGCCCTCACAACCCTGCCCAGGAACCTGCACCCCCGCCTCAACACCGAGGTGTTTATCTCGCCTTCGTCATCAGAACCGCTGCAAAAAATTCACAATTATAGAGCGTTTCACTATAGCTTAAGCTACTCGTAGTTAATTAGAAACGATAGAGCTGTGCAAGTTTAGATTACTCAAGAAGCTTGCTAGACTAATTTTTTTGAAACAAAAAAAATGAAATAAATATTTACTTGTGTGCGGCGACGTCTCGAGCGGAGTCCGCGCATTCCTCTTCGTTCGGCCGATCCAAAAGCTGTCCAAAACGCAAAAGAAAATGTGAAACAGTGCCATAAAACTTTATACTCTAAATATTCTTTCATGATAAAGTGCTACTCCAAAATAACGACGAAATTAAACAAACTAAATACATCTACAAAAGCTACATCAAATTCTACCTTTACCCGACAATTAATTCGATGCTGTAAAGGTAAAATTATCACAAATACAAAAAAATAATACAAAGTTCAAAAGCTACATCATTTTCGTACTAAACAATAACTACGGTATTACAAAATAATGCACCTGTTCGTCAAACTTACGTTATAATTAAGAGATTGTATCGGTAAGCCGGACGCCGACGGAGCGTAACCGATCAAACGGGGATCCCTACCGAGCACGGCGCTCAATTTCAACGTGTAAACGCCGGTCAGTTTGATCAGCGACTGCAACTTCAACCGCAACTCCGTCAGCCGCTTGTAGATCACCGTCGAGCCTTCGGGCGCCTCCTCTCTGAGCAGCTGATTGGCCGCCTCCTGGAGGCTCAGCACCCTCGGCTCGCATCGCTCCAACTCCAACCGCAGGTCCAGGAAACGCTGGTATTTGGCCTCGATCACGTCCTCCGGCGCCGTGAGATCCACCGGCTCCGAGGCGCGGATCTTCCTGTCGTTCTTCTCCAGCCAAGCGCACAGCTCGGATATGATGTTGTGGAATTGTTGGTTCTGAAGAAAAACAAATTAAATTCTGCCTTAACCCACCGAGTGCGAACTTATTACATTCATGAGCGCCCTTTGCAATTGGAGCTGCCAGTTAGCCGCGTTCCTGCAGATGATATCCCATCGTTTGTTATCGGTTTCTAACCGAGATCTCAACTCTTCGGCCTTCTGGGTGTCCTCCGTGTGATCGGCTAGATGGGTGCCGACGATGTTTAAGGATCTCACGATGCTCTTGTGGCTGTCGAGGTCGAGCAGGAACTCCCTGTGGTCCTGGATGACGTCTTCGAGTTGCTCGATGTTGGACGGCGGGCTCTTCTGCATTTTTTGCGTGCCTTCGGCGACTTGCAGCCATTTCTCCAGCCGCCAGAGATCGTTGTCCAGCTGCGCCCAGTTGCGTTTCGTGCACAGCGGGCACAAAATTCGACCGGCTTCGCTATAATTTACATATTATTGTTACATAAACTCCTACTTTTTGGTTACAACAGAAAATCGTTAATGGTGTAATGAGAGTTACAAAGAAGTTTACTTACTGGGTGCATAAGAGGTTATAAGCATCGGAAACTGTCATTCTGCAGAGAAAGATAAATCAAAAAAACCAAGTTAGTTATTTGTTAAACTAGATACCACGTGCAATTAATAGGTGAATCAAATGAAGGCGTAGAGATTGGTAAATAAATAAATACCTTAGTTCTCTTAACGTTTGTTCCTTTTCCTTAGCTTTGACCAGCAGAACGGCGTACCATTCCAAAAGCCTTTTGGCCTCTTCGGTGGAAGCTTCGGCGTCGGTGGCGCCGCATTCGTCGACGAGCAAATCGTGCAAATGCTTCACCAGCTCCGTGCTGGCCATGCACTGGGCCGACAATTTGGCTATCCTCTTGCTGCTACCCGGTAGCTCCGACGAGCCTGGCTTGGGGATCTCCTTGTCGACGGCCAGCTCGAGCTCGTCGAGGTTCCTGCGGCACTCGTCCAGCGCCGCCTCCAGCTCCACCGCGTAGGCGTCCTTGGCGCTGATGGAGGTCATGCGCTGCAGCTGCGACGGCAGCGTGTTGACTTGCACGGCGGTGTCGCGCTCGAACTTGAGCGTCTCCACTTGGACGCCTTCGTCGACCTCGCGCGGCCCGCTCTCCAGCACCAGCGTCTCGATTTCGGTTTTGATGTAGGCGACGCGCTCGTGGAGGTTCCTGCACAGGATCTGGTACTCGTCGATCATCTCCTGGATGAGCTCCACGTCTTCGGGTTTGCTCTTCTTCATGATCTGCAGGCCGAGTTTGTCGGCGTTTTCCAGGTTCGACGTTTGATCGGCGAGGCGGTTCTCGATTTCCGTTAGTTTCTCGAGCCGCTCTCGCGGGGAAACCTCTTCGGGCGGTAGCAGGTGTTGCAGTTCGGTGACTTGGGCGTCGAGTTTCGTTAGATTTATTACGGCGTCTTCGTGGGCGGCGGAGAACTCTTTGAACGGCGCTAATTCCAGCTGGAATTGTTTCTGGATGGCGAGAGCTTTGGGAAGTAGGTTCTCCCATTTGGCGATGACGAGGCGGGTTTTGGCCGTTAGTTCCTGGATGTTTTCCGGTTCGATGCCGGGCGCTGCGTTGAGTTTCGCGTACGTTTGGCTCAATATGTGGAAGGCCGATTCGCGGGATTCTATGTCTTTGATCTCCTGCTCGATGATGCGCAGTAGATTTTGGATTTCTTCTTTGTCCAGTTGCGCGGTGGGTTTGTCCAAACTGCTGAGGGATTTTTCTTTCTCTTGAATCCACTGTTCTTGGTTTTCGCTGAGGTTAGATACCTCCTGCAGTAGTTTCCAAATCATGTTGATTTTGCGCTTCCTTTCGGCCGATTGCCCGCACACCGCCTTCCAACGTTTCTCTATGTTGACGATGGCGTTGCTGATGGTCTCGGTGGTGAAATTGGCTTTGGTGATGTCGGGGTCGTTGAGCACCAACTCGCACAAATTCAGTACTTCTCCGATGTTGCCGCTTTCGTTTTCTACGGATTTTTTGAGCTGGTCGTGCTCTTGGAGCATGTCGCTCACGACCGTTTGAGCGTAGCTCTCGAACACTAAGGGTTTGGACAATTGGGTTTCCACCTGGCTTAACCAAGCGCGGATTTTGGCGATTCGCTCCTCTAATTGGAGCGTGGTTTGTATTAAATCGTTGATTTTGTTGATTCTAGTGAGGCCCACTTGCGTTAGAGTCTCCCACAATTCGGTGACGGTTTCCGTTCGAGTTTTGATGATTTGTTTGACCGTCACGTCGGCGTATTCCTCGCCGCACGACTCGAATATTTCGTTGCCCGTTCTAATCAACCAGTTGAACTCCCTCTCTTTCAGCGCCATTTCGGCTTGCAGGTCGGTCTCGAGCTTCTTGAGCAGCTCCTTGGGCTCCGGAAGGCTTTGATTCGGATCGCTGGTTTGGTTCAGTCTTTTCTCCAACTCGCCCGCCCAATCGACGAATTTGTTGTAGCGCGCCTCGAACAGCGACCTGACGCCCAACTTCTCCTCGAGCTGATGGCCCAGCAGCGACAGCTGGTGCTCCAGGTCGTTGTGCTGGTGCTGCAGCAACCAAATGACCTGGTTGATGGTCTTCATGTCGGAGGGGCTCAGGCACTCTTTGAGCTGCTCTTGCATTTGGCGTATGCGCTCCAATTCGTTTTTCGACGCGGCCAATTTCTCTTTTGTGTTCTTCAACGCCTCTAATTTGCCGCTTATCGTGGAGTGCGTCGCGGACGAAACCGCCGTGGACTCGTTGATGTCTTCTTGTATGCGGTCGAAGGAGGTTTGTATTTTAAGTACGGCCGTTTCGTAGGTTTTGACTAGGTTTTGTACTCGTTCCAGGAACTGCAGCCACGTTTCCAGGCCGGCTTGTAAGTTCGACAGGCGCTGTTTAATGGCCACGTGCTCCATTCGAATGGAGGTAGCGAGCGCGTCGTCGCAAAATTCCAGCAACGACGTTTGCTGGGTTTCCAAACGTTTCGCTTGTTCCTCGCCTTGGGGCAATTTGTCCAGGAGATTCTGAATGGACGACACTAACTTAGGTATGCGTCTAATGTGCATGAATTTCAGTTGCATGCGTTCCCTTTCCTTCTCGACGCCCTTAAGCCAATTCAGCAGCTTGTTCTGGTCTTCCTTGTAGGTGTCCCAAGCGTCCAGGCGCTTCCGCACTTGATCGCGCCTCTCTAGTATCTTCGACAGCGTCTCGTTGTGTAAATTGGTCAAGGAATTGAACTGCTCCATGACGGTGGTTTCCACCAAATCGCCCGCCAAGCGGTCGTCCTTCTTTCCGCCGGGCGCGAGGACGTTTTGCTGCGTGGTGAGCAGGTTCTGGTGCAACTCGCACAAGTGCTGGTGATCGGACAGGCTGTGGTAATCGCCGGGTATGGTGCCTTGCAGGAACTGCTGCACGTTCAACAGGTACTCCTGCCATAGCTTCAACACGGCGGCGCCGTCTTCGTTTTTGATCAGGCGCGTGCTCAGCCTGTGGTATTGCTGGAAGGTCTCCCTGAAGACGTGCTGCCATAATTCCAGTATCTCTAATACCGATACTTCGGTCCTCGTCGTGGATATTTCCAAGCTTTTTTCTTTGAGTTTCTTTATTTGTCCTTCGGCTTTGCTCAAGGCTAATAAATGGTCTCTTAGTGTTAGCAATTTTTCTTCGTTGTCCGAGTCTATACCGCTGCTTTCCAGGCTGTTTACACTCTGTAAGATAATTTAATCGTGCGTTATGGATTAGTAAGTTTAATATGTATCTCTTTTACCTTTTGTATGGAATCTAAGTAGCGTTTGGTGCCGTTGATTTCGAGCTGGTTGTCGTTTTTGGTTTTCACCTTGGAGTCGGCGACGTCGGCGAGCGTCGTCAGGGTTTTCCTCACGTCGTCCAGGCGCTTTCCCAAGGCTTCCACTTCGCCGCCGAGCAGCGCGCTGGCGTCGAGACCGACGGCCGAGGCGATGCCGGAGACCAATTGCTGCAGCTTCGCCAGCCGCTTCGAATGGGCCACCAAGGTCTCCTCGCATACCTGACGCATCGAAAATGAAATTAAACGAAAGGAAATTGGATAAAAATCGCGGTTCGAAGGAGCCGAAGGATTTGTCAGGGTCGAGCGCGTTCGGAAAGTTTAACGGCAAATGAAAGTGATTAGTTCTAGCGTGACTTTCGACGGGATTATTACGGATCCATTTGTGTTTCGATTTCGATCGAATTTAATTGAAAACTACGTGGAAAACGGCCAAGGTTAATAGGTTAAAGTCGTAGATCTAAGATTTTCTCGGTAATTCGAAACGATTTTTCGGCGTTGAAGCGTTTTTATTAATCGACTAAAATTTGTATTAATGTCAAATAAACTAGGGAAAAAGAAAAAAGTTGCTCGAGGGAAACTAATCTTTTTATAAATTTTTAAATAAACTGCCGCTAAAGTGGCGAGAATTCAGCGTTTCCGGTTGCGGATTTTTTCGTCTAAAATTCGAAAACTTTTCGCAATTCTCCGGGAATTCCGTCCACGCTAGCGTAATTCGCTTCTAAATTGCAATCACCGAGTAAAAAAAAAGTCGAAACTGACAACGACTGCATTAATAGCATAACTTTAAAAACCCTCGCAATACACTTCCTTTTTTCGCACAAAACGCGATCACGGACATCCTAATTTTTTTCCCACTGACTCGATAAAAAACACGCAATAAATAACTTGTTTCACATACCTGAAGAAGCTTTAATTTAACAAAAAAAATTACTTTTGGCGAAAGGTAAATTGCACTAAATAATTAACGCAATATAATCCTAACATTTTAACGCCGACGATAATTTAAAGTTGCAGTTCGCCATCGCATGCACGCGAGTCATAATCATAGGAACGTGCGGTGTCCCGTTAAAACTCGGGATGACATTTTTTACTGTTAATTTCACAGTTGTGCATACGACATAAGCACCTACATAAGAACTCACCCGTTTTTAATAGGCTAACTAATAAATTAGATTATACTCCGTTCGCTATCAGGAAATAAAACCTTCTTGATGGCGTAAACCAGAGGCGCGACAATAAATAAATAAATGTAGGCACTATTGAATTAATAATTTTTACAAAAAAGGGTGTAATAAACTGGAACTATGAAATAAACATTGCAATTACAGAATGATAAAAGTTTTGCAATTTTATGATTTTTTCGTTGACTTACTCGTGCTGTCTTTTGCATATAAAATCATCTATTATTATCTCCTGATAGCGAACGGAGTATAGTTAAGATATACGGAATAATTGGAATAGCTTGCGGTTGTGGAATTACCTTACGTTCTTCCGGAGTCAACATTTATAATGAATTAAGAGCGAAAAAACTGCACAAACCGAGGACAATCCTTAAAAAAAACTTCCTTTACACTATGCAATTTATTTTCGCCGATCCAATGACCCAATAACAAAGGACTGGATACCAAAACAAACACACCAGTCGGGTTTATTTATAAAATTCGCGCCCGTCGTCCGCGCACCGCACTAATTCTAATAACCCTCGAAGGAGCGACAAACAACATTTTCTATAAATAAAACCTCCGACGTGCCCTCTCAACGCAGACTAAATACTAACACTAAACTCCAAGAAGGAGGGTAGCTCCCGCTACGAGCGGCATCGAATTCACAATTACCTTGACTTTCTGGACGGCTTCGTCGGGCTCGAGGTCCTCCACCGATTCCATGGGCTGCTCAATCCATTCCTTGACCAGGTCCGAAGCTTCCTTGTACTGCTTCCAGAGGTCGGCGGCGTGGTGGTACTTGGTGCACAGCTCCTTCAGGTTGGTGCACGTCGTCTCGTAGGCGGTGACCGCCTCCTTGACGGCCGCCTCGATCTTGGCGGAGACTTCGGGCGCGCAGCTGTCGGCCAGCGGCTTCGAGGCCTCCTTCAGCTCGGAGACGAGGCTCTCGCGCGACACCAGGTCCTCGGAAACGCTCTGGAGAAGTACCGAAATGAATTAATTGGTGTATTTTCTAGTAGTGTGAAACTAGGTCGTAATCGTAGAAAAAATATTTGATGTTACAACACTAGTAAATATTACTAATTTAAGATTTGGTATAGTGTTTTTAATGATATTCTTTAATACTGCCCTGACTGAGGTGAATAACATTTTTACGCTGTTTGCTTTCGGTTTTAATTGCACGATAAATAATTAAGTGATTTTAATTTTATTAGTCGGGGAATATTTTAGGAAATTCTATGCCAAGGTAATAGTTTCTTACTCAAATATTTTATTGCGTTTTTACCCACACAGCTAATTTTCCAATCCGCGACAATAACTAACGTAATAATAATTTTAAACATTTTTTATAGCGTTAGCATAACTATGTTCGTATAATAATAAATACAAGTGATTTATTGAATTTTTGCAATTTATTCAGGAAGTTTTATACCATGACATTAATAAAACAAATATTATCGATATTTGGCAATCGATTTTTGTATATTTTATTACCTCAAGTTTATCACTAAGACTTGTATCTTTAAATTTACCCTTAAACCTTAAAGGACCAATTATGGTAAATGCCTACTTAAAATTACCAGACTTAACAACAAAACTAATTCGGTAATGATGTAATAATAACTCTTGTTTGTTTATCCTAGGTACAATTATAAATGTTTACTCATTTAGAGATAAGGGAGTATCTTTGTTGTATCTTCTAAGTTGGTAAAACTCTCCTAAACCAAACAATTTATCCGGCAAACTAAAACCTAATCAAATTGTTTAATTTGTTAAAAATTAGCAGAAAATATACAATTTTCCAGCGATGATTTATTGGAAAGATGTGGGCAAACAAACTATAACGCTTTACTAACGATAACCTCTCGTTAATGCCAGATTTTCTACGCTACTTTGAGATTCTTTAATTAAATCGGGTTGTTTCGTTCTAAATATACCAGCCTGAGATCTATTCCTCGGGTAATTAATTACAGATGTTCCGTTTAAAACCTTCAATAACAAACTAAATGGTAGGTAAATTAATCGTTAAAACCATAATGATCGGAAAAGGTAATAAAATTACAGGGGGTTACTATTTGTAGTTTAATAAAGTAAAGAATTGTAGAGGCAGGGTGATGAACATTTATAGAGAAGAATAAATTATATTGTACTCTTAGTTATTTGAATTATTCATTATAATGTGGATAATTTATTTGTATAATCGCATTTTATCATTTTTTGTAACATTCACCTAATTTGTGTTATCTTTCCTACGCATACAAGCGATATTATGCGATTTTAAATTCAAAAACTGTGGATTTTTTAACTATTTGAATTTTTCCGAAAATGAATGTTTACTTCAAAAGATTTCTTTATTTAAAAAGCTGCTAAATTGTCCAGGAAATTGTCTAAACAAACCAAGAACTTGGCAAGCATACCAAATATAATTACAGTTATAATCATAATAAAATAAATAGATATGAATTTCAACCGAACATCCGCCGACCGGGTAATAGAACCCATTTCGCACTAAATAATTTCAAAAATAAAAACCACACGGAATAGAATTAAATTATTTAGTAGAAAACCAGTTTAACGAAACGTTAATATTTAAATTATAACGATCGATAAATTAATTCTACATCAAAATAATTAGATTCGGAATAATATTATTGCGTCCAGTCGTACTTACACAATTATTCTGTTTCCTATTTAATATATTCCCGAGCACTTTACTTATTCATAGGACCCGCAAACGCAAACAATCCCGCACCGAAAAAAAAATCACAACAAATCGGTAGAATGGGAAATCGCTAGAATAGAAATCCAAATACGCGCATACCGCACGGTTCTCGACGATACACTGAATACACTGACTCTGTTAATGGGAACTTCGATTGTGAATTCCGATTATGAGCGATTCGCTAAATCTACAAAACAAAACCGTTTTCTAAAAATATCCGATTTGAATTTTTTCGCTCGCGTTTTCGAATTTGAATAATTTTATACAAGGCGATTGCGTTAGCGAACATGAAGCGCTACCGCCCTGTAAATTCTCTTAACGCTTCTTGGTAACCAATATTTTTATTTTTTATCCGAGTTCACAAAAATAGCCGTCAAATATTAAAGGTTATCACTCGATGTGTATTCAAAATGAAACGCCCGGTTCGAACTATAAATAAAATTGATTCACGAGATGCTTTTGCTTTCAATAATCTCGCTTATTTTTAGTGTAAGTACGCTGCATTAATTAATTAAATTTTAACAATTTTACCCTCAAACTTCCTGAATAAATTCAACTCTACCATCTTAAACACTAATTTATTAACTTCGCTCACCTCTAATCTTTCTGTAGCCTTCCTCAGCCGTTCGTAGTCGACTGTACCTTGAACGGTGAGAAGTTCCACCATGAAATCAGCTTCCTGCACGCTGCGCTGGACGAGCTCCAGCTGCCTTTCGAACCGCTTCCACAGGGCGAGCCGGCTCCTGAGCAACGCCAGGATGTCCCCGCAGCGTTTCTCCAGCGCGGTGTGGTCGTCCTGCAGCTTGGATATGTCCCTTTCGACCGTCAGAGGAGAGACGGTGACCCTCAACCGGGTTGGTAGGGTGTGCAATAACTGCCGGATGGCCATCAAGTCTTGCCACAGGGTGACCAGCTCCTCGCCGATTTCGTAGCATTCGTTGACGGATTTCTCCACCGATTCGCTGCCGAGCTTCTCCGAGCCCTCGCACTGGTCCAGCTTCTTGCTCATGTCCGAGTGCTTCTTGCGCACTCGCTCGATGTTCTTCTGGATGGTTTGCAGTTGGTCTTTGATCAGCAAGCCGCTCTCCAGTTCCTCGGATATGGCGGTTTCTAATTTCTTGGATAGAGCCAGCAGAACGCCGACCTTCTCCGATTCGCTGGCCGATAGCAGGCCCAGTCGACTGAGTTCGTTTTGTATAGTTTCGATTCTCGTTGACATGATTTGTAATCGTTCGACGTACAGGCTCAGTTCCTCTTCGGTTTTGACGACGCCTTTTAGATTATCGACGTCAGCGTTGAGGTCTTGCAGTTCTTGCTCCAGATACACCAGTTTTTCGTTGACAGGTACATCGGGAGCGGAAATCGTGTCTAGTATGGACACCTCCAAATCGTGGATTTGCTTCGAAATCGCGTTCCACTGGGCGTTCAATTCCGAGTGGTTAGCACGTTGGTACATCTCGTCACTGATCGGTACAATTTGCAGGGATTTATCCAGAGCATTGGAAGCGTTCACTCTGGCAGCGTTGTGGACTTCGTGTTGAGCTTTCAGTTCCCAGAAGCGCCTCAGGTGGCCTCTCGGACCGGGCACTTGGATGGCGCGCAGTTCCAATTCGGCCTCTTTCAACCAATATTCTACTTTATCGCTGAGCACATTGTAGGTCTTCCAGCAATCCCTGAAGGATTGCAATCGCTCGAGGTTAATCTGCACGTCCTCCTCTAGTTTTTGTATTATAGCCAGCGATTCAATGTAGGTCTCTTCCAAATCGGAGCAGGACACCAGCTCTTGGAGTTTCTGCGCGACGCAGTTGAGATGCGCCAACTTGGCGTGATGGTAATCGATATCTGCTGCTAAGGAGTTGTGCAGATCTATGTACCTGTCGTAATCGGATGAAGTGACGTTGTTCAAATCGGGAACGCGCTGTTGCGCTACTTGCAGCCACCGCAATTCGTCTCTGGTGCTTTGCTCGAGCACCGTCCACCTGGAGGCGGCTAGAGACATGATTTGGAAGCGGCCGGTGGATTTGTCCAAGATCACGCTGGCTCTTTCGTAGAGGTTTTGGTGCAATTGCGAATGCAACGCCCTGGTTTCGGAGTCGAGGTTCTCCTCGAGCGATTCCAAAATCGCCCGACAGTGGCTCAAATTGACGAAGAACTTTCGGTGATTTTGCATTTCGTCTTCCAGATGCTCCAAGTTTCGGACGGATACAGAGCTCTCCACTAAAGCCTCGGCTATGAGGATGATTTGGCTGAATTCTTTGAGGGTTTGCTCGTATTCGTCGGCCAAAGAAAGGTATTGGTAGGCTTTGTCTCTTTCCGTGGTTACCTGTTGTTCGATTTGTTTCGTTAGTTCGTTGCACAAGTATACTTCTTTGGGTATTTCCTTCGTTGGGAAATCTCGCATCAAACCCTTAGCGTTAGCGATAAGATCGACGACCTTAATCATATTAGCTCTATTGTTGTTGTCTAATTTTTCCAATTCGCTCAGCTTGGTTTGTGGCGAAGCGTCAGATTCTTTCAAATCGCTTAATTGCCTTTGCACTTGTCTGATGGATTGACCGACCGCTCTAACTCCTTCGTTGAAATCGTTCCATCTGTTCAAATCCTCGTTGGCGATTTCTCCGTTTTTGTCAGTCACCTCTTCGATAACTTTGACTTGCTGTTGCAGAGACTCGACGTAGCTCTTCAACCTTTGTCGCTCGTCTTCGTTGTAAATATCATCGGTTTGTTTAATGGCGGATTGCAGTTGACCGACTTTGTTCTCAATATTGGCGATTTCTTGTTTGAGCTGGTTGAATTGGTGAACTTTAGCCTCCGACGGGCCTTCTAGAGTTTGCTGCCTGCTCAGGTAGATCCTGTACTCGATGGTCTCCAGCCAAGTGGTGATCGTCTCGACAGTATCGATGACAGTTTGCTGTATGATCACCACGTCCTTTCGCTCGACAGCTTGCTGCAGGTGAACCAAATTTTGTTGGACGTTCTGATCTTTTTGTTGGATTGTTTCATTGGTGATGACTTCGTTCAGAGTGGCTAGATACAAAACGTCGCTGAGATGTGTAGTTCTTCTTGTATTTTGCAAATTTTTGAACCTCTCCAGCGCTTGCGCTTGGTTCCACTGTATCGTCACCTCCATTGAATCGAGTGGAGCTCTTTGAACAGTTTGAATCACCGACGTATCGCGCCACGATTCGCTCGGGTAAGCCGGTGGAGATAACGGAGAAGCATCGGATGCCGGAGTCAGAGGAGTATCGGCCACTATTCTCGGAGATTGGACTTCTTCTATCGTTACTGACGATACATGTTTTCCTTTTCCTTTCGTTTTAGTGGGAACAGCTGTTTTCTTTTTCTTGTTCGGTTCGTCAGGTTCCTCTACAATTGGCTCCGATTGGATGGTTTTGATGGAAGGCTTCTCGACGAGTGGATCTAATTTTGTGGAAGCTTCTTCTGGTTGTTGTGAAGTAGATTCGTCTAAATTGCTATCGACAGGAGGTTCTTCTATAACAGGTTCTGGAGTTGAAGGTATTGACACAGGTTTGTCGTTAATAAGTATAGTGTCTTCATCGTGAGATGATTTTTCTGATACAAGAAAATCTACAGTTGATGTTACCGTTGAGGGGCCAGCAACTACCTCCGATTTTACTAATAGAGTTGGTTCTATGGCTTCCGTTGGTAAGGATTTGACATTCGATTCGGTGAGTATCGAATCCACTGTGAAGGATGTAGCGAATTCTCGAGGAATAGTCTTCTCTGTGACGGTGTAGATGTCTTTTGAAATTAATTGTACTTCTGAGTTATCGGGTGACTCTTGAGGTAAATTTACAGAAATATCAACTTGTGTGGTGGTTTCGTGGGCTGGTTTTTTAGTTTTTCTAGCAGCCTTTCTGACTTTGTCTTCGTTTATGTCAGTATACACTTTTGATACTACTTCAGTAGTTTCTACTGTAGGTTTGGTGTCTTCGATAGTTTGAACAGGAGAGGGACTTCTAGACCGTTTAGCTATATTAGCGTAACTGTCTTTTACTGCATGAGGTTCTTCTACAGTTATTTGTCTTGTAAATTCAGACAATAATCCCTTTTCTTCGACTACGTTGCCTGGTCGAGATTTTTGCTTCTTGCGCTTATGCGCTTTGGATTTAGTTGGAACTTGAACGTCTCGTTCGGAATCCAAGAACGCTTGAACTGATGAATTTTCGTCAACCACAACCTCAATATCGTATCCTTCGGCGTTGCTATCGCCAGCTCCCGATGGAGAAACTGTTGGTTGCTCTGACACCGGTTCTACGACAATATCTTTTTCTATTCGAATGGGCGCCACTTCGTCAACGGACTCCGAGGCTTCCGAAGGTACAATCACCGAAGCCTTGATGTGTATTTCATATTGTTCAGAAGAAGATGTTGGAGGTGTCGGACTCGGTGTCATCAAATCGCCGATTTCACCGATTACTATTGGACTAGTTTGAGTGACGATATCAGTTGTTTCCAACGGTGGAGCTGAAGGTTTCGGCGTTTCCTCTGGTTGATATTCCATTGAAGTTTGCAAAGACGATTCCGTAATGTCGGGCTGTATTTGAGCAGCTGTTTCCAGCGTTTCGATTTTATCAGGCGACTTTGTTTGCACGAATTCCTCTCTGCTTTCTACCGTCGTTTGCATTGCCGAGTCGCTTCTGGATACCTCGATCTGTTCGGGAGTGACAGTTTGAACGGACTCTTCTGTTATTTCGATCTTTTCGGGGGTAATAGTTTGCGTGGAAATTTCCGTCAAGTCTTTGTCTACGACTTTTTCCTCCGGTGATTGGGATTCCGGTGATGTTTGCGTAAGTATTTCGGTAGTTGTTATTTCCACTTGAGTTGAAATTTCGCTAATGGCGGGCTTCGTTGGAACTTCCTTCTCTTCTTCGCTCGTTTGCACGCAGATCTCCGATAACTCTTTGGGAGTCTCGGGGGAAGTTTGAACTGAAGTTTGTTGCGTTATTATTTCTTGTGGTTTTTCGATGGTTGATTCCTTTTCTAAAAATTCTGAGGTTGCGATTTGAATGGGAGACGTTTGGGCTGCCTCTTCTTGAGTGATTACAGCTTCTAGTACCGGCACTATTGTAGCTATTTTAGACGTTAATTCTTTGGGTGATTCGCTTTCTGGTCTACTCAAGACTTTTTCTTCGATGATTTTTACAGTACCGGGTTCCGAAAGGGTCGAAAGACTTTGGTAGGAATCAGCGGGCGATAGAATTTCCTCATCTTTGGCTTCGAATAGCGAAGATTCGGATCCGACTGGTTCCTCGGTTTCGCTTTCTAATTGTTTCTTCTTGTTTTTCTTGCGCTTGTGTTTAGTCTTTTTGTGCGCCTCTAATTCCGGTTTTTCGATTTTACTTTGATCATCATCAGTTAACGGAACGGAATTATCAACGGAGGATTCATAAATTGAAACAGGAGCATTAGATTCTTCGGATTCCTTGACTTTGATCTTCTGTTTACGTTTCTTCTTACGCCTGTGCTTCTTCTGCTGATCGTCATCGTGGCTTTCTTCGAGAGTTTTATCAGCTTCGTAACCGGTTTCTTTGCCTTTGTAGCTCGCGTCTTCTTCGGATTCAGTGACGGATTCGAAAATTTCTATCGTCGGTTTGGGAGTTTCCTCGGACTTAGCCGAATCATCCGCCATCGATATTTCAGTAGATTCCGCCAGAGAGGTTAGAACAGATTCGGGTTTCTCTTCTTCAATTTCTTGCGCTGGTTCTTTCGCTTCTGGTTCAGTTGCAATTACTGTTTCTTCTTTAGTTTCTTCGGGAGTGGAAATTACGTTTTCTTTGTGTTTCTTTTTCTTCTTGCTTCGTCGACCTCCGTGATCGATGTCGCTTGGAGTTCGAGTTTCAGTGTGCTCGACTTCCAATTTCGGTACGGCAATATCATGTTCGGTTTTAGTAATTGCTGGTAGTTGGACGTGTATGTCTTTTTGTAAAATGTTGGAGGGTTTGGAGGTGTCGGAAGTTTCCTCAATTTTCATCGCAACTGAAACTTTCGGCGTGGTAATCGTGGAGTCTTCCTGTTTTTCCTCCAAAGATAGTATAATATCGACTTCTTGCGGCTCTTTTGGTTGTTGGACTTCAGTTTCAGTTACTTGAGGTTGCTTCACATCTTCGGTTACTTCTTCTTTAAGTACTTTAGGTGATGATTGTCTCTCGTTTTCTAAGAATTCCAGCATACTTTCACCTACTTTTGATCTAGTTACAGTACTAGGTGGTTCTTGTGTAATGATAATTTCCGGGTAGGTTTCTTGGATTGACAAAACCATTTCCACGTCTCCGTCAGGTTCTCGAGTTATCGAAGTAACTTGATGAGTCTCTTGAATTTTGGTAGTTACTTGTTCTGCAGGCTTCTCAATAGCAACTTCTTGAACTGGTGATTTATCAGCAGGAGTTTCAATGCTTTCGAGAGGGGCAGGTTGAGCTGGTGATTTATCAGCATTAGTTTCAGTACTTTCGAGAGGAACGACCGGTTGAACCGGTGATTTATCAGCAGAAGTTTCAGTGCTTTCGAGAGGAACGACCGGTTGAACTGTTGATTTATCAGCTTCAGTGCTTTCTAGAGGAACTGGTTCGGCAGTCTTAGGCGAGCATCTAACTTCTGGTGGATGGTGCAATTTCTCCGAAACTAAAAATTGCGCTAGTAGTTGCCTTTCCACAAGACCGGCGTCGGTGATGTCTTCTAGTAACGGAGCACTGGGCGGAGGCGAATCTTCGGATGGATCAGTCTTTGTTGGAGTTATCGTAGTTATCACAATAGTATTAGAATTTTCAGCACAATGATCTGTTGAATCTATCGAAGGCACAACAGTAACTTCAATTGGTTCGTCAATTATTGGAGATTCGACCAATTTTTCAGTAGATATTTCCGTAGATGTAACTTTATGCAGAACCGAAGTTTCTAATGGATTTTCATCAGTTATAGTAGTTTCAGTTACGTCTTCTGGGATAAACGAAGCTGCAACAACATTCTCCTCCGAAATACCAGTACTAATTTGTTCTGGTTCAGGCGAGCGTTCGATTTGTTCGGAAATATTTATTGATACATCTTTTTCGATTGGACTAATTAGAGCAGGATTCGCTTCTTTCGCTTCAATTGGCGGTTGTTCTTCTACAGTAAACGAAACAACCTCTTTAACTTTCATTTGGTTCGAGGACTCGTCCTCAGGAGTCTTTTCCGAGTCATTCGAATCTGCAGGTGCTCTCTCAATTTTAGGTGTCATTTCTATGTTGCTACTATGTATAAGCCTTTCGGCCTCTAGGAAGTCTTCTACTGTCGAAGTTTTGCCCGTAACTAGCTCAGCCGGTTCTGGTGATTTCGCTGTGATTACTTCAACGGTTTGTGCGGGTTCGGGTTGAGGTGCAGTGCTATGTGTTACCACGTACCTCTCTTCTTCGGGTATCGCTCCTTCGACGGTTTTAGATTCTCCAATAACTCGACCGTCTTCGGTCCTCACGACGTTTATGCTCACCCTCGGCACGTCTTCTTCGGTCACCTCGATCTCCTCCGGCTCTTCGATGACCTCCTCTTGCACGTGCTCCTTGCCGTCGATGATGACGATCCTCCGAATGGTCCGCCTGGTCTTCCTGATAATCCTGCGCCTGACTTGTTGGACTACAGCGCGAACGCTGGAGCTGGACGTGTGCACTTCGTTGCCGTGCACCGCGACCAGCGCCCGATCGGCGGGAACCAGCCGGTTGCTTTCGTCGCTGATGAAGACAACGTCGCCTTCGTGCAGCTTGTTGCCTTCGATGTCGACCTCTTCGGGTCTGAAACTCGGACCGGCGACGGTGAAGCGAGTTTCGGGCTCCGTTTCGTACTCGTGCACGCTGACCGGTCCTCCTTGCGCGCCGGATACCACTCTCCCGCCGTATTGCTGGCTGGTGATTGTGGCTGTGGTGCCGTCTCCTTTGGCCACCGACGTGGCGCTTTGTTGGCCTTTGAGAGTGATTTGCGAAAAGGATTGGGAGACCGGTATGCCACCTTCGGTTAGGGTGCTTAGAGTGCTCAGTTGTTGTTTCTGGGAGGATTCTTGATGCCTGACGACGGTTCTGTGGAGCTTCCTGACGATGACTCTCTTGGTGCCATCGGCGTCGACGATTACTTCTGTAGTGGTTTCGTCCGGTTCCACAAAGACTGTTTCGAAGGCTTGATTGGGAGCTACATTAGTGATGTTTAATTCTGTATGCCTGGTTTCAGATTCTGGTCGTTTCCTGTAGTTCGCTTCCACTAGAACATCGCTTTGTTCGTCTGCAACTTGCTGGTGTTCTGTTACAGGCTTGGTGGCTATTTGAATAGTTTCTTGAGCGCCCGAAGTGCGTTTCGATACTTTTATGGTTTCCTTTTGCTTGGCCATTTCGGCCAGTTCGCTCGAAGGCTGCGACATTTGGGTTTGTATTTCCGCGTCGACTGGTTGATTGTAGGTGACGGTGAAGTCTTTGGTTGGGTGCTCTTCGACCGGCGACGATAGGCTCCTGCCTGTTTGGGTTTCTATCGAGGCTACTTTGTGCGCAAATGGTTCCGGGATGGTTTTGACTGGGGCTTCTTCGATGGGCATAGAAGTTGAATCTAGTGTATCCAGCGAGGCGTCCGGTGTTTCTTCTTTGGTTTTGTTGGTTTTAATTTCTTCTAGTACGATTTGTGCTGTTGTGATTTTGGTTGTAATTGTTATTTTTTCTTCTTCGAATGTTTTGATCAAAATGTCGAGTTGTTGTATTAAAGTTTCCTCTAAAGGTTGCTTCTTGAGTTCATGAAGAGCCTTCTCCTTGTCCAATAATTCCGATTGTATGACTTTTAAATCGCTTAAGTATTTCTCCGCTTGTTCTTCAGTTTGGGGTTTAGCTAATTCTGCGATTTTCTTGATCGTAATTTCCAACCACTCTTCTATTTCAACCAACAACAGACGATACTGCGTTATTTGTTCTTTCTGTTGAAGTTGCACCTGCTGCGCGTTCTACAAACAAACGGAATTAAAATGCTGTCGGTTTAGTATTTTAGATAATTTACCGTTATCAGAAGACGCCCGTGCTCCGCTTGGGACAGGAGCGTCGCGATGCGCGTACGAATCCCGGCCAATTGGGCGGTTAGGGCGCGGGTCTCGTGATCAGCTGTCAGGGAATTCGCCTGTCCTTCCAACCGAATGGCCTCTGCGGCGTGCTTCTTCAATTCGCTCGTGATTTCCTGAAAATTCGTTCGAATTTATTCGAAAGAAAAAATATTTATCTGCCTCGTTGCTTAAAATATAAATCGGTAACAGTTTAGTCATGCGCTCAGGTGAAATGTTTTAGCCGGCAACAATTTTTCCGTTGGCAATAACCATTAAAATTCCGTGTTGTTCGAACGTCGAATCATTACAATAAGTAAATATTTACAGTAGACCAAAAAAGTATTCGTACAGTTGCATTATGTTCTGGAAGTCCGCGTTCAGTAAACAGAAACAAGAAGTAACTAGCAAATTAAAATCTACATTTCAAGACTATTCTTGCAATCATTAATTAACATTGTTATTAAAAATGTAAAATAAAAAAAAACGAAAAATGTTTGCATTATCCCCAAAATAAGTATTCGTACAGCAACGTTTTATCAATTTCTTCACTCTGTAGACATTAAATTGTTTATTGTTTTCGCCGGTATATTAGTATTAGGTTGAGCTCCTAGTTCTGTTTTCAAAATAATTCAAGTTTACCTTAAAATGCCTAGAAAAACTGAAGAAATAGATGGTGACTTAAAAAAGTCATCATCCATCATTTTATAGAAGGAAAATAATATAAGGAGATAGGTAAAATTGTTCAAAAAACACATATTACAGTTCAGTACATTGTGAAAAAATATAAATCTACTGGTTCCGTGGAAAATAAGTCAAGATCGGGAGGTACTGCCAAGTTAACTCAACGAGATCAGAATTTCATTTATCAAAAAGTTAAAAAAATTCCCTTTGTAAGTGCTCCATACATCGTTTCTGAACTGGAATCCAGTACATGGCATAAGATCCATCCGGAAACTCTTCGATACCACATTAAGCGATTAGAATATAGAGGAAGAAGACCTGCTAAAAGCCAAGGATAAATAAGAAAAATCGAAAGCTAAGAGTGGAGTTTGCTAAGCGTTACATTAATAAACGTTTAGAGTTCTGGAACCAGGTTATATTGTCAGATGAAAGTAAGTATAACATTTTTGGATCGAATGGAGTCAAATCTGCCTGTTAATTGTTTTTTCATTTGTATATTTATTAAACGGGTAATTACACGTATAATGATTATAATACGAGTGTACGAATACTTTTTTGGTATACTGTATAACCTTTATTAATCAATGGAATCCGTAATTGCTATTTATAGAGTTCGAATCAGTAGTAAATTTAGCGATAAAAGTCAAAGAATCGTGTAATGCATTTTTTCAAAAAAAATATAATAAATCATTCATAGACAGTTGATTGTATGTAAAGATGCTTCTAGAGAGAATAAGTGAAGTTTGGTTAAGAAAATTTGATAAAACTCGCTTATTTTATTCGAATTATCACAAAACCACTTATGAATAATGCCTTATAATTTATAATAACTATTTTATTTTTTCATTGGATAAGAAGTAGATATTAATTGCATTACGTCAGACATTATTTAAAAACATTATTAGATAGGAAACCAAAAATTTCACAAATATAAACCACACTAAAAAAGTGACCTAATAACACCAAATCCGTCTAAATTTACCACGTCCATTACCTCAAATCAATCACGAAAATCCGGGTAAAACCGTTTTCCGCCGCAGATCGCGCGCGACCGCGAAACAAACTCGAAAAAGTTCCTCTAAACGTGCGAAAACTCCGAGCCTCCGATACGTAACTGACCGGCTCGCGATTCGAAATCGACAATTCGCCGTGCCCCAGAGGATCCCGTCGACGGAGGCGTCAACATTTCTCAGCATGTAGCGAAAATTCACGATTCGCGGACTTAAGGAGATGCGGTTTTTCTAATCAAATCACCCAAAAATCAGCGTACTGCTATCTTGAAAACTCTACTTACTACATGAATCTTTGCAGGAGTTTTGTAAATTATTATTCCACTTCAAAATATGTCAATTAATTCTAATAAAGTACCTCAAAAATTGACGGTTCTTCCGAATTATGTCCCTCATTTACTCCTTCAAATATCACAACTAAATAAGTGCCTTAAAAACGGCGATTTTAACGAAATTATTTCCCTCATTTAGTCCCCTCAATTATAACATTGGGATGGTTCGATCCTCTTAATGATAAGTTGCATAACGCACGCTCGAGTGCGATCGGGCGCTAGTAACGCCGAAAATGTTATTCAATTTAATAATAAACAAAAGGCTAGAATTAGAAGACCATGTTTTGGCACAAGATCGATCCGGGATGCTATTTTCGGTGAAGTGTACTAACCTCTTGGATGCTTGTCAACGGGAATAGACCAAAAAATTTTTCCTGCCTTCTAAATATTTATTTTCCCGACTTTGTTTATCCTCGATCGCTCATTTTTTTAACAAATACCTCCTGCTAATGAATCAATATTGCTGATAAATTTTATTAATTAGTCCATATTTTACGAGAAATTAAAGCAAGAACAATTTATTATTGATTATGAAGAAATGAAGCAACCTGTGCAATTATTTAAACTGTAATCGATTTTTCCATAAAAAGGAAAAGGCTTGTCGAGAACTTTCTGTTTTCTGTATCCTCTTTTGGTTAATGAGGTTTATTTGAACAATAAAGCGTTTTCCCAATGAAACGCAAACAAACTAATTTGCTGGTTTGCGATTCGAAAATAAATAATTTTAGTTTTTGCACGGGATTAATTGAGACGGTCTACATTTTCAAAAATAGAAACTATAATTTTTTTTACGATTCGAGCGGAATACAAATGAACATACGAGAACTCTATTAATACGAATTACGTTGAGTATTTGTCATATTTAATTTTGAGAACGAATAAATTATGCAAATGATAAATTTGGGTTCTGATAATATTGGTGTTACTCAATTTCTGAAGATTATTGTATCGAAACCGTATAGCGACGAGCGCAGAAAAATCTTAAACGGATGTTCAATGTTACCTGTAAATTAACCTTGTTCGCTTATTCGAGCTCCATTCGTGGATTTGTAGGTCAATGTTAGTGAAATAATAATGAAAAAATTTCTAGACGCAGGAAAATACATTTCTGCGCTTATAGTGATTATTGTTAGATCGATTTAGGGAAAAATATATCTACATATAATGAAAGCTCGGAAATTTTGACTAAATAAGCATATGATATATGCAAAATATTATAAAAATATTGGAGATATATGTAGAACTTAAGAAAAAAACAAAATGCAATAATAAATTTTTATTCTCGATTTTTCGATTATTTCGCGATATTTTTTTTGAAATTTGCATCAAGATATCCTTTGCTAATTTTTTAACGAAAATTTAAAATTTTTTAACGAAAATTTAAAATTTTTCACGCTCATTTTTCCCAATTTTTCGTCACAATAATTTTTATCTAAATCTCCTATTAAATTGACCGCCACAGATAAAGATAAATATTTAAAGTCTCATAAATTTCTAAGTAAATAGCGTTACTCAAATATGCAAAATGCAGTTTGCATATAAATCCGAGCTTTACGTAAAACTCACCTCCAAAGCTGCTATCATGTCCTCGGTAACTTCCAAGGACTTTTGAAGTTTCTGCACATCCTCCGTAATATCCTAAATTACAAACACACCATTAATTCGCTGTATACTACTGTTTCAAATGTTTATCTTCTCTTTTATTCGCATCGCTTTGTTCATCTTCTTCCATAGCAAAATTTATCTCGAGCAAGCATAGATAAATAGCTATGAAAAAACATGAACAAATTGATCTTCTCTTTTAATTTTTTTACGGAAAGAAGAGAAATGAAAATGAGCATGCAGAAAATGGTTAAGAAACGTTTGAATTCCTGGGAAAACTTCATCAAATCCTGCCGTTTCCAAACAAACTTTGTAGTGGCCAAACTGCAAATATTGACCAAATGATGTCAATCACACCAACGTAAAATTTAATATAAACCAAAACCGCATTTATCAAACAATCAAAGCGTTAAAAGCGTTATACAAACCGTAGATTAAAGCGAAGCCCCCAAAAAATTAAAAAGCGACTCACGTACACCTCTTTAATATACATCAATCAACAAATAATCAAAATTAATTTTAGTACGCAAAACAAGTACAGTAAAAATGTAAAAGCTACATTAAAGACATACAGCCACAACGTTTCAAACCCAACACTGATTACACAATAATATTTCACCTTTCTGAGATGTTTGTCTGTAGGCTGCGCCTCGATCTCCGTCGAAGTCGTCGGCTGCATATCGGGCCCTAAGGTAGGAGGTGCGGGTGGGAAGGTAGTATCGGGGGCGGTAATCGCGCGAGCGGCATCGTCGACCGGCTCGGAAGGCAGGTACGTGGATTCCTCCTTCCAGCCGGCGATGCCGCCCGGTAGACTGTACATCATGTACTGCGAGAGAGGCGGCGCGCCGCCCGACCTCGCCGCGGCGTCGGGCGAGCGCCCGCCGCCGCCGCCGCCCGAGCCGCCCTCGTCGTCGGGCGGCAGCTCGGCCAGCGGCGGCTCGTCGACGCGCCGGCGGCGCTGCCGCTCGCGGTCCGCGTGCCAGCGCTCCTCCGCCTCGTCGTAGAAGCTCTTGGCGAGCCAGTAGGTGTCGTCGACGACGAGGTTGCCGATCAGCCGGGCGATGGAGTCGAGGGCGTCCTTCGAGGACTGGCCGGGCAGCCGGCCGAACAGCGATTGCATGTGGGCGGTGTTGTTGGTTTCGTCGGGCGCATCGTCCTTGCTTTTCCTGCGGATCGTCGCCCTGCGGATGCTGGTGTCCAGTCGCAGGGCGTACTCGTATCGTTTGCCGTCGTCGAGCAAGTCCGAAACTTGGTTTCGGCTGAGCGTTATGTCCTTGTCGAGGATGTTGGCGGGTTTGTCTTTTTTCTCCACGTTTAGTTCGACTACGTTCATGGTTTCTTCGTTATCGGCTTTGGCTTCTTCCGAGCTCGCTTTAATTTCTTCTTTGGCCTTTTTGGCTTTGGACGGTTTTATTGATAATTTGGAAAGTAGACTTCCTAAGAAACTCGAACTTTTTTGTTCTACTTTTTTCTCGGTATCTTCTTTATCGTCGGCTTTGTGCGATTTCTTGCTTTTCTTCTTTTTATGCTTTTTCTTACTACCCGCCTCTTCTTTCGTGTTATCTTCACTATCTACAATAACACCATCTTCTTCTACTACTTCTTTATCTTTCACTTCTATTTTTTCCATATTATCTTCTTCGATAGCATCAGTTTTTGTTACACGAGCGACTGATTCAGAAATCTCGCTTTGTTGCGGTTTATTTTCGATTGTAGACACGACACTAGTGTGAACAACATGATCCTGTGTCACTTCCTCCATGGCATTCTTCACCACGGCAGCGTAGGATCTGCTAGGAGAAGGCGAATGCAATTTTACTTCTGTTTTGATTTCTGTAACGGCCGGCGATTCTTCTGTTAGTTCTTTGTGATGCCTTCTTCGAGAACTAGACCGAGACCTTCGCGTTTTGGTCCAATCGTCGACAGTTAACACTGCAGACTTTGGTTGTTCAACGACTGATTCTTCTGGAGCTAGCGGTTCCGGCTCATGTTTCAAATCCTTTAAAACAGTTGTGGAGATTTCGACTGGTTCTAGTTTCACCACCTTGTCCGCAGAACCTTCTAAAGGTTCTTCTTTTTGGTCTTCGCTTGTTACCGTTTCAAAGCGATAGTTTGGATGAGGTGATGACTTTCGGCTGTGAGATTTAGCTACTTGAGCGTAGGTCAAACCTAGCGTTTCGATAGTATCTGGTTGATTAGATGGTAATTTATCTTCGTTCGAGGTAATGTCTTTGTCGAAGGTCGAGGTGTCTGTTTCTTCTGTGGGTTTCTTTGTAGGCGTTTTGGAACGCTTTCTCGATCTGTGACGCTTCTTATTACCGCTCATTTGCTCGTCTGATTGTAGAAGAGATGGTTCAGGTTCAGGTTTAGGCTCGTATGTCAAGGTTTGTTCGGTTTCGATTGTCTCAGCTTCAGTTATAGCAATCAAAGGAGGTAATGATTTAGGCGTTTCTTTAGTGGTTTCTGAAGAAGTCAACAATATCTGTTCGTTATCAACGCTTGGAGTAACTTCAGAAGTTAGTTGAATAACTTTCAACTCTTCAGTATTGTCATTTTTAACTGGTGAGTCAGGTTGTTCAAGTTTTGAGGGAGTTTTAGTACGATTTCCAGATTTACTGCGTTTCCTTTTACCTTTTTCTTCCACCTTTAGTTCTGTTGGAGTCGATTCAATTACTTGACTCTTATCAAGAATTTCTACTTTTTCCTCAACTCTTACTGTAAACTCGGATTTTTCATTGCAGGTTTCGATTTTCGTTGTAGTCTCCTTTTGTGTATCCACTGTAGAAGATGATAATTTCTCATTTGGTTCTTCCTTTACTAGTGGTTTATTAACAGGTTTAGTTTCTTCTGATGGAATTTCTGTTGTGGGAGTTTTCGACCGCTTTTTCGATCTACTTCGTCGTGGTTTAATAAATTCTTGTGGTACTGATAATTTTTCCGCATCATCAACGATTTGTACCAAATCAATTTTCGTATCAACAACTGTAACAATTTTTGCATCAACTGTATCAATTTTTTGGGGAACATGTGCATCGATGGTTTCTTTACTGCTCAAAGCAGTTTGCGATTTCGGTTCTGGTTGAGAAACGACAATTTTAGCGTATGTTAATTGACCAGGAATCTCTATAGGTGGAGCAGGATCGACTTTTTCTTCATCTTGTTTAATTGGCTGAGGTACTGGTTTGGTGTCAACTTTTGTATCGCTTTTCGAAACAGATTTTGAAGTTTTGGTTTTTTCCTTAGGAATCGATTTACTAGGAGAAGATTCTTTAACAGTTTGTTCTTCTTGTTTGACTGGCTTCTGATTAGATGATACAATTTTAGCGTAAGAAATAGCATGAGAGTGACTTTGGTCTTCCTTAGTTTCTACAACGTTGTTTCCGGTAGGTTCCTGTGGAATTGCAGGAATTGGTTTGCTATCTCTTTTACGAGAACCCGATCTGGACCTTTTGCCTTTTTTGCTCTTTTTTATTTCTGCATCGTCTATTTGTTTCGTTTGTAACTCAGAAATTTCAACATCTACTTTAATTTCATCTTGAGGGGTAATAGTAGCATCCCAATTATCAACAAATACTTTTTCTTCAACAGCCTGCATTGGCTGTTTGGGCGATTCTTTCGTTTCAACCACCAATTCTCTTATTAGCTCTCGCTCAGCTTCTACAAACATCTCGGTTTTATTCTTGAGATCAGAAATTAGAAATTCGGAAGAAGTGTTCAGTTTAACAGGAACATCTAGCGCTCCGCTGACCGTTAATTCCGATATCACATTCTTCGGTAGGAGACTCTCCTCCATTCTCTGCTGTTCCAGCCTTTCTTCGTCTTCGTCAGCTTCATCCAAAATATCGTTCACCCATTTCGATGTACCGGGCGATATTGGATAAGAGGCTTTGTATTCGACGTCGGTGATTCCGTACTCGGGTTTCCTGTCGTAATTCCAACCGGGCTCTTCTTCCACTCTATACGCAGTATCTTCATCGAATTGAGGCAGCAGAGGGCTGGAAGAGCTCGGAATGAATTCAGCAGCGTCCGGATTCAGCACGTATCGTTTGCGATCGGATTTCGGAATGAACTCGACAACCGAATCGACTATTGCTTCGAATTGAGACGGTTGTTTGGAATCTATTTCTTCCTCTTCTTCTTCAAGCGCGGTAGTTGCTTCAAGTTGCAATGTTTCTCTTATTGGTTCTGCTTTAACAGTAGGTTCTAATTCCGTTTTGACGACGGTTTCTTCGGCTTTTAATTCTTCTGATTGTTTTGCTTGTTGTTCGTACCAACTGGATTCTGCTTGAAGCAAGAAACTCAAATCGAATTTAGGGAGTAGTTCTGGTAAATCGTATACGAGAGGTGCTGGTTCGTTTTGAACTTCTGGTGTAGGGGTTTGAGGAACATCTTCGTTTTCGATTTCCTCTCGTTGGGTTTCTTTGGATTGTAATTCGTAGTAATTTGCTTCATCTTGGACCATTTTTAAAACGTCGTAGTTTAGTAGGGTTTCTTCGATGAGGACTTCGGTTTTGGGAGTGCTTTTTGCTGATTCATAATAGAGGGTTTCGGCTTTATTTTGAGCACTTACGTCGTATTTAGTTAAATCAACCAAGTCATGTATTTTCTCAGAAATTGTTTCTTCTGGTGTTTCCTTAGAAGTTGGAATATCGTTAGTTTCACTTTCTAAGGGGGTTTCTATGATGATAATTTTATCAATTTTGTCAATTGGTTCCGCTTCAATTGAAGATTCTTGGACATTTGGTTGATGATCCTCTTGCTTCTCGGGCTGCTCTTGCTTCTTCTTTTTAGATTTTTTCTTTTCAATAAAATCAGTTTTTTCAGTAGCGCCACTTTCTTTTACTTGTTGCGTTTTAGAATCTTCGATTTCAATTCGACTTTCTTCAGCAAGTTTTTCTGTTGTTACTATCTCAGTGGTTATTTCTGAGCGAATATTTGTTTTTTCTACGATTTCATTTTGAGTCGATTCTAATTTCGGTTGGTCCAATTCGTGTTTCTTGTGTTTCTTCTTCTTAGATTTTTTATCGAGTGCTTGATGTTCTGAACTATCGCTATAATTAGTATCTGCTTCTGTTGGTTGGACTTCAACAGTCTCTATTTTTTCTTCCAAAGCAACAACAGTCACTAATTCTTTAGGTCCTTCATTAATTGATTTTAATTGCTCTATATCTTTCTCTTTCTCACTATTCGAATTTTCGAATTCTTGTTTAGTTATTTCTATATCTTCATCGTCTGATATCATTGGTCCATCTAAAATATCCATAAACAAACTACTTGATTCGTCAACAGGTAGAGGTTTATATTCTGTTTTGGTTACTTCAGGAAGTTTTTGAATACTTAATTCCTCAGGATTTTCTTCTTTAGGTGTGTCTAAATCAGCCGATTTAATTTCTTTCAAATCGTGATCTTCTTTTTGATGCCTTTTTTCCTTTGAAGCTTTCTTTTTTGTGTCAACTTTTTCAATTTTAGGTGGTTTTACGATTTCATCATCACATTTATCAATTTTATCGATCTTTTCGGTTATAATTTCGGTTTGTTTCAACACTGTACTTTCAGAATTGATGAATTCTGCGTTTATATCTAGGTTTTCTTGATGTGCTTTTTTGTGTTTGGTTTTCACAGGTTGTTTTGCTTCAATTTTTGGCGATTCTTCTTTTTCCGTTACAGCAACACTCGATTCATTAGATAGTTTCAATTCTTCAAGTATTTCTGGTATCGGTACGTTTATCACTTCCGGCTTTTCCTTCAAATCTTTGCCTCTATCCTGTTCTTCTTCGGATTTTCTGTGTTTCTTTTTCTTAGGTTTTTCAATAAATTCCGATGGCTTCGGTTTTTCTTCGTGTTCCGGTATGACTCTGATTTCTTCGGTGACAACAAACGCAGGCTTGGTTTCCTTTACCTCCGCGTCTTGCTTCTTTTTATTTTTCTTCTTGTGCTTCTTACTTGAGATTTCACTCGTATCTTTGTGATCGTCTCGTATCTCAGTGACATCTAACGTTTCAGTGGTATCATCTTCAGACTTGGTTATTTTGTCGGTTTTGTGGTCTTGCGAGGGTGTCGGAAGGTTTGAACCCACAACCGTTGCCCAAGAAGGTTTCTCCCCTTCTTCTGCGTTATTCGAGTCTAAGTCTACAGTTAATCCAGAAACTGTGGACATGTCCGTGTCTGTGGTCACAGTTGTATAAGAATCTATTGAAGTTTCGCTAGTTAAACTAACAGCAACTGAGCCTACAAGTTTGTCGACTTTTTGGGTCGATTCGGTTACAGTTCCTTCGGAGATGATGTCGATTTGCTCTTTGTTTTTGCGTTTCTTCTTCTTCTTGGATTCTGCTGGAGAAGATTCTTTTTCTAAATCCTTTTCCACTGCTATTTTTTCGACTGCATCATTGTTTTCGTCGTTTGTTTTGGATTTATTTTTTGTGTCCACCACTGGTTCCGATTGCTCCACTTGTACATCTTTTTTGTGCTTGTGCTTCTTCTTAGATTTTTTATCTTCCACTTTATCAATACTTGGTATTTCCACATGTTTTGATTCGTGAACTTTATCAGGTTGCGTAAATTCTGGTAGCGCGTGCAGTTTTTCTTCAGTTAGAAAAGCTGCGTTCAATTCGATGTGACTCATTTTATCGCCTTGCTCTCCTATTTGATGCGTTTTTTTGTGCTTCTTCTTTTTGGATTTCTTCCTTTCTGCGGTTTCGTCACCGGTAGTTTCCAATTCGGCGGCTTTCTCGCCCTCCGAATGTACAATTTCGAACGTATCAGATACGTCTTCAACAGTTTGCGGCGCTTTTAGAAGCTCTGCTTCCTCTTCCTTCACTGCAGATACGAAAATAAATCCATTGGTAGATTCGGCGTTGTCTTCCATGCTGGAAGGAGGTTCTTCGATTGTGATCACTTGCGGGGTTTCTTCGAATGTTACGGATTTGCGTTTCTTGCAGCGTTTTTTGTCAACTTTTTCTTCGTTTACTTCTTTGAGGTATTTGTTAATGGTGCTTTGTTTAAGCTCCGTGAGAGCGTCATTGGTGGTTTGTTTCGGTTCTTCCGCTAATTTTGTTGGAGTTAGATCCGTTGATGTAGCTTCTAAATATGCAATTTCCGGTAAAGGTGCTTCCGGAGATAGCGGAACAGACGGAAGGTTTTCGTAAAAATCTTGTTTTTTAATAACGCGGATTTTGGGCGATGCTGGTTCCCGATTATCTTCATCCTGGTGTTCTTTTTCGACGAAAATGAAATTTTCTGTGTCAGATTTTGGAATGGTTTCGTCTGGAATCACTTCGAATTTATCCTCAGAAATTAGTTGTCTATGAAATTCTTCGCGTTTTTCTTCTGGAGTTTTGGTTTCACTTTTAGGAACATGTTTGGTTTTCCTATCAGGAATATTAGCGATGTTCAGTTGGTATTTCTGCAAAGTTTCCTCTTTGAGCTGCTTTAGAACTTTAGATGTTTCTGCTGTATCTTGTGCTTCTTGCGGTGGTTTAGATAGCGAATCTTCCTCGCTTTTAGCTTTCTTGTTTTTCTGCTTCTTCTTTTTGGATTTTTTAGTTTCTTGTTCCACTACCGTTAACGTTGGTACTTTATCATCGGATTCTTTGCATTCGCTTTCTACTGTTAAGGGTTTTTCCACCAATTCCTCGTCTGAAATAAAAGCCGGTTCGTTATCTTTAAATTGAACCAAAGAGGTCTCGACCGACTCACTATTAGAACCCTTGGCGTCGCTTTTAGATTTGGTCCCGTCTCTCGAATTTTTTCTCTTCTTTCGCGAATCCAAAACGTCCATAATATTTTCGAAAGTATTAATTTCAGTTTCAACTATTGAATCTACCCTTGACAATGACACTTCTGTTCCGTCAATTTCAGTCACATTTTTAACCGTGACGTCGGTGGTTGTTATTTCAATGTTAGAAGGAGAGAGAAGTTCCTTTTGGCTCGCCTGTTTGGCTTTCCTAGCCGCTTTTTGACTAGGCCTTTCCTTTACGGACCCGAATAGAACTTGCTCCATATCGATAGAGAATGGATCTTCTATTCGTTTCTCTTTGGTGTCTTCTTCCGTGGAATGGCCGTTGGTGAGTAGATGTTCTTCTACATTAACGAATAATTCGGTATTATTGGTTTTTGTAGTGTTAATTTCAACGTTTTCAATAAGTTGCTCCTCTAACAGTTTGGTGGAATTATCTTTGAATTCCATTTTTATGGATACCACTGGTTTTGTTCGGACTTCTTCGTGTGTAATTAAGATGACTTTTTTAGTTTCCTTCGGTTTTTGGATTTCAGTAGTAATTTTAACGGCTATTTTGTTACTATCCCCAGTCTCTTTTCTTTCCACCGATTTAACAGTAGTAGTAGTATTAGTAGTAGAAACAGTGTTCACACTTCTCTCTTCTCTTTCGGTTGTTTGTTCTTTCTTGGTGGTTATTTTCGACAAAGCATTAGAAATTACCGATTGGACAATGTCTGATGATGCTTGCATAACTTCTTTACTGGACGCCAATAGTTCGTTTTTCGTTGATTTCTTCAACGCATCTTCGAACGGTTTGCACGGAATTTGGTTGATGATTTTCTCATTATTCAAAAATATTTCGTTGATTTCTGACACGGTCATTTTGTTGTGATCGATTACCGATGATTCTGGTGAAGTATTGGTAACAGTTGATGAAAGAATTGAAGAGCTGTTAGAAGTATTTAGCGGGATAACGTCAATTTCCTGCTGTACCAGTTTGTCACTCTCATTTATTAGGGTTATTTCGGGGGTTTCAATTTCTTTTGTTCCATTGTAAGTTGTCTGCAACAATTCCAGAGTTTCTTCTAGTTGATTACAATCGTTTCCTAATTCAATAAGAACGTCTTCTCCAGTGGCAGCGGAATTTTCCGATACACTTTCGGGTTCTAAATCGATTATAATTTCTTCTTTATCGCAACTCTTTTGTAAAGCTTCTGCAGGTTTTATATTTTCAATAGCAGGAATTTCTGTAAGTTGATTAATAACAGTAGCTTCTTCTATTTTGGTTTGTTGGTCATTTTTATCTTTTTTCTTTCTAGGTTTCTTAACGATTTCAGATACCTCGGTTTTGATATTATCAATTGGCTTAATTTCTGAATCATCAGTTTTAATTTCTTCAATTTTATTAGGTATAATTTCTTCATTATCATTTTTAGTTGTTTTCTTTTGCTTTTTCTTTTTAGGTTTATTATCAGTTCCCGTTTCTTCAGTGATTGTTGTCGTTTCGATTCGAACAATTTCTGATTTTACAGCTTCTTCTTTAGGTTGCTCCTTTTTACTAACTTCTTCTTCAACTACATCTGATTTACATTCATCGATAACAATTTTAGGATCTTTCCTATGCTTCTTCTTTTTGGGTTTGATTTCTTTATCTGATGTTGAAATTTCTTTAATTGAAGCTGTTTCAATTTGAACAATTTCTGATTCCACAACTTTGTCTTCAGGTTGTTCTTCTTTACTAACATCTTCTTCAACTATTTCTGATTTGCATTCATCGATAACAATTTTAGGAGCTTTCTTATGTTTCTTCTTTTTATGCTTAATTTCCTGTTCTGATGTTGATGTTTCTTCAATTGATTCTGTCTCAATTTGAACAATTTTTGATTCCACAACTTCTTCTTTAAGTTGTTCTTCTTTACTAACATTTTCTTCAGCTATATCTGATTTGCATTCATCGATAACAATTTTAGGAGTTTTTTTATGTTTCTTCTTTTTGGGTTTAATTTCTTTATCAGTTGATGATATTTCCTCAGTTGATGCAGTTTCAATTTGAACAATTTCTGATTTCAGAAGTTCTCCTTCAGGTTGCTCGGTTTCAGTAACTTCTTCGGTAATATCTGATTTGCATTCTTCCAGAACAACTTTAGGAGCTTTCTTATGTTTTTTCTTTTTGGGTTTAATTTCTTTATCAGTTGATGATATTTCTTCAATAGTTGTCGTTTCAATTTGAACAATTTCTGATTTGACAACTTTTTCTTCAGGTTCCTCTTTAATTATTTCTTCATCGACTATATCTGATTTGCCTTCTTCCATAACAACCCTGGAAGATTTCTTATGTTTCTTCTTTTTAGGCTTAATTTCTCTATCAGATGTTAATGTCTCCTCAATTGGAGTCGTTTCCAATTGTACCACTTCTGTGTTTACAAATTCTTTCTCTGCTTTGAGAACCTCTGGTTCTTTCTCAACAGTTTCTTCAATTTTAGATGGTTTCTTATGTTTTTGCCTTTTAGGTTTACTAACTTTTGATTCTTCTTCAACCGAAGCATCAATTTGAGTAGTTTCTAATTTTGTAACATCTTGTACAATTTCTACAACTTGTGGTTCTTCATCTTTGTGCTTCTTAGACTTTTTCTTTTCCAACTTTTCGCTAACTTCTTCTTTTAATCGAGTTTCCTGAACCATCTCTTGAGCGGTATTCGAGGGATCTGCCACCAATATTTGTTCGCAAATATTATTTTCGTGGTTAGATTCAGACAAGGTTATAGAAGAAATAGTTTGTTCTAGATTTTCTAGTTTATTGGTGTCTTCTTGAACTATTTTAAGTTTACGTTTCTTTTCTTTTTTCGGAGGTCTAACTGGAAGTTCTTTCGCTTCATCTCCACTTTCATCAGAAATATGCCTGATGACTTCTTCAATCACGAAAGCCGCTTTAGTCTCTTCCGCTTTCGGCTGCTTATTTTTCCGTTTCTTCTTCGATTTCTTGATTTTATCTTCAGCGACGCGATCTAAATCGTCTTCGATCGAAGGCATTTCGACAACGGTCGTTATTTTGGTCTCTTCCACGCGAATTTCGGGCGACTTAACAGTCTTCGTTTTAAATTTCGTTACGGTTATTTGCTTAACATGCGACTTACTTAACTCATCGTTTCTCTTATTTTTACTCACTCTATCATTGGGATAAACACCACTATCGCTAAATAAGCCTTTCGGGGAGGTAATTCCGATCGTTCCATCGCCACCTGTTTCATCAACAGGCTCTCCGCGGCGAGGACACGACCGATCGGTTTCGAATCTATCGAATGTTTCTTGATGTTGCTCCGCAGCAACATTGAGGAATCTCTCTTCTCGAGATATGTCCGTCAAGGAATCGTACGTAGCGCGCTGCCCCGGCGCGGACCGCGTTTCTTCCACGCGCGTGGAGCCACCAGGCGCTGGAGACATCGGTCCGGGGCCTCGTCGAGCGTTCGAGCGTTGCACTGTTGCTAAACTAGATGGACTGGATGGCTGGAGAGGTCTGGACGGCAATCCCTGAGCCAAAATTCTAGCGTAAGATGAGCCGTACGAACCGATTGGTTCTTCGTTTGCGATTTCCGCTTCGGCGCGTTCAGCTGGAGAGGGTTCTTCGGCGTTCGGGTAAACGCTTCGATCGTAGGTCAAATCGCCGTGGAAAGTGCCCAGGCCGGAATTGAGTAATTGTTGGCCTGATGCGATGAAATTTACTATATCAGGTAACTGTTGGATGTAAGTAGAGCCGGATAATTGATCGTAGTAGTTCGTTTGCGTTTGCAACGTGGCGTAACCTTGTTGGTGGTATTGGTTCCATTGGTGAATCGGATCCGGCAGCGGAGAAAATTGCTCCACTTGACTCTCTTTAGGCGTTTGTTCTGAAGTAGCTAGTTCTCGTGCGAAATGCGAGGGTGGCGCAGGTTCGGTTTCGAAGGAATCGATGAATTCCTCGCTCTCGCCGCCAAACCCATCGGAGTTCTTCAATTTTCCTTTCAAAATTTCCGCGTAGGTCGTTTGGCCCGGCATCCACATGGGGCTGGGCGAGCGGCTGCGCGCGCCTTGCCTCGCCTCGACCGCCAAGCGGGAGCGGCTGCCATCCGGAGATCGCGAAGAAATCGCTCCTTCAGCGGGCGCTTCAGAAATTTCTATCGCCGGTTTTTTCTTGGGCAAACGCGTTTTGGGCCTGGGCGAGCGGCCGCGTCGGTTCCTAGGCGGCACCTTCGGCGGCGATTCGGCCTCCAGCTGAACGGGTTCCGGTCGCGGTTCTGGCTCAGGGAGCGGTTCGAGTATATCGTGCGGGCGTTCTTGAGATTTCGAGCACCTGGCGGTGACGTCGGCGTAGGAAATTCCAAGAAGGGAATAATCTGGATGAACGTAAGCGTTGTAGGGATCCGTTTGTTGGATGCGTGACACGAGCAGCGAGATCTTCCGCCGGTTCGCTTCGATCCACGCCTGTTTGTGTAGCAACAATGCAATAAATCAGTAACGTACGCGCAATAGATATAACATAATTATTTACACGCTGGTAAGATGGTGGCTGAAACGCGCATCAAGTCAAAGGTCTGTGGTCGGGGATTTCGGTCGTTTTTGGGGGTATATTTTTAAAGGAATGTGCTAGGTGTCTGGAGGGTCTCGGTCTGGCGTTCCGGTCTGAGCTATCAGCTTCATTCGCTCGTTCCGAGCGCTCAGCTTGCGCTGCAGATTGCGGACACGGTCTTTTTGCACCTGCACGGGGAATTAGGTGGTAGAGGAATGCAGCGAAACGAACAATAAAAAGAAACAAAAAAAAATCGTTTGTTGGTAATAACATCGAAACAAATGAACAAACAAAACTGTATAGGTCGAAAAGTTGGCAAAAAGATACTTACTTGTACGATTAGTGTTCCTTCACCTAACAACTACTTTAAGCGTTATTAAATTAATCAACGGAAGAGTTAGTGTGTAAACTACAATACTTTTTACCAACTTTCTAAGACCGTTTAAATGATTGTGTTCGCTTTCTAGGCTCACCCGAAGCTCGGTAAAACGAAGCGTCGTGAACGTGATTCGGTGTGTGTGAACAAAATGCGTGGTGATCGTCAAAGGTGAGAATGAGAGTGAACACAAAATTATAAGAACGAAAACCAATGTAGTGAACTCGAAAGCGATTCGGCGATTTATAAGCGATATGTGTGAATGGTCAAAGCAATAAAAGCCGCAAATGAAGCAAATAGTAAACCAAATACGTTATTCGAATAATTCATCGATCGGTTCGCTTGCGAATGAATTGTCCGAATAACAACCAAATAATAAAGAGCCCGAAATCGAAACAAACACAATCCCCGCTGCCGGTCCTGCGGGGAAAGGAGAGGGGCAGTTGGACAACACCTTTACGTGAACGTTTAAACCACCTCTACCTTGTCGCTTTAACGGGTACTACGAATTTCAATACTAAAAATCGTGTTTTACTAAATTTCGCTTCACTCTAGCTTGCGGTGCGCTTTGGCAAAAAAATACAATGATGGTTGTGGCATGACTTCGATCGATTTTTATATTTAATGTAACACTAACAAGAGAACAAGAATGAACTATTTTTTAATGAACTATTTTCTCTCTAGTTGTTAGAACCTCACTCTCTTACTGTTACTTATCTGGCATCACTTCCTTCACCATAAACTAAACTTTATTGGCTATTTTGTAAATAAACAATACATAAAAAAGAGACAATTTTTAGTCACCATCGAATCGAACGGCACAATATAGTGCATGCCACTTCCATCTAATCTACGCAATCGTTATTCGGAGGTTAATACCATCAAAAAGAGCAAAACCGCACACGTCGATACCGTACCTGTTGGTCGTGCAGCGCCCGGTCTCGATCGTGCGGCAGGTAGTTCGGCGCCAGCGTCGTGCGCAGCTGTTGCTCCACTTGCACGATCTGCTGGCGCAGCTGCTGCACCTCCTGCTGGTAGCCGTCGACTTGGGCGATGGCCGCCTCCAGTTGGGCGGTTTGGGCGCGCACCGAGGCGTTCAGTTCGTCGAGATCGACGATCACCTCTTCGGCCGATTGGGTCACCTTCGAGTCGCTCTCGATGCCCGATTGGAAATGCACCTAAAACGCCAGTTAGTATCCGGGAGGTTTCGGTGAGTTTGGTGGGAATATTACCTGTAATTTCTCTACGGATAAGGAGATTTTGGTTTTTTGTATTTGGATGTCGGCTAGGGTTTTCTCGCGCAAACCGTGCTGGTCTCTGAGCGGTTTCTTCTTGTTTTGTTGCGAGTCCAAGGAGGTTTTCGTTTTGTCTATCCAAATGCGCACTTCTTTGATCTTCTTCTCGCATTGGTCCCATTCCTCCGAGGTTTCGGATAACAACCCGTTCTGCAATTCGCAAGCATTAAACCCATTCAAACTAAAATTACCCTTAATTATTACCCGTTCCAAAATAAGCGTTTCTACTTCGATTTTCGCCTCTTCTGCTTCCTCCATTTTCTGAGGTAAATCCCCCACGCTGGTCACATTACCGATGTTCTCCAATTCCTTCGCCATATCGCTCAAGTTTTTAGTAGCGCTCTTGCAGCTCCTCACGGCATTCTAAACACAACGATTATTTAATACAAAAACCCACCCAACCCACTAGTTTAAACTTACTGAATATTCGTGGAACTTCTGCTTGGCTTCGGTCAAGGTGCTAAGTCGAAGTGGTTCCTTCAGGAATTCCTTCTTTTCCTCGACCCATTGCATCACGGCTCGGTACAAGCCGAGGAAGCGTTGCCAAGCGTCGAGAGTTTCGCCGATCTGCTGCCGTTTATCGTCCAGCAGCGATTTGAGTTGAACGAATTGATCGGTCAGGTTGTTGATAGTCGACTGCGTTAGTTCCTTTTCCTCGTTATCTTTGGTCTTTTCTATGATGATCCGGCCGTTGCGCGTGAGCTTGTCCAATTTGTCGTGGACGCTGCCGAGCTCCAATTGGATCTGTTGCAGGTGCTCGTGCAGCAACTGCGGCTCGATGGAGCGGTCTTGTATTCTCAGTTCGGCCTCTTTGATCCAGCTTTGGACCTCGTCCACGTCGCGGGAGAAGTCCGTGCGGATGGTGCGGGCCTTCTTGAACTCCCTGTCTTTTTCCTCCATCGCCGTCGCCACGGATTCCGCGGATAATTCCAATTGGTTGAGCTGCTGGGACACGTCCGAAGGCACCAAGTTCTGCGATGAGATGTACCTTTTGGCCAGCTCGGCGGCGAATTGTTTGGTGTCTCCGATCGCTTCTTTGACTCGAATTTGGAGTTGCTTTAGGTTTTCTTCGGTGGTGGAGAGATTCGCGTCGAATACGTAGAATTTCTCGATTTCTTTTTTGAGGTTTTGCAAGTGGGATTTTTTGTTCGCAATGTCCTGCAGAGATTGCTCGAGTTGTTGTAAGTCTGTCGTTGTTTTTTGGTGTTTTTCTTTTAGGTCAGTCAAAAGCCTGGAATATTAATGAATAAGCAACGAGGAGAATGAAAAAATAATGTAAAAATAACAGTTTATTAGTCATTCGTTTTACGGCAAATTTAGTTCAGAAATTGCGAATGAACAATTCGGTTTTATTATGTTTGGCGAATTAATTTTATAAATACCTTTCGGCCTCAAATAACGTACGAAAATAACAATTGTCGACGATAAATCGCGAAACCGTGAATAATTTTTTCAGTCAGTAGCGAAGGCACTGTAACTTACTAGCATTCGGATGTGTAAAGTTCGCAATGCCGGACCTATTTTTAAGTTTTGACCTCATCAAATGTGCCAAAATAAAAGCGGAGAGACAACAGAGCAACGTGCGCGTGGAGAAAACACACCGATTTTATATTAGGATTAGATTGGATCTAAATGCACCGCGAACGTGGGAATTATGTAATAGTTTCGGATTATTTTACGACCGGATGAACTGGAGTATTCTCGGGAAATATTAAGGGCTCCCGTTTTTAACCTATCAGAAGGCACACCTGGTGTTTTATACACGAATTTATAAAAGTACTAATATAAATTCGAATAAATAATACAGACTAATTGTGCTCCCAAAAAGCTGCTACAAGCTTTGGAATTGTTCATAAATATTTATACTATAGTGAAGTAGATTGCAACATTTTTCAAAATAGTAATTTGTGAATTATAAATAATTCAATCACTACACATTATACTAATCCCAAATGAGTGATCACCTTAATTTGCTCGGCTTTGAATAAGGAAAATCGCGCGATTTTCCGAAAAGATAATCCAACAATCGGCGAATCACTTTCACTATCAGGTGCGATTTCCAGTCACTTTACTACAACCAAAGAAACTTTTTCCAGCTGCCTCGGAAGCCAGTCGTGGATCAACCGGAACAAATAACGAATCCACGTGAACTCCGGCAACTCGAAAAAAAAAATATCTACTGCTCGAACGGCAGGTGAAATCGTGTTTCTTTTCCGTGGGGGCGGTGAGATCGGTGTCAGGCGGCGTTTACCCTTAATTTTAACTATCCAGCCATCCAGTGGGTCGGGAAGTCGAGTCGCGTTTGAATTCGGCGTTTTTTCGAAAGCGTCGCGACGGCCAGAGGCGTCGGCGTCGCGGCGGCTCGGGTTCGCGCGGATTTTTTCGGCCTCCATTATTTATAATTCACTGTAATTGAATTGCGAAAATACTTTTTCGACGCGCCTCGTACGGTTCAATTCTCGCTCGCGAAACTAGCGCGAAGAAATTTTATACATAAGTTTTATTAACGTTTCTATTTTTAGCACCTGCGTTCGAATGATATTTTTATTTTTAATAGGAAATGACATAATTTACGAGGAATTTGTCTCGCCGTCCGTAAAATTTTTTCAAGTGTTGTCATTGAGAAGCGAATTAATTGACTCTCATTACGAATTAATATACATTTCGAGGAAGAACATTTTAGTAAAGATGAATGGTGTGTTATTGCTTGTTTCAACACAGATATTTTAATTATAGAAGTAGTCAAAATAGTGCAACATAATTTCTGAAATATCGCTGAAAAAAATCCCGCATCGTAAATATTTTTAGCTTAGCGACTTAGAGTTAATTCAAAAAAAAACTTAGACAGATGCACAAACTAAACTTTGTGCACGTACCTACTAATGACCGAGAAACGATGTCTGTAGAACATTTGGCGAAACTCCAACTAGACTATATTTTACATTTTCTATATTTCTGAACTACATAATGCCAACCGGGATTATTTAGAATATGATGAAAAATCTAAAATAGTCACGCGACCATCGTAGATCCAATGTTACCATTCATCATTCATTAAACAAAATACATTTATTTGTTTGATTTTCATCCACTTTATATATTCAATACTTTATTGTAAATGCTACCAAATGATTAATAAACTATCTACATATTTACCTTTGATAAGCATCGTCGAGTTGCTTCAGTTTATTCGAAAGGGCATCGGCAGAAGCTTGGGCGCTTCCAGTCAGGAACTTTAGAATCTCATCGGATAATTTCCTCACTTCGTCTTGATGGATTTTGATGCTATCGGCTTCCAATTGCAGCTCTTGTATGTTCCTTTTAGTGAGAACCACGTGCTCTTTGTTTCTCGCCACGCAGTCCAGGTTTTTGGCCTTCTCGGCGACGCCGTCCAGCAAACTTTCGAAGATCTGCCATTTGCTCTCGAAGATCTCCCATTTTTGCGCCAAACCTGCACCACAGGTCGTCATTACTGCTGGTTATTGTGCATTTTGTATGGATAACTTACCGGTAAAGGTGTCTCTTCTCTTCTCCAGATCGGTTACGAGAGAGTTCCATTCTTCGGTGATTTCCTCGCTTTGGGATTGGATTTTCTCTCGATTTCTTTGGTCCGCCTGCTTGAGGATTTCGTTAACTCTATCCTGCAGCAGTTCAAGCTCCAGCTGCTGGTTCTGCAAGGTGAAAAATATACTCTATAAGTATTGTGTTAAGGTGTTAATTATATATAGTGGAAAAAAGTCAGTTGTTGTTCCAGAAGTCTTTATAAAACTTTCTATAGAGTATTCCGGAATAATGCTTTGGGAAATGTCAGTTATCAAGATTACTACTAATGCGCTAATAATGGATAGCATAAAATTTTAATAATGTAGTAATAAAATAATTACAAATGCATTGTAGAAAATTATAAGATTAATATCTAATGAGAAAAATATCTTATGATATCATTATTACATATTTTTAGAAATACTATTTGCAAGTATTCTATGAATCGTTATTTGTATTATTTGAAACAATTATTTATAACTTTGTATACGTTATCAATTGTTACGAATATGTCGTAATTTCTATTTTAGAGTGTCTATAAATTTGAGTTTATGAGAATTAAATAAATAAAAAATAATTAATTTAGTGAGTTTAAGAAAATGAAAAAAAATACAGAAATGTAGGTAATTGCCTCAAGTAATGTGTACTTATCTAATTCTTTTTGTATAAATTATTTGATATATCAATTGAAATAATAACTAATTAAGATCTATAAACGTTAGCAACTATTTTATAATACTATAATACTAAATTTAGAATACTAAAATAATAATGATAGACCAAGTTTGAAAGGAATAAATATACTTAGAAACTTCTACTAGTTCACAATTAAATTAACTATCATTAAATCATTTTTTTTTGTTTCATTCGCTACTACTTTTATTAATTTAATAATACCTAATAAAAATTACATATTAAATTAAATCCAACAATACACAATAAAAACTTTTTAATGCCAATTAAAAATTCCCGGTTAACCGGCTCGTCTATTTGAGATTTTTCCGGTAATTTACCTTCTTATCATTCGAATTTCGCAGCATCGCTATTTACTAAAACTATTAGTAAATCCACAAGATCTATTTCCACTGTAAAATAATCTATCATTTAATATATCACCGGAAGATACGCACATATCACAATAATATCGGACTAGTATATCAGAATATATCACGATCGACGCGAAGTCGCGGTTAACAATAATACGATTAATAACAAATTCACGTTTTGGTTAAAATTATTATAAAACGTGCGCGTAACAAGCCGGGGACAACCGAATCTACCTTAAACCCAAACGAGGAGTGCATTGAATACCATAGGCGTACGCGCAATTTTTGTTCAAATCAATTTTATAATAAAATATGATCCGGAAGTAAACATTTTTCTTCTAACATTACTTATACTCCAATAGTTATCAAGGCATAGTTGAAAACCTTCTTGAAGACCGTAGTAAGCTCTAGGGACTCGGCAATAAATAATTAAAAACTAGGTTTGGATTAATAATTATATTGCTTATTGCATACAAAATTAGGCTCCTGATAGCGAACTGAGTATAAACAGCGATTGGTCTATAACTCATAAAGAATTTAATAACTTCGGTAAAGAAACACCATCCGCGCCTATGCATATGGACACTTGTATGGTATAAAATGACGCGAAAATCTGATATCATTATCCTAAAAATAGAATGACATCATTCCTCCGAGGTGTTTGCCTCAAAACTTTCTGGTTGCCTATTCGAAGGCACGCGTACGCTCCGATATCCGCGCGACCACGATTTTCGTTTCGAACAGCCTTGAATTCGGCAAGGTTCCCGCCTTGCAACGATTAAAATTAGTACGGTGATCGGTGCAGACGATCTCAAGCGGCTACCGGAACTTTAACCGGTAATTGTACCACCTGCGCGAAGAAAATAAAGCTGCCTCAAAGCGATGCTATCCCAAAAAAGAAGCCTAATTAACTTATTAACCGTTTACTAGTGATAGCATCATCTGCTCAAAGAAAATAAAGCTTCCTCAAAGCACTGTAATCCCAAATAGAAAGCCTAGTTAACTCATTAACCCTTTACTGGCGATAGCATAATCTGTTCAAAGAAAATAAAGCACTGTAATCCCAAATAGAAAGCCTAATTAACTCATTGATCATTTACAGACGATAGTATCATCTGTGCAAAGAAAATAAAGCTTCTCCAAAGCAGTGCAATCCCAAATAGGAAGCCTAATTAAATCATTGACCATTTACTGGCAAAAGTATCATCTGTGCAAAGAAAACAAAGCTCCTCTAAAGCTCTGCGATCCCAAATAGAAAGCCTAATTAACTCATTGACGATTTACTAACGATAGTATCATCTGTGCAAAGAAAATAAAGCTTCATGACCCATTTTTACACCATATTGGTGATAACCCTTAGAGGAATTAAGATAACTCACCTGCATATCATTGAGAGCGTGCGATATTTTCTGGACGTTAAAGTGCAATCCTGCAAGCGTAGAAGCGGGTTCGTCGGTGAACTTAGCGCCGTCGATAATGCTCCTGACTTTCTCCAAAGCGTTGCAGTAGTCCTTCCAAATTTCCACGTCCTGCTCCAGCTGGGCCTGCTGCGATTTGGCCGAGTTCAAAGTGTTCTTCAACGTTTGGGTGTGCTGCTGTTGCTCTCTGCTGAGCTCCTCCTGCTCGTAGGCTGTCAGGCTGGGGAAGATCTTGTCAGCTGCCTGCTGGATGGTCTGGTGGACCAGTTCCTTGATTGTGGGTTCTAGGGATAAAATATTGTGGTATTTTATTCGTTCGATGTTATGTGGTGGTCTTACCGGTGCTAAAGAAGTGCTTGTGCTCTTCCAATTCTTCGTGGATGTTTTCGAAGTCTACGCCATCTTTGTACGTGGCCAGTCTGATTTCGGCTTCTTTCACCCAATCGTAGAGCTTCTGTTTGTGTTCCGCGTATTCTTCTCTAACGGTTTTGTTGTTTTCCAAATAGTTTCTTCTCTCTTCCAATTCTCTGGGCAGGGAAACTAACAAGGAATTGGCTTCTTGGAGTTGTTCTTGAATCGAACCGGGCAGGCTTTCGTCGTTTTTGGTCGCTTCTTGGATCTTCCTGATTTGGTCCAAATGGCTATTAACTTTCTCGGCTAGTTTATCGTGGTTTTTCATTTCCCTGTCCACAGTTCCGACGTCTCTACCGAGCAAAGGTCGAGATCTGACGATGCTTTCGTTGTCGTGCAGCCAATCTAAAACTTCTTCAAGCTCGGCGGATATCTTGAGATGTTCAGCGGCGGTATTTTCGTGTTCTTGTCTCTGTTTCTCCACCGCTCTTCTGAGCGTCTGCAGAGATTGTTTCAAAGATTGCAGTTGCTCAGTTATATCGTTTTTGTCCTGAACGGATCCGTCGTTGGCTATTTGCTGGCCCTTGTCCGACGCGGAAGCTAGCAAAGCCTCGCATTCTTGTATTTTATGAATAATATCGTCGTATTTCTTTATCTTCTCCTGGATGGGCTCTCTGGATTTTTCCATATCTCTCACTATCTCGGTATATTTAGTAATGAAAGTCGTTATTTCCGTGATGAGAGCTAAGTATTGTTCTCTTAGAAGCAACAATTGGCGACGTTTAGCGATTTGGTCTTCTATAAATTTAATCAAATCGTCTTCTTCGTTGATCAAAGATTGCAATTCGGCCATATTAGCTCCGGGCGCGCTGCTCAATTTGGCCTTGTTGTCTCGAACGTCCCTCAGCAACCTCTCGTACGCCGTCAGAACTTGCTGCACGTCCTCCACCTTCGGCCCGAGAGGCCTGTTGAGCTCCTGCAGCTGCGCCTTGATGTCCTGAATGAACTTCTTGGCGTCTTCGATTCGCTGTTGCGCGTCCTTCAGCTGCTGGATGTTCTGCTTGAGCCCGGTAGCCCTGTCTTCTATAACGTCAGTAACGCGTCTGTGGCGGTCTTTTAGACCTGATATTGTATCGTTCAGGATCATCTTATCAGACTCGCACAGGGTGGGTAAGATCGCCTTGGCTTGCTCGACAATCTTCTCAATGGCTGTTTTGTAGGATTTCGAGTCTTCGTTTAGTTTCTCGTATTTCACCAGCTGCTCTTCGAGCACGTCGACGTTGCTGCCTCTGATGTCCGAGGACGTGGCCACTTCGGCTTCCTTGAGCCAGTTCACGCACTCCTCGATCTGGTTCTCGAAGCCGTTTCGTCCGTTCAACAAGTCCCGCAAGGCGGCGATCTTTTGCCGCGACTCCTGCTGGAGCGATTCGTACTCGTCTTGGACTTCGTCGAGGAGACGCTGGAGGCGCTCGCGATCGTTCGCGTCGCAATCCTTCAGGATGCCGTTGCCGAGTTTGAGCAGGTCGTTCAGCTCGCCGTCTTTGAACCGCTTGATGTCGGCTTCGTGGGCGGCGTGCTGCTCTATCTCGTTTTCCACTTGGCTGGCTTTGAGCGGCAGGTAGCCGGAGAGTTTCTTGATCTCGGCGTTTTTGGCTTTGAGCCAGGCCTTGGCTTTGTGGAGGTCCTGTTCGAGTTTCCTTCTGGCGTCGGCTGCCGTGGATACTCTGTCGATTTCCGATTTGATTAGATCGGTTAGTTGGCCTTGCTCGTTGTCTAGGTCCTTCAAGTGCTTGTCGATTTGGGAGGCTTCGTTCGGTTCTAATTCGTTGGACATGTTGGTAAGGCGTTTGAGCAGCGTTTCTTTGAGAATCTGTTTAGCGCCTGCTTCTTTGAGTAGGTCTTTCAAAGAGTTGATTTTGTCGTCTATTTTCCTGCTTTCGAAGCCTAAGGGTTCCGGTTGTTTCAATTCAGCGGTTTTCTTTTGTATCCATTCTCTAGCTGTGGCTATTTCGTTAGTAGTGTCTTCGATTCCTTTCTTAGTCGTTTCCAATACTTGTAGTTTTCTTTGGAGCCTCTTCAGCAAGTCGTTGTAGCGCCTTTCGATGGATTTCGATTGGTCTTCGATTTGCTGGGAGTCTAAATTATTGACGAATTCCGTCACTTGGGCAGCGAGCCGTTTGTAGTCATCCAATCTTTTAGGACCTTGATCGTCAAATTCGGCTTTAATTTCTTGAATGGAGGCTTGTTTTTGATCGCAATTTAGACCCGAACCCTTGTCTATAGCTTCTATACGTTTGCCCAAATTATCCAGCCAATTGTTCATGACTTGAACATTCTGTCTGTAATCGTCAATTACTTCCATATTAGCTTGTTTCTGCGCAATGACGCCTATCAAATCCTTCTCCAATTCGTTCAATGCCCTCTCCAACTCGTCGTTTTCGTCGCCAGACGCAGCCAATTCCGATATCAGAAGATTCCTGCGCTGGTCTATGGAAGCCAGAAGATCGTTCATGTTGCTGATGTCCTGTTTAGCAGCGTCCGCTCGCAACTTCACCGGTCGATTCTTCCAATCGTTCACCACCGACTTTTGAGCTTGTATCCAGTTCTTGAGTTCCGTCCTCTGTTTGTTTTGTTCTTCAAACTCTGCGACCGCCGCGGTCAAGTCGCTGAGATGAGCTTGTATCTAAGGATAATGAAATTTATAGACTAGTTAGTGGTGGTGGTTTGGTAATTACCTGGTCTATAACATCCTCGAGCCTGGCTCTGCATTCGAGCTCCTTGATGGGAACCGGAGGAGGTAGCGTGTCCCTGGGACTGCTCGGACGACTGATTGATGCAGTAGCTGCTTCGCAGGCTTGCACGGCAATCGCCAATCGAGATTTCTCGCTCTGCAATTTTGTGTGAAGCGTCTGGAAGATAAATTCAAGTAAATTAGTGAGTTGGGTAATCGTGATAGGGTACTAACTTTTGCAATTTCCAGTCGTTCTTTGGCTTCGTCCAAGTTTTCAACGGGTCTCTCCGACTCTTCGATGACGACCGGTTCGATTTCGTCCAAATTCTGCATGATGCTGTCCAATGTGTCTTCGTATTCTTTGAATTTCGCTAGCGAATCGGCTAGTCGATTTTTGATTTGCAAAGCAGTTTGTAACAGGGAATTGTAGCTCTCCTGGACGTTGTTGAGTTGTCTTTCTATGTTGTCTTTAACAGCGGGCGCTTCTTTCTCGTACTTGGAGATCTGAGCTTGACCCTTCGATCTGACGTCGTCGAGAGTGGACTGGTACTTCTGAATTTCCTCCAAAAGGGCCACGTGTTGGGCCAGCTGCTCTTCAGTTTGTTCTCTATTGCTGATGTATAGGGAATTGTGCGCCATGAGTTGGAAGGAGACTTGCAGCAACCACTTTTCGGTGTCTTGGAGCTTCTGGTGGTAGACGTTGTAATCGTCCAATTCCTTTTCGAACGATTCTTTGATTGCGTTGCAAGCTTCGACTAGTTTGGAGTATCGGTTCTCCAGTTCGTTCACCGAATCGATTTTGGTGGGCTGTTGCGCCAACGAGCTCAATTCACGAGAATCGTTCCTCAATCTGTCCAATTCGCTTTCCTTGTTGTGGATTTCGCTTTGTAAATTCTTGAACCGTTCCAGCAAGGTTTTTATTTCGCTGACTTCGCCTTTGGTGGAGACTTTCTCGTGCAGCTTCTTCTCGGTGGCGGTCAGCCAAGCGTCAAAGGCCTGCTTGTTGCTGTTGAACTCCTCCCATCTGGCCAGGCTGGCTTTGAGTTGCGCCTGGATGGACTTGATGTTCATGTTGATTTGATCCCAGCTGTTCCTCAGCGCGGTCATGTCGTCTCTGAGTTCGTTTTGTTTGTCGCTCGGAGCCACGTTGATGGCCTTGCCGAAGGATTCTTGGAGCTTGTTCAGCAGCGCTTGGCCTTCGCCTAAGTTGGATTCGATATTGGCAATGACGACCAGTTTTTCTTTGATGGCGGGTTCATCGGTGACGCCGACGCAGCTTTGGATGGCGGCGTGAGCGTTTTGCAGCCATTGCTCCAGCTCCTTTTTGGTGTTTACGAAATCCGTTTGATCCGTCAGGTTCTTCTCTATTTTCGATACTAGAGTTTGGGTGTTGGTCAGGAGATTCATGTATTTGGTTTGTAGCTGCACTGTTTTGTCTCTCACCCAGCTAATGGCGCAATATTCGATGAGAGTCTCGCAGAGATCCGTGAGATTCTCCATGCTGGGCTTCAAAGCTACTATATCGTCCAGTAAAGCTTTGCATTTTTCTAAAGCTTCGGAGTTGAATTCTAGGTTTGCGTATTCGCCTAGAGATTGCTGGTGCTTTTCTATCGACTCGCTCATCGAGTTGTAGCAATTCTTGTATTCTTCCCAAGCGTTTTTGCAATTCTTCAGAGATTTCTTGGTGTCCTCGCAGATGAATTGCAGTCCCTCCCAATCGATGTTAAGCTGTTCGATTTCGTTTCTGATGATCTCTTTGCCTTCGTTGCCTGTAGTTTTCATGACAAGAATGCTGAGTTCTATAGTTTTGTGGATTAGATCGTCGCATTCTTTGAGAGACTCGGATATTTCGAACGCTTTGGATTCTTTCTCGATTATCTTGTCCAATTCGTTGTGCAAATCGGAGCAAGTCTGCAACTCCATTTGCGCTTTTCTGATTTTATCGCACGACGCGTTGTAGGAGGATTTGTATTTGTCGTGATCGTCCACTTCTGAGTGCAGATTCGCGGATAAGTCGTTCAAGTTTTTCTTGAATTTTTCGAAGCGTTGGATGGCGCTTTCGTAATCTTTGCTCCGGAGCGAAGAATCTTCGTCTAGCTTGGCTTTGAGTTTGTCTACCAAATCGTTGTGGGCGTCAATTTCCTTCTGAACTGCCTTCAGTTTCTCCAGCTTGGCCCGTTTCTCGCCCAATTCGTTGAGATAATCGTCGTCGAAGCGAATTTGGCTTTCTTGTTCGTCGAGCCAATCGAGGAGCTGCTTGTAAATTTTGTCGACGTCTTCTAACTGGTTAATTCTGGCTTGCAATTTGGACCTGGCATCTTGGGTGTCGTTCAGCAGTTTCTCCATGTCGATTTTGAGGTTTTCGGTGTCTTCCTTGATTTTAGCGGCGCCGGATTGCTCGGTGTTCATGATGACTTTCTCCTTCAGTTCTTGTATGTACCTCAACTTGTTCTGGCCTTGTTCTAACGAGGATCGAATGTTTTTGACTATTTGCAGTTTGTTGTTGACTTCTGATAGTGTGTTGGGGATTTCCAAGCAACTGTTCAGTTTGTCTCTCGTTCTGTCCATCCAATCTTGGCATTCTTGGTAGAGGGCGTTGTGTTGTTGGTGCTCTTGGTAATGCAGTTCTAATCTGCGCATTATTTCTTTTGCTAAGGATAGAATTGCGTTGTATTTAGTGGAGATTTGGGTGATAGCGTTACTGACTCTCGTGTCTGCGCAAGTTTCTAATAGAACCTGAGCTTTCATATTTAATTTGTCTAGCTCAGTTTGCCAATCAAACAAGTTCTGCAGTTGCAGCTGGAAGTGCTCCAAAACGGCGCGTTTTTCCTCCAAGCTGTCTTGTAGCTTGTTGTAAGACTGCACCATTTTCTCCGTTTGCGACAGCCATTCGAGCGCATCTTGGTATTGTTCTTCGTATTCCGTCCACTTCACTATGCCCGTTTCCAACAAGCTCTTCGTGTTGTTCAAATCTTCCACGTAGCTATCGAAATCGTCTTGCAACAAACCTACTTCTTCTTCTATAATTTCTTTGTCCATATCCGTAGCGAAAGGTATGGCTTTATCCGCCAAGTCGATGGCAGTTTCTAACTTCTTCTGGCCCTCTGCTACTTCGTTTTTCAGCGCTTTTAGCTGTGACAGTTTGCTACCCAAGCTCTCCTTGTCGCCGGTCGGCTCCGAGCATTTGCCCAAGCGCTCTCTGGCGTTCCTGATCCATTGGTGCAGGTCATTAGCAGCATCTACGAAAGCCTCGTGCTTTTCCACCACCTCCTTCTGTTTGTCGTACAACTCTTGAGCTTGCCTGGACAAGCTTTCGTACTTGGTGGAAATTTCGGAAGCTGGAGCTGCTTGTTTGAGATCCTCAGCCTTGGACGCAACAGATTGGATCATTGGTTCGAAGGAAACGATGTCTTGTAAAATACTGCCAGTTTCGCGAAGAGTGGCCTTTTTGTCGCCGATAGGAAGGCTGCTCAGGCCTTTCTTTTCTGTTTTCGTCACTTTGGGCTCGGTGACTTGTTGAAGCTTCGCTTCGCGATCGGTTATCCACTGTTGTAGCTGGTTGTAGGAGCTGTCGTAGTCGGCCCATTGTAGCAAAGCAGTTTCTAGATTAACTTTAGTGGTGGCCAGTTTCTTGACGATTCGTTCCCAGTCCGATTGTATCTCTTTTATCTCGTTGTTGATGGTCTCTCTGCCGTCGGATCTGGTGTTTCTGATTACCTTTTCGCCGCAATTGACGGTTACGTGGACTAAATTTTGGCCTTCCTCTCGCTGTAGCAGCAGCTCTTGGATTTTATCGAGGTGCGATTGCAAGGTGTCTTTGCTGCTGTGAGATACAGCTTCGGAGCACACTCTGACTAATTCTCGGGCGTTGTCGATCCAACCTCGCGTCTTCTCCAGATTCTCGGAGTATTCTTTGTGTTGCTCGTAGTTGTTTTCGACTTTTTTCAACACGTCGTTGGCTAGGCTGACTTCCACTTGATATCTGGAGTTTAGTTGTTGCAATTGGTGGTTAACGTGCGTTTCTAGCGGGGAATTTAGCAGCACGCCTGCTGATTTGTTTAATTTGTCTATTTGGTCTTTTCCTTCGATTAGGTTTTTAAGGATGTCTTTGACGTCTTTGACTTGCTTTTCTTTTTCCTGTAGTGTAGGCATTAAGGCGATTTTCTGGTTCTTTATGAGGATCGTTATCTGTTGCAGCCAATCCGAGACTTTTTCGTATTCGTCTTTGTAATCTCGCCAATTGGATAGGACGTTGTCTAATTGTTCTCTTTGTTGTTTGAGGTCTTTAAAGAGTCTTTCAAAGGCCTCTTTTAAGGCTCGTATGTCGTTGTTTATCAGTTCTTGGCCTTTATCGTTGGTGTTTGGAAGAACGACTTGAGCGGTGTGTTCCAAATTTTCCAGGAGAACTTCTCCTTGAGCTTTCTTGTTCAGCAAGTGATCCAGCGGAGCTGCTAGAGCTTCCACCGTGAGTTTTTCGCCCAAAGGTCGCTGCAATTGCGGTACCTTTTCCTGGGCCCTGGTCATCCAACTTTGGACTTCGTCGTAGGCTTCCTTGTAGACCTTGTGATCTTTATACTGCGCGTCTCGATCGGATGATAATTTCTATAATACAAAAACAAAGTTTGGTCGTATGTAAATGAGTAAAAACTAATAATACTTACGAATATTTTCTCAGCTAGAGCAACGAATTTGTTGAGGGTTTCTTGCGCTTCCGTGGTGGCTTCGCCGCCTTTCTTCTTCTGCAGAACTTGGGCCACTTGCGAGGCGAAATTGTCGACGTCGATTTTTTCTCCTCTAGTTTTCTCTTCTAGTGTCTTGATTCTCGCTAAGAAAGTCTTCTTTTCGGTCAACGTGGCTTGCAACGGGGACAATTCGTCGTATTGCGCTTCCAGAGATTCGATCGTCTTAACGAGCGATTTGATCTCCTGCAGCAGCTCAGCCCATTTGGTCAGAGCCTCGTCCAGAGTGCTCTTGGTTTCGACCAACGAAGACGCTAAGTTAGACCAATCTTCTTGGAGTTTAGCGAGCGTTTCGTTGATTTCCGTATGGCCTTGAGGCGCCGTGTTAGCCAGGACGATTTGAGCCAGCTCAACCAAAGCTTGCAGCTTCGACGAGCCTTCCTCTTTTCGCAACACCAATTCCTGCACTGCTTCTAATTTGGCTTCCATTTCCTTTTGGGGGACGCCCGTAATGTCCGAGCAGTAAGCCAGTTTGTTTTTGATGTCGTTCATCCATTCGGAGAATCGTTCGACTTGCGTGTCGAAGTCTTGGTGATTGGCGACGTGCTGTTGCCATCTGGCGGTCAGATCCTTGATCTTCTGGCAGATTTGCTGGTATTTAACGCCGAGTTCGGATATCTGCGACGGCCTGCCCATTATGCCTTTGTTCAATTGCTGCGCTCGCTCCGTGACTTGATCGATTTCCAGTTCTTTGGCCTTGACTTCGCCTTGGAGTTTCTTGAGGACGTCGAGCTGGTTTTTCTTCTCGTGCGCGGTAGGTTTTAGATCTACCGAGTGGAGTTTATTGTCGGTGTCTCTGATCCATGTGAGACATTTGTCTTTAAGGGATTCGTACTCGGTCCAAAGGGCGAGTTTGTTTTCGAGTTGCTGGATCGAAGCGTCCAAAAGGGAAACTAAAGCTGCCCATTCTTGTTGGGATTTTTGTATCTCCGATCTTATGGTAACCTGACCGTAGTCTATGGTGCCTGGGATGACTTTGTCTCCTAGAGATTTCACGGAGAGTATTCTAGATTCCTCGTCGCGCATGGAAGCTTTAAGTGCTTTTAATCTCTCCAAATTGGATTGTAAGCTTGTCCTATCCAAATCCAAGTCAGCCAAATTTCCAATGGTCGAATTAGTTGTATCGATCCAATCGTTGGCGTCTTCGACAGCTTTATCGTATTGCTGGTGGTTAGCAACGATGACCTCGTACTGTTCCACGAAGTGCTGGGCTTTCTCCAATAGTTTTTCGTATTGGTCCGAAGCGTTTTTGAATTGGTTGTCGATGTGCAGGTTCTTCTCCGGCAAGCTGTCGGATTTGTCGCGCAAATCAGCAATATCCGGTTGGCGGGAAGATAAGTCGTGTAAATTACTCCTATACACTTGCAACTGGAGTTTCTTTTCTTCCAAAGTAGCTTTCAACTCAATTTCCTGCGGTAGCTGCTTCTCGGTTTCCTTGAGCCAGTTGGAAACTTTGGCTAAGGTCTCCTCGAATCCCAGCCACTTGACGTGATCGGATTTCAAGTTCCTGTCCGTTTTGGTGATTTCGTCGAAGAGCGAGTCCATGGCGTCGCGCAGATCTTGCAATTGCTTACCTATCACCTCCTTACCTTCCAAAGATGTGGACGAGTACAATTTTTCTCCCGTTTCAATAGTGCTGTTGAGGAGAGACGTAGCGTTGGGTCGTTGCGACATCAGCTCCTCGATTATCTTCGCTTGGTCTTCCAAGCTCTGTCGCGAAGCGCCTTGGATGTTCCTCTCGCATTCATCGAATCTGCGAAACAATTAGTAATGTCTGGTAACAAAATAAAGGAATTTGTACTCACTTGTTTCTGGTAACAGAGATCCAATCGGAGCATTGGCGGTATTTGTCGGCGAATTGTTTGTGCTCGGCCAAAGCCTGTTCGGATTTCTTCAGTATCTCCCTGGCAGTGACCTGCACCGACTGGAATCTGGATATTATCTGTTGCACGTTATTGGCGATCCTCGCGTCGCTGCTGCTTTGCACCAATTCGGCGGAACTGTCCGACAGTCGATCGAATTCCGGTTCGTTTTGTCTCAAAGTTAGAGCCAACGCCTGCGGAATTACAATGCACAATTAACTTTGTTTGCTCGAATCGTTAGAGGATAATATTTAGTAGAAAATATAGAAGACAAAGAACCATCCAGTAAAAGAGTACCATGTCCCATTAATTTGAAAGTGGAAATAGAACAATTTGTTTCGAAAGTAACATTCGTGAAGGTTGTCATTCTGTTTCATTAAATTAGTTTAGAATGTGTACGTGTAGAAGAAGTTACGAAAAGATGCGGTAAAGAATACAAGAAGTACATTTAACATTTAGTCGTTCTTACTTGCTCCAAATCATCTGTAAACGTAACAAACTCCTTCATGTCGATTTTCCTCGATTCGATCATTCTAGATAGTTCCTGGACGATTTAAAATAAATTGATACATTTGTTGTTAAAAGCTGAAAAAATCGGCTTACCTGGTATTTATCGAATTGTTCTTGTTTTTCGTCCAACGTGGATTTTAGAGTGTAATTCTTCAGAGTCATTTCAGCGTCAGCCAGCCAGCACAACAGTTTATCCAGGGTGGTTTCGTAGTCGCTCCATTGCTTAAGTCTACTTTCCAATGCAGATTTGGCATCGGCTAGAGTTGTAATAAACTTCTCCCTGTCGAATTTCAGATTGTCCACGTCCCTTTGCATATTTTCCTGCGCTCTGGCCGGCAAATTCTGCGCTTTTTGCTTTATGAAAGCTCGCAACTCGTCCAGTTTCATGGCGCTTTCCGGCAAGTTCTCTTGGAGGTCCGCGATGAAGTTCAGTTTCTTTTCCAGGGATTGCTTGTTACCGCCATAATCCAAGTTGCTGTTCAACTTCTCCCACAGTTGCTTCTGATCGTCTTGCTGCGCCTTGTGCATGTCGTAGAATTGTTGGAAAACTTCCAGACAATTCTCTAATTGTTTTATGTTGTCTTGAGCGGCTTTCTGCAAGTTTTGGTAGCGGTTGCTTATGGAAGACGCGGTGTCTTCTATTTCTGCTATTTTATCGCTGCCGCTGGTGTGTTGGGCTAACGCTGCAGCTTTTTCTATAACTCCTATGAACGATACAAGAGAAGTTATCGCAAGGAAATTCGCACATTGTAAATACTCACCGTCGATGAATCTCTTGTGGGCCAAAATTTCCTGGTTGGTGGTTTTGTGCTTGAGCAACTTTCCTCTGACTTCTTGGATGGACGTCCACGAGTTGGGCTCGATCTTGATCTGTTTCTCGATGGCATCCAGCCACGTCAGCGCTTGCTGGAGTAAGTCCTGGTAGTTGGCGAGTTGAAGTGACTGGGTTTCTTGCAGCTTCTGTTGCTGTTTCACCCCTTCGGCTAAATTTTCCCATCTGTCTCTGATCGCTTTAATCTCCGCTCTGATTATATCTCTGCCCTCTGTCGCTGTGTCTGGCAGCAATCGCTCGCTTAGTAGCGATAAAGAGTTGAGTTTGTGCTCGCCTTGCTCGGCTTCGGAGAGCAGGACTTGCAAGCGATTGTTAGCTTCGGCGCTGTCGCTTATTTGACCTTCTTGTAGAGCTTTTAAATGATCTTCTAATGGTGATAACCAAGCTGATGTTTCTTCTAGTTTGTGTTGGTATTTTTTGTGATCGTCGACGATATTTTGCCATCTGTTGACGATGTCTTTGGTCAAAACGTGCAAATTTTGGAATCTGTTGCTGATTTGCGAGGTGATTTGCTTGATTTTGTTGGAGCCGCTGGTTTTTAACAACGCGTGACTTTTATCGACGAAATCGTCTATTTCCTTTTCTTTGGTGGAGATTTCTTCGCGTTGTTTCTGCAGCTCTTTGAGCTTGTTCTCTTTGTCTTCCAAACCGACTTGAAGAGGTTGGTCTCTGAAATCGGCTTCGACGGTTTTGGACCATTGGTTCAGAGCTTCCAGAGCCGATTCGAATTCGTTCCATTGCTTCAAAGCGTCATTCTGATTGCTCAATGTCGAGTTGATTAGGTCCAAGTGGTTTTGCAGGAGTTCCTCCAAGGAAATAAGTTCCGTTTTCAAATTTTCAATTCCAGCCGGAGCCGTACTCTTAGCCACATTGAGGACATTTTCTTTCAGCTTATCCAGCAGTTGGGGCCCTTTGGATTCGCTGTCTCTTTTTATAGCGTGGATATTATCGATCCTCTTGTTGATGTCGCTTTTTTCTCCGGTGGTATCAACAAATTCCATCAGCCTTTCGTTCTGGTCCCCGATCCATTTTTTGAAATCGGCTATTAATTGGTTGTAGTTCGCGTGGTGATCGACGCACTCCTCCAAGTTCTTCAGCAACTCCTCCGATTTGTTGACGATATTGGCGAAGAGTTGTTTGATAGATTGCAGATAGATGTTGAGTGATTTGTCTTGCGTTTGATCCACCAGCTGCTGCGCCTTGTCGCAAACTTGGGCGACGAGTTGTTGGTGCGAGGTGATCTCCTGGTGCATGATTTTGTGGTTTTGCAATTGGGCGCGTTTCTCCTGCAGGGTGGATTTGAGTTCGGTGTGTTGGTGCATGGCTTTTTCGACGTCTTTGAGCCAGTTGGTCAGTTGCTCTTGGGTGGCGGTGAAGTCGGAAAACTGCGTTAGGCATTGCTCTAATTTGTTGTTGGCTCCTTGGAGGTCTTCGGTAAGGGTGTCCCAGATGGTTCTGATGTTCTTCAGTTGCTGTCTTATAATTTCCCTGCCGTCTGGCGAGGTATGTGCGTACAATTTTTCGCCTTTGTCTACCAAATTTTCGAATTCCGGAATTCTTCGGTTTCGTTCGTCTATCAAGTCTTTAACTTCCTTTTGCCTGTTTTGTAGGACGTTAACGTCTCCTACGATTTGCGAAAAGTTTTGCAGGTCTTCTTCTTTTGCCATCAACCATTGCAGGAATTCGTTGTACTGGATATTAAAATCGTGATGCTCTTTGACGTAGTTCTCATATTTTCCTTTGTTCTCCTTAACAGCGTTTCTAAGTGATTGATATCTGGTAGGTATTTGTGAAATTCTCGCGTCGACAGTTAGGGATTTACTGCTCAATTCGAGGAATCTGTTGAAGTCCGGCTCTTTTTGTTGGATCTCCTTCTGTAATGACTCGAGTTTGTCCAGATGGGCTTTCTTCGTGCTTTCGGTGTTCTTCAGGCTTTGGTCTTTTAGGAAGTTTTCCTTGGTTTTCAGCCAGTTTTCCAAATCGTCGACGATTTTGGATACTTCTAGATATTGGTTTTGGATTTCGCTTAGTTTTTCCAGTGCTTCTTGGCACAATTCCAAGAACGTTTGCCAAGATTTCTCCTGCTCTTCGAAATTGTTAATCAACGAAGGGTGTCCAGCAGGAGCGGTTTGCTTTAAGACGGTTTCTAATTGTTGTTTACACAAGCTAATCATTCTATCCCCTTCCTGTTTCTGCGCCAAGAGATTTTCAACGATCGCTAATTTCGATTCGGAGTTCTCTGTCGAAGTTTCATCGACGATTAAAGCAGCTTCGGTGGTCAAAGCGCTCAACCAATCTCTGCACTTTTCCACCGCTTGATTGTAGGATTCGTGATTCGCGACGAATTTCTCAGCAATTTCGATCCTCTTATCAACTTCACTTGCCAGTTTATTGTACTTTTGCAAGTTGTCTTCTAATTTATTCTCTGCATCAGCGTCGGAGAGCGTTCCGATTTTCTCTTGCAATTGCTCCAAGATCGTCTTGTGCAAGTTAATATCCTGCGCTAGAATCTTGTAGCTGTGTAAAGTTTGCTTCTTATCCAGAAGCGTCGCGTCCAGTTTGATTTCATCGCCTAATTTCAATTCGGCGTCGTCGATCCAGAGTTTGACTTGCTGCAGGCTGTCGTCGAACGAATGCCTTTGCATCAGACTGGCTTCGACTTGTTTGTAGATAGTGTTGACTTTGTCGATGAGAACTTCGGATTTGTCTCTTAGATTTCTCAATTCCGCCCGAATCATGTCTCTGTTTTCCGGAGTGACGCCAGGGAAGATGGCCTCGCCGCGTTCTACGGCTTTGGCGAGCAATGTTTGTCCAATTTCCTTCTCTTTGACGAAGTTCTTTAATTCCTCCAGGATGGTTTGGTTGGGTTTCTTGGCGCTCTTGAAGAAAGCGTTTACTTTGCCTTCGGCTTTGACCAGCCAATCTTCCACGTCTTTTATGGATGTTTCGTAATCCGATTTGTATTTGTCGAGTTCCTTCAATTTGTCCACGTAATGAGCTAGGAATTTGTTCAGACCTTGGTATCTGCTGTTAAGATGTTGAACGAACGGTTTGATCCTGCTGTCGGGCATTTCTTTGGTTAGTTCCTCGCTAATTGGGGTTAATTTGTCTATTTCTTGTTGGTAATCTTTCACTTCTTGGTACAAAGCGGAGATTTCTTCGAGTTTCTTATCGATATTGTTAACGTCCATTTGTAGACTGCTTTCTGCTTTGACTTTGTTTTCAGCTTCTTTCAGCCAGTTAGCTATACTTTCGGATAATTGTTCGTATTTTACGTGAAGGGCTATGCTGTTTTGAAGGGTGGTTTTTGCATCGGCGAACTGTTTATTGAGAGTATCTAAATCGTATAATAAATGATCCAGTTCGGCTTTTTGTAGTTTAATGGAATCCGGTTTTTCGATTTGTTCCAAAATCGCAATGGAATTCAGTAATTCCTGTTTTCTCTTTTCGCAGTCCTCCAATACTGCTTGAATAGGTTCCAAAGCCTTCAGTTTGACTTCCAAATTGTATTTATCGCTTGTGGATTCGGGTAAACACCATTGGATTTTCTCTTTGTGCACGTTGATGATCCTTTGCAAGGCCCCGTACTTTTCGTTGTGGAATTTATTGAGGAACGTTTGAAGGGAATTCTCGATTTTATCGACGTGACTGATGGTAGTGTCGAATCGTTTTTTGAGCAGTTGCTGTTCTTTGGAAAGGGCGTTCTCGAAGTTCGGGTAATTGATTTTCATCGTTTGTATGTCGTTTTCGATTTGTTTTATGTTCTGGTCGTGATTTTGCAATTGTTGCTTCAAGTTTTTGACTTTAAGTAGCCGTTCCAATATCTTAGCGTTGTCTCCGGATAAGTCTTCGCACTTGACTATTTCTTCTCTAAGCGACGATATAGAGTTGCCGGTGTCTTTGATGTTTTTCCTGATGATTTTCTCGTTTTCCTCGAACGTGGATGTCAAAGATTCGAGTTGCTTAGCGTTCTGATCCAACGTCGCGAAGCCTTCGTTTAATAGCGTTACTAGACTTTGCAGATTGGGAATCTCTTCACTGTCGCAAGATTGGCGCAATTGCTCTATCTTCTGCGGTATGCTCTGACATAATCTTTGCTGTGCAGGTAATTCCTCGCGATATTTGCTCAATCGCGCTTGGGCTATCTCTTTTTCGTTCGGCTTCTCGGCCGCTTTGATGATTTCGTTGTTCTGTTCGCTCAGCCATTGAAGCAGGTTGGTCTTGGTGTCTTCGATGTGCTTCCAAATCGCCGCTTGGGACTCGGTCTTCTGCACCACTTTTAATATCCGCTCGTAGATTTTGGACCAAGCGTCGTTTAGTATTTTCAGATCTCTTTTAACCTCGGATTCGATGCCTGGGATGTTTTCGGATTTTTTAATGACCGTTTGCGCTCTAGCGTCAGTCTTGTCTAAAGCGATTCGAGTCTTCTTTATAGCTTCTAGAGCCTTTTTGGCCTTTTCGCAGTTCACTCCGGCGTGAATCACATCGTTCGGGGCATCTAAATTCTCCACACTCTTATCGATTTTACCAATATCGGTAACGATTTTATCTTTGGCCTCTTGAAACTCGTTCCAAGCGTAGATGATGTCGGACAGATTCAAATGCTCGTCTCTGATCGCGTCGTACGTTTTGTTGAAGCTCTGCTCTATTTCGGAGAGGGAATTTTGTATGACAGAAACGTTTTGGAGGTCTTTCTTCATCAACTGCACGGCTTCGTTGCGGAGCTTCTCTTTAACCGGGGATTGGGCTAACTGGGATTGCAGTAAGTCGTTCAATTGCTCGACGGCTTTGGGTAGATCGCTGGAGTGCTTGACTTGCGCGAGGATTTCCGCTAATTTCGCTTTAGTGGCGTCCGATTCGGCCATTGCTTCCTGTTGCAGTTGGGCGAATTGGGCGCGTTGCTGCATTAACGTTTGAAGATTGGACACTTTGTTGGCTAATTGCTCTTTGAGATTGATGGTGTTGATTTCGATTTCTCTTACGACGTTTTCAGGCGTTCGAGGTAAACCGGTTTGCTTGTCCAGAACGATTATGTCCTTGGTGTTTATGTTTTGGGACGTTTCTTTCCAATTGACTACTTTTTCTAGTATGTTGTCGGTTTCGTTAATCAGTTTCTTAAGTTCCTCGGGGTTGAGTTTTTCGGCGTCGCTTTGGTATTTAATATGCGATAATTGATTCATGGATTCCGCGTGCCAGTTGAGCAATTCGCTCCATTTCTGCAGTTGCGTTTTCTTCTCCTGCAATTTGTGCTCGATTTCTTGGTTCCTTTGCACCAAAGCGGAGTATTCCTCTGTTAGAGGTTCCATAGCTTTTTGCGGTGATTGCAAAGCGATTTCTTTAATTTCGTTGTAAATGGTGTTAAATAAGGGTTGTTTTTCAGAATGTTCTTGAAATAGCGTGTGGATGTTGATTAGAGTCGAATCGATTTTATCCGCAGGTATTTCGTCCAGTTGGGTAATGTTGGCTTGCATCGATTCTATCCAGTTGTTGTAATCGGCTACTTTGGTTTCGAAATCGTGTTTAACCAGTATAGCGTCGGATATTTCGTTTATTTTAGCTCTAGCTGCTTCGGCTAATTTAGAAACTTTAGATTTGAGTTCATGAACTTGGTTCTTCACCAACGCAGCACCTTCCGGGCTAATGTTGTAACATATCCCATCGGATGTTTGAGTTAGAGTTATCAATTTAGCTTGTTGTTCGGATATTTCGTTGTTGAAGGCTTTCAGTTTGGTTAATTCTTTTTCCAATTCGTCGACGTTGGGGGTTTTAAGGTTGACCGGTGAAGCGGAGGAAGCTTCCTCGCTTTTGTCGATCCAATGTTCCAGGTGCTGAACGGTCCTATCGAAGTCCACCCAATTCGCTACGAGTTTATCCAGTTTCTGGCCCCATTGGGCGGCCGTGTCCTGCAACACCGACACTCTCGTTTGCACGGCGTCGACTTCGTCGGGCGCGTGCGTCTGTATCGATATCTTTTGAGTGAGACTGGCGACGCCTCGCAACGCGTCCTGGCGCCGCTCGATTTCCTTTTGGAACTGCTTGGTTTGTGCTTGGATCTCCAATGCCTCTTCGATTGTAGAGGGTTTTTGTATGCCCAATTGCAGCTGGCACTCCGACTGCTCGATCCACGGGGTGATCTCCTCGATGCTGGCTTGGTAGGCCTCCCAGTTTTTGTAATCGTCGGTGACAACAGCCGATTGGCTTTGGAGGTTTTGGTTTAATACGTCCACTTTTTGTTGGATTTCGGCTATTTGCGATTTGAGCTTCCTCGCGTCGGGACTGTCGGTTGTGGTTAAATCGCTCGCTTGTTGCTTTAGGTGGTGCAAAATGTCCATCTTAGCGGCCACTTCTGTTTTAAGTTTTTCGGTTTTTTCTATTCTATCCTTAGGGGTTATCGAATAGATGTCTATGGATGTTAGAAGCTGGGGAGCTTCGTGTGTGGTCCAACTGTGGAGTTGGCCTAGTGTGTGGCTAAGAGTGTTCCATTTAGTGTTGTACTCTTCTAGTAAAGTGACGTTTTCCTGAGCGCTTGTTAGGGTGTCGGTAATGCGCTGTTGGATTTCCCTCGTTTCGGCGTCCAGTTTTGCTTGCTGCTCCGGAACTTGTTTGCTCAAATTCTCGCTGTAGTAGGTGAGCTTGTTCAGCATATCTTGCTGGGCGTCTCGTAGGTTTGAAATAATCTCCTGTTTCTTGATCAACTCGGTGGGTAGAACTGTCGGGGAGTACTCGGGGCGAGAGGTTTTTTGCAACACCTCTTCGGCCTGTTGCAAAATATGATGGATTTCTTGCTTTTGCTCCGAGTAATTGGTCCAGACGTGCTGGGTATCGATGAGTTTGTGCAAAGTGTCTACAGTTTCGTCGTACGTTGTCGTCCAACCGGTTTCTAACGATTTCACCTCGTCCGGCATGAATTTCGGCGCGTTCTCGTCCTTGCTCAGCTCTTTTCCCTTTTGCAACAGCGACATAACCGTCGGTCTTTGCTGGTCTAGATGAGATATCGCCAGTTCCTGCTTGCGAATATTCTGCGACACCACCTCCAGCGACTCGGGCTTCCTTTGCAACTTGGACTGTTCCCGCACTTGTTTCAACAATTGGCACACCTCTCGTACTTCTCTGCGGTACGTGTAGCATTTCGATAGCGTGTCCGTTTTGACCATGGTTATTTCTAAAGAAGGTATCAGGGTTTTGTAACGGATGATCAGAGTTTCCAGGAGCTTTTGCTCTTGGATCGCTTGCGTTTCGGGACAGCGAGACGTCAGAGAATCCAGCGTTTGTACCAGCCACTTCATGTCCTCGCGTTTCGAATCGGCTTCCTTGCACACGTTCTGCGAAAATTTATAATAACATCCTCAATTCCAAAGCACTACTAATACTAAATTTTTAAAATCTGGTAAAACTCGAGATGTACCTAAGGAATATACGAACTAGTTACTCACCTGGAAAATGTTCTTTTCGCGTTCGAATTCCTCCACGGTACTGACGTCGTTGAGGATGTTCTTCAAGGTGTGGTCGACGCCGTCCATCCACTTGGATATTTCCGCGAACTTGTCGTGGTACGCCTGCCATCTCTCCGGGACTTGCTCCAATTGCAGCTTCAGATGCTCGATTTTGACGCTGACGTTGTGCCATTGCTGCTCGGCCTTTTCCACGGCCTCTTTGAGGGTCTGGTCCTTGGGGTAGTTGGCCGTGTAGACCTCGGAGATTTTCATCAGGTTCTCCAGGCTGCGCTGCGTCTCCGCCAGGGGGCCTTTGGGCGAGAGGAATTCCTTGTTGCGCTTCATGATGGTTTCCACGTTCTCCTCGCGACTGAAGAGGATCTTCTGCGTGGAGATTTCCTTTTCGATTTCTTTGATGTAGTAGTTGAAGGTTGTTTCGTCCAAGCGGAATTCTAGTTTCATCAGATGGAGTGGCGCGAAGGATAGGACTTCTTTCCATTTGTTCTGCAGGTAATCAACCGATGATATTATCGGGCCGTGTTGTTCTTTGGGTAGACAGTTGCAGAGGTCTTGTGCGCTTTGGACTAAGTCGTAAATCCATCGTTCGTTTACGGATTGGAAGAAGTTTTTATGCTGTTCTACCGTTTCTTTATTGTCGATTCTTTTTTCTAACGTGAGCTTCTCGGCTTGGTTTAGCCACGTGGAGATTACTCTTTCGCATTCTGCGAAGTTGTACCAACATCTAATGGTTTCTGAGAGTTTCTGTTCCCAAATTTGGGCGTTTTGGGTCACGTACTCGAATCTATCGTTGATTTGGTCCATTTGCACCGTCATTTTGTCGACGTCCGGATTATTTGCTTGGTCTACGGATTTGATAATGTTGTTCAGAACTTTGTTCTTGCTGTCGAGCATTGATTTGTAGTACAAGGTTCTGGTGAAGAAGTTTTTAACTTTATCAACTTGTTCTTTGAGTTGTTCCTTGTCGGCGTCTAAGCTTAAGCTGCTCAATAGGCCTTCGGCTTCGTCTAGCCATTTGCTTATTTCTTTTTGACCCGCTTCTAACGATTCTTGTTGTATGAGAAGCTGGTTGAATAAATGGATTTGCGAGGGAATCAAAGCTCTGACTTTGACTAAAGTTTCTTTTTCTTGTTTCAATGTATTCATCATCTTTTCGACCTCTTCCCTGGACATGTCTTGTATCAAACTCTGGAAGGTTTTGCTGATGTTTTTAAACAGGTCTTCGATGTCTTCCACTTCTGATCGTAAGTTTTGCAGTTTATCAACGTGCTGCCTAATTTTCTCCGTAGATCCTAAACTAGGCGCGTTTAGCACGTCTTCGGCTTTTCTTAACCAGTTAGATAGAGCCTCTAACCCGGCTCTGAATTCCTTTCTGTTACGCAGAATATCCCCTGCGTGGCTGTATTTGTTCACTTGCGGGTAAATTCTGTCCCATCGGGCACTCATCGTCTGGAATCGGTTCTTCAATTCCGCGGATATTTGGTCTTGGCACGTTGCTACGAGGAAGTTCACGGTATCGCCCAGAAGTTGGTAGTTATCTCGCCATAAACTGATGTTCTGGAAGAACTCCATTTGTTCCTCTTCTGGTAGATTCAGGGCCTTTTCGGCGGCGTTCAACCATCTATCGAATTCTTCGGAGAGTGTGTCCCATCGGCGCCAGTAGGCTATGACTTCCTCTAGCATGCTTTGGACGCAACGGAGCTCCATGGAGACGTGTTTCCATCTATCGGCGATGTCTCTCATGAATGCGTCTATTTCGGATACCTCCTTTTTATCTGTAAATAATAATAGAAAGGTTAGAAGGCAAGATTGTTTATGGAAGGGTTTTGAAGTACCTATTTTTCCGTCTCTTTTGTATTCTTCGATAACAGCTTGCATGTCGATGAAAGCTTTGTTAAATTCTTGGAAGATGTGGTTCTTCGAGACGAAGTTTCTATATTGCTCGAGCAATGGAGTAACCTCGTCTACGCGACCGTATTTGGAAGTCCACGCTTTCAGTTTGGTTTCGGTTAGTTGCAAAAATGCAATAAGGCAACACTGTAAAGGGGATAAAGTAAATTATTAACCTTCAGAAAGTTGTTATAGCTTACTTTGTGTTCAAGGAATTTAAGTCTAACTCTACGTTGGGCAGCCTTGGGTCCGATCTCGTTCAGTCTGACAGTCATGTTATCCAACTGTTCGGAAGGCACTTCTCTGGCTAAAGGACTCTGGCATGCCGCAAGGAAAGTCTTCTGAATTGTGGGCAAGTCGGCGAAGAAGGATTTGTGTTCCTCTAATTTCCTGCTAATTATTATGGCCGTTTCTTCGTTCATAATCGTCGGGATCGTATCGCAGTAGATGAGTTTCTCCGCTTTGGCCAACCATTCTCCAATGAATTTAAAGTCGCCTTAAGAAAATAAATTAGAAATAATAGTATACAAACTTCGAGTTATCTTACCAGGAAGTCTGGAATCCAACAGCCACAACCACCTGAGCAATTGCATCTGCAATTTCTCCCATAACTTCACGACTTCCTGCCAACTTTCCTTGGCAATAGACACTATACTTTGACTCTCGATCAACGACTTCAATTTCCTGTATAGCTGCTCTTTTTGGTCCACTTCTGCTTTGAATTTGGAGTACTCTTTGTAGTCCAAAGGCAGCGAATCGGTTTGTTCTAGATGCTCCAAAGTTTGCGTTTTGTTCGTCAGCCAAGTCAGAAGATCGTCGTAATGTTCTTGAACAGTGGCTATTGCGTCTGGTCCGGTACTCTTAGGTTCGGGATATTTGTGCAAAAATTGCGCAACGTATGTCATAATAGATTTTTCGTCGGGTTTAGGTACGTCTACGTCTTCCGGATCTAGTAACCTCGAGATACCCAATTCTGATTCTGCTACATCGAAAGCAGTTTCTAGTCTCGCTCTGTTGGTAGCCTTCTTCATCTCGGCGATGTTGACTAGGTTCTTCTTAATCGCGTCGATTATAGCCAGGAAAGCGACGCCATCTCTCCACGAGGCTCCGAAATCCCTGACCTCCACGCCGGATTCCGGAGGCAGAGCGTTGGACACCCAGTTCAGGAGTGTCTTCCTCGCTCCCTGCTTCCATTTGTCCTTGGAGGAAGTAGTACCGGCGCTCTCTAGGCTGCTGGTACTGCCCCATTGCGTTAGGTACTCTAATTGTCTTCTGTTTTCTTCAATCTGTAGGTATAGTGGAGAAAAAGTGAGTAATTGCATCAGGTGTGTTAATTGAAAGTGTAACACTAGTGATACTTACCAGTTTCCAATATTCCATATCCTTATTACGTAGCTTACAAAAGGTATACAAGTTTATAAGCATAGCCTAATGGTATAGCATATAGCCTATTTTCTATTGTTAAAATAGCGATAAATATTGAAAGTGATAAGTACCTGGAAATACAAAATGATGGTCCAAATCAAGCCCAAAACGACCGAAGGTCGTCCGTCTACCAAATCGCTAGCATTGATATTGACTAATTTTATCCTCTTAGACGCCAAAAATTGTAGTGCTGTGTTCGCGTTGCTCAGGAAATGCGGTCTTCTCAGAATCCTGCCTCTCTCCACAGGCTAAACGTGACATAAAATAACGCAAAAATAACCTATTGGACCCATCAAAATTAAATTAAATGCGCACGTACCAGTCGTTCTCCCGATAGAACCTCCAGAAGTGCAAGAAGCCTCGTGCCGTCTTTAAGATCTTCAATCAAATCATCTATCCTAAGCGGTGGAACTCGCTAGAAATACGAAATTATTTTTGTAGAGCGCGACCTAGCGCAAATCCGACACTAACCTTTCCCGTTTGATTAAATCGCACATATTCACGGGATTTATAATTTGAATTACTCAAAAACAGGTCGTTAGAGAAGGAGTTAACGTATTAATTCGCGACCGCAAACTGAGTCTTTAACCCTTCCGAACTTGACTGGTGGCATTTGAGCCGGGCAGACATACCTTCGTGATAGAGGCAAATGAACGCGAAACGAAAAAGACGGAAAGAAATCCTTTACAGTACCGGTTCGTGGGAATGAGCTCGTGCAAGGCACGGCGACAAGAAGGCCTAATGTGCGTTTATCGAATATGCCGAAAATATGATAGGAAACAAAGCTATTTTTTATGCCACTCGCACGAAGATAAATCGGATTCTCTAGCGAACGATATATTCGGCAATCACGAGGGTCGTTACAGAAGTTTCTATTCGCTAAAGACACAAATTAATGACACATTTAACTACTTAAATAATGGGGGATTTGTAATGAGATAATCAATTTAGTACGGGAGTAAATGATGAAATTCACGAATACAAAGCTTTGTAGATGGTTTACAAGTGCAAATAAGCATCTAACCGGCTCTGTGCATTGGCGAGAAGAGCCTAGAAATCGAGGATATCTCGTACCAAGCCCCGCGTCTAATGCTAATCAAACGGTAATTCATTTACTAATTGTCGATTGGAAGTACCAACAACTTTGCGATTGTATAACGAACTTCGAAAGCTTACTGGGCAATTAAAAATGCGTATTTATCTATGCCCTATTTTATAATTAAACTAGAGCGGTGTTGTCATCTTTAGACTTACCTTAGATAAATAAGAATTGATCCAATTAACGAACGTTTTCTTCTGCACTCTTTCCTGTTCGTCTGTAATAAAATACAAGCATTTAAAAACGAGCCAATGAAGCAAATATGAAATTAAATCGTACACACACAACTAGTATTTCTTTTATAACTTAAACACACCTTTCAACACGCAATTGACTGCAGAAGAAATTACAAATTCATCATTTATTAGGAACCAAAAAACTAGTTTTGGTTATACCATCATCAAGGCTTAAGTGTTCTCGTAAGATTTACTCATCAGAAATAATTAATAAATAAAAATCAGTTGTAATATGCTTGTATAATATACTAAAAACTAGGTAGAGAAATATAATCTTTCCACACAATAGGAACACCCCATTCGATGTTCACGCTGATCAATTCCTGCGGGGTGGGCAGCAGATTTTGCTGCATGATATCCTTGTATCTATTAGCGAGGAAGAGCAGGGAAAGTTTATTCAATCCTGCCAAGCAGGGTTTGGGCGCGCTTTTGCTGATGTGTATCAAAGGAGCTGCCATGATGTCTTGAAGGGGTATTTTTAAAGCCATCTGATAGATTCCGGTGGGCAGGAAGTTTTCGTACAATCTCTGCTCGAACGTTTGGTCCGTATTGAAGAAGATTTTCTGGTTTTTGTATTGGGATAATTCGATTCTCTCGTCCTGGCAGATCGAGCTTCCTTCGATAGGCGATGGGCACATGGTCTCCAACAATTGCACCAAGTTTAACATGAATCCGGTGTACAAACCTTCGACGAAAATAACGAAGCTGGTGCCGTTGTCGAGGACGAATCCGGTGAGGATGTCCTTCTCCTCCGGTTGATCGGCTTTGTTTTGATCCTCGAAGACGTTGAAATTGTGCGATTGAATGCTGTTGTAAATCCTCAAAGCCAGCACTTCGGAGGTGAACATCGCGAATACCCTCAGAAAACTGCGGGGGGCTTGGATGTAGACCAACGAGGGAGCTTGGGGTGCCATTAAAGAAGCATCCAAAGTTAAAGTAGTACCGAGTTCTAGAAAGGTGCATTCCGGTATGATAACCTCCTGTTTCGGATAGTCCAAGTGAATCATATTAATCACGTCTTTTATTTTCCCTTTTTCGTAGTTAGGTTTAGAGGTCAGGGTCATGTGAGGTTGATGGCATTGGCCTTTTTCGCGGAATTTCCAAATGTTCGCCACCAAAGAGCTCAAATTGAACAAAGCGACTGCCAAAAGTATCGGATCGTTATCAAAGCGTTGGATATCCACTTTACTAGTAGTTCGTTTTTTATCGAATATATTCGCGCAGTTCGGAACGTTTTCCACAGTTTTGATGACGTAAATTTCGGCGAAAAAGCTTTGGGAATCCAGCGCCTCTATGAGCTTCATTCTGGGTACGTCGTCGGTGAAGAACATGTGGGAATTGTTGAAGCGAACGGTTTTTTCGACGGGTTTAGTCGCCGTTTTGCAATGCAATATTTGGGGGATCTCGTACGAAACGAACATTTTGCGGAAGCCTTGGGTGGTTAGTTCCTCGGCTGGGATATTTTCCACTTTAACGATATCGATTACAAGCGGGTTCAATTTTATTTTATCGGCTGGCAGCATGAGTTTCTTTACAGACGGGAACACGAAGAAGTTCTGTAAGGAGTCGAAGGTTCTGCAGTTTACGTGGTAGACGGAGTGCGAAGGGTTCGTGAAGAAGACTTCAGCTGGTACTGCTGCGGTGAAATAGTTAACTCTTCCTTCTGATCGCAGCGTTAATCTGTCTGCGTCTGCAAGGGAATAATGAGTTATTCCATCGCTTTGTGTATGAGAGCAAGCGGGGATAAATTCGTTCGCCATTACAGTTTCACCAGTGGAAACAATTTCTATCATCTCGTATAGAGGTTCGAAATCTCCTTCGGTGAGCAACCAAGTGGCAACTTCGGCCTTTTGTATCGCCTGTTTCATCCCGCTTCTTATAGAAGACTTCCGCTGCTTCATCACCACGCTTTTGGTATCTAATTTATCAAGAAACGAGCCGAACACTGTCTTCTCCAGAAACTCCCCGTCCTTTATCACACTATCTTGGTGTATTATAACAGTCTCGGATTTCAAAATCACACTCGCCCTGTTCGGATTCGAAGACACAGTGAAATTCACGACCCTGTGCTTGAACAACCTCAACTCGGAGGTGGTGAAATTGTCCATCGTGTGCTCGACGTGCACCGGCACCCAAATCATGTTGTTCCTCATGATCGTGTACATGTTGATGCTCGAATCTTTGGTTATGATTTTCACCACGGGCCCCCAACAGAACACGTCCAATTCGTACTTGAATCTGTTCGGTATCACCTCGTAGGTGATGCAAGCGCAATGGGCCACATTTGCGATGGAGAGCTCGATGTGATTGGCTATATCGTCGTGGATGGATTGCGCGAAGGCCGTCTTCGTTCTCAATCGCTTCTCGGAGTGCGGGTACTTGGTTGTGCGCTTTTCCGTTAGAATTTTCCTCACTTTGTCCGTGACGGGAAAGGACAGCAGAAAGTAGAAGGTGAACGTTATCATTTCGAAGGCGAGGTTTTTAATTTGTGGTTATTTGTCAAAAGTTGTTGTATAATGCAGTTGTCTGTTGTACAATCTTAGCGCTATCTAGCGGAAGATAAACGTAGGAGAAATGAATTAATAGAGATGTGTAACTCACCAAAGGTAGAAAAATTTATAAAAGATAGAGAGAGGACATGTATTGAGAGTGATAATTTTATTAATCTTTTTCCCAGTTTGAGCATTTGATGCAATTTTCAACTACCAAGTTACATTTAGTAAGGTAAAACTCAATTATGAATAAGCCTGAAAGAGTGTAGTAAGAAATAAGGGTTGGGTAGATTGCGATTAAAATGATATTTCTTTATAGCAAAATACCTTAAATGCGTGACTGCGATTGGAATGTTTGAAGTTCGGAAAAATTCGTGTTTAGTTAGAGACAACCATTAATAATAGAAGCTTTATATTTGATAATCCGTCACGCAATTTCTCCCTTCGAATATCCAATCGATGTTGTGACACAGGGGAATTTTAGAGAAATAAGGGAAAAACTAGGGCGTTCTTTCGTTATCTAATAATCCAATAACTTAATATGATATTGACATTAATTTTATTATCTACGTACATAGTTTGTACATACGATAAATTAATACTTAGTTCGTTAATTTCGATTTTGTGTCGTGGAGATTCGCGTTTAATTAAGATTTTAATCTCGAGCACTTTATTCAATTAAAATAAGCGCGTTTGTTGGGACATTTTCTCAAGTTCCTGGCGCATTTCTGCATATATGAACCTACATTGCGGGAAATACCAGTGACACAACCAGAATGTTATGTGAAGAGCAGATTTATTTGTATGTGGAGGAATTTTAAAGATGTACCTACATTGGAAAAAATATAGTTTTGTTCTGAAGACGGATTAACGATTATTAGGTAGATAAATCATAAATTGAAATTCGAAGAATAATTTATGATAAGGCGTTGCAAATTTATTTTTAAATAAGACGAGCTCTTTCCAGTATTCTTAAATCGTAAAATTTAAGTGTACCATTAACGAAGCAGTTAAATGAATTCAACAATAAAACGTACATATACGACAAACGTGAACAAACAGCAAACGAAAGTCACATTAAAACGAGAATATTAATAAAAGTGATGTCATACATTAAGTACATACAGGTACGAATATTTTGCATTAAACATTAAATTTACTCTTCGTTGATTATTTTATGTCATGTGTACGTTTATTATTAAATAATACAATACATTTTAATCCCGAATGAGACGGCAAATTAATCTTTTCCTGACGATCATCCCAACTAATCAAGTGTAACCAGTGATTATTTAAATTTGAAGTTGGCGTTGAACTCTGATCGAACGTGATTTGTTCCATATAAATATGTATAACGTTTGTTTACGTTCCCTATTCGTTATAAACACTTTTGACAAAATGCTCCATTTTGTTTATTTGGATGAAATTTTAATCTAATTATGAAATTTTAAGGCTAAAGCTAACGGACGTACTCAATTCTATGCCCTAAACAAGTTTATATTAAGCTGCACTTGACCTACAGAGCCTTTAAGATAATTATTCAATAAAATTATTGAAAAAATAAGTAATCAGAGTTTTTAATTACAATTAGCACTAATCACGAAAGCGTTGCTTAATTGTCGCTTTCCTCAGAAGTTTTCGAAAACTTATCTTAAAATAGAAAACAAACGTTATGTAAATAAATGTCGATGAAATTATCTAATTCTATTTATAGCGATTGCTCGATCGCCTGCAGTACTCGAATTGCAAATTCAAACTGGTTTTCTTTAGGGAAAAAAAGGTATTTCTAACGAGTGTTTGGGTTTAATTCAATTACGATTTGCACCCAATCAAATGCACTCCGCCTTGAAGCATATTGCACCAAATTTTCACTCGCTGACTGATAGATAATAACGTGTGTAGCTACTGGAAGAAGATCTGGTTCAGAAGTTAAAAATCTAACCTTTAATCCTGTGAATATGCTCATCGTACTGCGAATTGCTCCTGATCAAAGCGAACCTGCTGGCCTCAGCCTGTTGAAACGTTTGCGTTCTATAATCACTATACCACTCGGAACTACTACTGGTCACTTTAGAACTGTTGCTGCCCCCATCGTCCCACTCGTCGAGGCCCCCCGGGCCCTTGGTAGGCTCCTCAGGCTCTCCTCGGACGGGAACCGCCCCGTCAGGGAGCTGGCGCTCGATCCCTTCGAGGCCAAATTGCCGTTGGATTGCGTCAAGTAGGCGGAATCTAAGTACTCCTCCGAAGGCGTCCTGCTGGCGGAGACGCGTCGCGACGTCGACGTCGTGACGTGCCTGATGGTTTTCTTCACCGTTACTTTTTCGAATTTGACGGATTTCGAACCGGCCAGATCGCCCTCTTGGGACGTTGAAGTGTAAGTTTCCTGTGGGTAAGTCGCCCGATTGGAAGTTTCATCCGATATTCGAGAGTTTCTAAATGCTCTTTTTTGTTATATTAGGAATTTAATTAAGGAATCTAGTGAGATGATTAATAATCAATTAGTTGGATAATTAATCACGTTCGACTTGAGGTCGTTTGGGAATGTATTTTATTAAGCGTGCGTGTAGTGGTCTCTTCTACGAATAGAATCGAGAATAGAATAGAAACCGGCTACTTTAGTGCTTTAGGTAGGCGTTTTAAAAATAATAATTGGAAGAATCAATAATTGCGTTGAAAAATGTCGTCGGTTTGTTTAGCAATTAGAGTTAATTACACTCGATGTTTGGTTGGTTATTTAAGAAATATTTTATAGTGTGCCTGTAATATAATAGGCTACAAAAATGCACAGTTCTTTTAAACATCAGGAATGAAAGGAGTGGAAGAAATAGTAAAGAGAAATATGGAAATGACGGGGTAAATATTAATCAGGGCGGAGTGAAATCAAACCCACGGGTGACTTCATCTTGTGTATAACGCGATATTATTGAATGAATGGAAAAATAAACTTTCAAGGCTTTCTCTATTTATAGAAAATCCAATATAACGGCGGTTTCTCAAGAAATAATGTTTTAATATTTGCATCGATTTCGACCACTAAAGACACTTCAAAGTATAATAAACAAATAAGCAAACAAGCAATAATTTCTAATAATAACACTGAATAAATAAAAAAATCCAAGTGCAGGTAAATGCCATGTGTAGGTATGTTCATGATCAATCGCAAGTAAATAAATTTCCTAACAAATTAGATTATCTGCAAATGATAAAATTATTGACACCCAAAACTTTAATCTATAAACATCGGTATAAACAAACTACTTTAAAACGAATAAAATAGGGATTTTGCCTGTCTACAAAAAAAACTATTTCGCAATTAATTACAATTTCAAGGCTCCCGTTACGTGAATGAGAATGTTTTATTTTCATTTGTGTGCATATATTACATATTAGCGGCCCATTAAAAAGCGAATTGAATAATACCTATTTTTAGAACCGAACTTTTCTATTTTTAGAGTAATTTACCGCACAACCCCTAATTAATTTTTAATCAAGCAAATAATAACACTGCAGTACTGTAATTAGGTTCATTAGTGAATAAGAAGGCGAAAATAGAGTTAAAAGCCTAAAGAAAGTAAAGAAGTTATTGAAAATAATACTTTTTTGGATCCAAAAAGATCAATTTATTCTTAAGTTTAATTATGTATGTTACCTACCTACTAAATTCGATCAAATCAACATCGACTGATAATGAATTCACGAATAGATCACCTCTAAATATATTAACCGTATGTTACTATTCGCACTTACGCAATTGCTCGTTTTGATAACCTTTTAATTAGCGTGCGGAGATTTGGCTACTTCGAAGAATTGCTTTTTGAAAGAGCATCTTCTGCAAGACGAACTAGGTCAATGTTTGCATATTGCAGTTTTTTTCTTTGTCGATGCTGAAGATGTACTGAAAACTACGTAGGTGTTAGACTGCACAGACAGGTTTTCTGCGAACCCTGTTTTCCATCGAGAACCACACACGGACAGTTTATTAGAGAATACGAAGAATAATTTCAGTATGATAGATGAAGGTGTTTATAGTTTTATATCTATTTTACTTTTGGTATGGTTTTAGGGTAATTTGTAGTCAATTAAAGAGCATTTAGAGATTCTCTCTTTCAGAGATTTCAGTTAAATTTAACATGACCAATATAAAGTGTAAAGAGTATTGTTAATACACTTTCTATTCCATTCATTAGAGGAAGCTTATTGTATGCTTTGATATCCATTAATCAAAACCTGTTGATTTACATGAACAAAATCTGAATAAGTGCATCAAAGTTCAACTAGCACATAATTGAACTATCCACTTTTACTTTAATCAATTCGAATTGTAACTAAGCAGCAATCGACTACTTTATTATTGGTCAATATATCGAAATGCCTGCCTTAACGCTCCCGTCCGGTCCGATCTCCCTCATCTGCACCACATGCCTGGGCGATCCGGTCTTCTTCAGCGTCACGTGCTCCAGCTGCGTCTCTTCGACGTGCCGCCGCCGCTCCTCCCGCAGGCTCCTCTCCATCGCCTCCACGTCGCCGTCGGTGAACCGCGACCCGGGGGACGCGGCCTCCTCCCCGTGCAGGTCATCGTCGGAGGAGCCGCTCCACACTTTCTCGAAGAAATCCACCCGGTGGCGGAGCCGCCCGACGGCCGGGCGGTCGGGCTGCCGTCCCGGCGCCCCGGCGTCGTCCCTCTTCGACGCACTCATGCTGTCATGGCGTTTTTGCGCGACGGTGTCCGTATGCCGGCGTCTGCATCTCGTCTACTGCGACTTTATTCGGATTTATCGCGTGCTCGCGCCTCGCTGTGTCGCTCGATACTGATTACGCGCAAAGTGGTTGGATAAGAGACAAGTAGGCCATGTTAGGTAGTGCGATCGGTGTTGCCGCGTATGCACTGCATTCCACGATCCTGGTGAATCCCAAACGCTGGAGGTGTCCTCCAGGTAAGGCATTAAGAGGGATTGGAGAGCGCTAGTAGTATCGAAATGAGCGAGGAATATCACTTCTTGGTGGTTGGTGAATGGTGGTGACGATGCGTTGTATCTTTTAGTCCTTCTCCAAGGGAGTTGTTTCTGGTTGGTGGCGGGTGGGAGGAGCGGCAACGCCGGTCGGGTTTCGCGCAATCGTTTGAAGTTGGGGGCCTCGCGATGCGCTCTTGTTGTCGTCTATTACGCAATTTCGGACGGTAGACGAGCAATATTTTGGGTCGTCTCGACGAGAGGACCAGGTGATTTTTCTGTTTTTGGCGACCAGCTGTTTTGACGAGCGATGCAATCGATTGGCGCCGCGATGGGAGATTCGAATCTTGGGGGAGGAATTCCGAGTAGCAGGAAGTTGGTCGAGAAATGACCGATGGGTATTTACGCGGCAAGTGGATCGTTATCGATTAGGACCGGTCGCTTTGTTTGGTTTTACTTTAAGTAACACGTGGCGTTAAGGCTGACCCTTCCTGTTCCGTTATTTGCCCTCGAAAAGGCTCATGTAACAATCGGTTTTTTTGTGGGGTTTGAATTTAAATTCGCCATCTGTTCCAAAGATAAATCCGTTACAATAAATACCAGTAGGAAGAGAATGTTTTTTAGTATCTTTCTGGAATTGTATTTACCAAATTCTTCCATTCGACCCTTAGTTTGAGTTATTAACTTCGTTTTGTCTTCCTCTAACATCTCAATTCCTGGCATATTGCATATAGTAATTTAACCAATACTTTACATAACTTTCTTTTATATTTTCTATTTATCTTATAACATAATTACACGCAATTATTCATCAGATTTATCGCGTTATTTGAGTGTCGATCCAGATTCTCAATCGAATAAAAACTATGAAATTACATCGTTAATTCCACACAAGGCTATTAAAATCCATTTTGTCCCATAAATATGTCTTTTATATTATAAAATTTAGTCCACGGACGACGTAATAATTTATAAGATTTTGCAGGTATTTATTTATATGCATTAATACATTTTATAGCAAGTGGTCGCACACATGGTAGTCTCAAGATCAATTTAATTAAAATCTATTGTGGAGATGTAATTAATTAAAAATAGGAAATATTCTTGCAATAAAGTACAACGAGAATAGCCTAAATTAGTTTTTGATCCGGCATCCAATAAAACTCGTCGCTAATTTGTTTGACAATCGGGTTTAAATGATCGGGAACAGCTGAGCCTACAAGCATCTATTTTTATATGTTGTACTTCTTCAATTAAGTGCATTTTCTACGGGATGACTCCGAAATATAAAAAGTAATATGTGAAAAATCTCCGTTAGAGCAACATTTTTTCTGTTTTATGCGGTCGCTCGTTATTAAAAAATATAACAAATCAAGGCCGAAACAATAATAAAAATGGCAAATATATTTTAACAACTTTTTATGATAATTTTGTTTATAGTCGACGAATCCATTATGAACTTTTTTATATAACTGTGTAATCATGTATAAATAGCTATGAATTCATTTATTTTTTAAATACCTTCATAATAGTGAGATCTACCTTTTACTCAGCATTGTTTGGTAAATAACTTAGTGCATAGATCAATCACATTATATTATAGTCCCATTATCCTGCTGGTAAATTCAACCCCTCGACAAGTGATTGAACTACCGGCGATTAGTAAAAATATCATATTGCATCCGCATGCGTTATTAATTCGCAAGTAAATGGAAATGTTTTTGTTATCTTTCATTACATAGGTACATAATACGAATGATAAGGAAATAACCAGCTGATAAATGTACCTATTTTAATAACTGAAAAAAAATCAGTTTTCCAAACTTAGGAAATTATCATTGCTGGATGTATTGTCCTAATAACTTATTTATTGTTATTATAGTTTTAAACCATTTACATAGGGAGTTAATTTATTGCCATTTTAAGAATAAGATTGTAACAAAAAATAGAAAAGAAAAGGATTTAAAATTCGAGAATTGCAGGTCTATTGATTAACTATGTCAAGGTCGTAATTTCACTTAGTACTCACACGAAATGTTAAGTGACCTTGCGATATAATAGTGTAAGTATACCCTAATTTAATTGCATAACTTTTTATTAGGTTTGTTTAGTAATATCGTAAAGAAATTGATTCATTAAATTAAATTTATCAAAAAATTCACTCTTCAATACACGTCCCGTTTACTGACAATTAACACTTAAAATACCCACCCTGTATATATTCTCTTATTACTTATGAACTAATTTTTGTTTATATAACCTTATCTATTTTAATAATTTTTTTATTAATAAATTTACCCTAAAAAACAGGATTTAAATATCAATTTTCCCAACGAATTCAAAATTTCCACGTACGTCAATTTGTTCGATAAACAACTGTTCTTAAATTAGGCAACATTGACATACGAACTAATTTATTTATCTATAAAATTATTAACAATACTGATAGATTAATGATAACAAAAAGCACATTAGAGATAAGAGACCAGTAATTTTGCGACGAGCACGGGATTAGACTTCCAAATCGAAAGTAAATCTGAAAAATTGTATCAGTTTGTGGAAAATAGACCGAAATGGCGGATAATAGTGCCTTACTGGAAGATTTCGAAACGTTTAAAGAAAATTTCTGCCAGGCTATCAGAGATGAAAATATCGAGGTATGTTCTTTCTTTAATTTATCTGAGTATCTGAGTAATCATTTTAGCAATCTACCAAAGTAATATTGTATGTACTTGGATTTTAAATAGATTTTGGTAGAAATAATTTTCTATCCAATAAGTTTATTTAATACAACGTAAAAATCTCGACATATTTAAACAATTTAAAATAGTGATAATTAATGATAAATGGACCTAAAATTTTGTGTAATTTTGCTATTTACCTCAATAGGTAATTCAGAATATGTTTTAACATTTAAATATTTTTTGTCTGTAAAAATTAAAGGAGTGTCTCAGGTGGTTGTTTAGCACACTTTTATGCCTAAAACATAGAACAAAAGTAACAACAAAACATATTTTTTTAGATACAATTAGGCATGACAAAAAAACTAAGCATGTTAGCTGAGCACTTGGGCGAAGAGCTAACAAGAACCGAGCTAGTTCCCTTCCTCAACGACTACGTAGATCTCCACAGCGAAGTGCTGCTGAATCTATCCGAGCAACTGAAGGGCTTCGTTCGGCTGGTAGGCGGCTACGAATATTCCCAACCGGTGCTGGATATCCTCAGGAAATTGTGCCACACGGACGAAAACGTGGTGAGGGACAGAACGGTCGAAACTCTACGAACAATCGCCGGTGAACTAGACCCCGAGCAAACCGAGAAACTATTAATACCCTTACTGGAGGATTTGATAAACGAGGATTGGTTCACGAGCAAATCTTCGGCAGCGGCGATAATCCCGATTATCTACTCGAAAGTGAAGGATGAATACAAGGAGAGCATTTTGCAGAGTTTCCAACTGCTCGCTAGAGATGAGGTGCCTTTGGTGCGCAAAGCGGCCGCTTTGTACCTCCTGGATCTAATACCGACAGTAGAAAAAGACGTGGTAGTTAAAGAACTAGCTCCGTTGTTCTATGATATAGCCAAAGACAACTCGGCCTTCGTGCAATTGCACACCATCCGAATCGGAATCAGCCTGTGTAAGTCGATAGAGGAAGAGTCGTGCAAAGAGGACATCTTCAAAACGTTGGAGGAGTTCGTGGAGAATCCGTCGTGGAAGATGCGGCAAGTCCTGGCGCTGAATATAGCCGATATTCAGGAAACGGTGCAGGATCCCCGGTTCAGAGGCAGAACGCTGGCCTTGTATCAAAAACTAGCCAAAGACAGCGAAGTGGAAGTGAGAATGATGGCGGTGAAAATGTTGGTGAAGTACTGTCAACATTTGAAGAGTTCGTACGAAAACAACGCGGGAGAAAACAATTTCGAATGGGTCTTCGTCGAAAGCATCGTACCTTTGTTGAACCTGCTGGTAATCGACCCGAGCGTCGACGTCAAAATGGCTCTAGCCACCAACATCTTCGCACTAAAATCCGTCGTCGACAAGAACGGATTCGTCAGCAACATAATGCCCTTGGTCGGAATCATACTCGAAGAAGACAACGCCATTTGCGTGAAAGCCGCCCTTCTGGAGCACTTGAACGAATTGCCCGACGACGTGGACCTAGCGGCCTCCCTGCCGAGCATCAGAGACGTCATCAGGACCCTCATCGTCTACTCGCAGTCGCACTGGCGTACGAGGAGAGGCCTGCTCGTCACGTTCATGCACCTAACCCGGTTCGCTTCGAAGGACTACTTCGCGAAGAACCTGGAAATATTTTACGCGACGCTCCTCAACGATCCGGTGTTCGCCGTGCGACGAACGGCGCCCTTAATTCTCCCACTGCTGGCCCGGTTGTACGGCGTACAATGGACAGCCAAGGAGGTCCTTCCCTACTTCGCTAACTTCCGAAAAGACAACAGGTATTTGTACAGGTACAATCTTCTATTCGCCGTCAACGAGCTGGTAAATCCCTCGTTGTTCTCGAGGAGACCTTTCACCAAGCTGAAAGACAGCAGTACACCTAAACTACTCTATAAATGCAAGTGCCTTGCGAACAAATTAAACCGTAGATTGGAAGAAGCTCTGTACAAGGATATTCTAGCTTGCAACATAGATGACTACAGAAACGATGATATTAAATTGTACGCCGAAGATTCCTTCGCTACATTACAAACCTACAGTAACGAAGATATTTACCCTATCGAAAACGAAAATTCCTACACGCCAGAATTGATATCGATCCTCCTTAGAGAGCTGATGGATCTAATCGTGCATCTGTTCTACGATAACATAGTCAACGTGCAAAAAATGTCCATATTCACGTTGAACAAAATCAAGCAACTCGCCCAGGATGTGAACGAAGAGCTGGAAGACCCGTCCGTAGTCGAAGCGATGGGGAGCCTCACGGAGGAGGATCGCGTTGGCATCGAAAAGGACGTGGAGCTGGAGATAAACGAGCGAGTTTTCGATTCAGACGATGATAGTACTTTGATAGAGAAGGCTTTATCGGTAGAAGAAAGTTTGAATACTAGCTTACAATCGGCTGTATCTGACGCGGATTCCAAAGCAAACAGCGGTAAATCTTTAATGAACACTTTGAGCGAGAAAGTCGAGCAGGAAATCGCTCGTTGCGATGATGATAAAATGGCTGGAGATGATGAAACTCCAGCGATTGTAGAGAAGAAAGTGGTTGAGGATAAACCGAGCGATGATGCGATTGTAAGTAGTGATGAAGCTAACAAGGAAAATGTGGAAGTAAAATCGGTGGTAGAGGTTTCGAAGAAAGAAGATAAACCTGTTGATTTAATCGATGAAATTGTTAAAAACGACGAAGCTGCAATGGAGGTTTTGCCGGACTTGATTAGTCCTAATTGTGTTAGTGTTGAAAAAAGTGTTGAAAATAATCCGTAGATATTCAGAACGAAATATTATAGTTTATAATATGCATTCAATAAAATCAAGACTGATGAAATTCACTTTTATGATGTAGTATTTTATACGTAGAAATTATTCTGGTTGTACACGTTTGTATTTTATTATTGTAAAAATCAAGTACTTATTTAATACACAATCTACAATATAACCCAAAACTTTTAGTAGAATATATTTTCTTACTAATTTCTTAAATTATTAATTTCTTAATTATTAAATTCTTATTTTCTTTTACTTGGGATTAATTACACCTTTTTTACTTTCCCTACTAATCGATCAATGAAAAAAAATCACAATTAATTACAAACTACACTACGACAAAATCTGCCTAAAAAAGTTATTGATCCTCATATTAATCTGCATAAAAGTACATTATGGAGTCAAAAACTTGGATTATATTTAGAAATTAAATAATTTTCGGATCATGTTGATAATGTTTTATAAAATGTGGGTTGTTAACCTTTCGTCATGCACAAATTCTGGCAACGAATGCAAAAACTATTTTCGAATTTTTTGATACATGGCGTGATCTGTTCTTGATTTTTCGGGTTCATTTTACGACGATCGGAATTTTATTTGATGACTAACTGACGGACAGGCGGGGAAATTTTTAACGACTATCCGGAAAATTCTCGGCCTTTTTCCATAAAACTAAGTAGAAATAACTAATATACCGCGTTTATAGGTCAGTATTGCACTGAAATAAGGCAGGAGAAATGTTACAGATATGATGAAAGCTTAGTTGAAGAAATAGAGGAGAAATAGAAAAAATAAAATTAATATTTTATTTTAACTTTTCAATTTTTACTTTTACTTTTCAATGCATTAAAAAAATGTACGTTTCGATGTAAATCGGTCATTTCTAAATGGGTTAAGGTGGGTTAAGTTGCAAAGTTGAATTACATTTTTTCGCAACCTTTGCCAAAAGTATATAAATAGAATTTATCACGAAATTTCATAAATAGAATAATGTACTGACATTTTAATTTCTTGGTGGTTGTAGTCATTAAAACGCTTAAAATAAAATAACGAAGATATGTACTAATAAATGGGCACAAGTGCAAGTACATGTAATAATTTTTGGAGCAGTGTATTGTACTGATAAATATCATCGATTACAATTACGGTTAGTTGTATTTACTATTGTTTGTATTATAAGATTAGTCAACCTAATGAACCCGTTTTAGGTTCCAACTATTTAACGCTTGGCGTGCTTTTAGTCAGTGACTTAATCTTTTCAATTCCGTCACGACTAAACAAAACACACGAGTAATTTATAAAAATAGTACAGCAATCCATTCAGCAGACTAACATCCTGCCAATTTTTATATTATATTTCCAACTTCAAATACATCACGGCTCATTTGTAAATCAAATTCGAAGAATTTCTGTCACTCACAGATTTACTTCAAACACTCATTTGTAATTACGAAACAACAATTTGGAGCACGAAGTAAACACTTATGTTCACTAATAAGTAAATAGGGAACGTAAATCAATAATATCTTCCCACGAAAAGTACCTGTTAGAAAACAATCCCACTTACCTTGCAGCATATAAATAGTAGCCTGGTACTCCGCTAACTTCTCGTCGATATAATCCTGCGACTGATTGGCGATGATCTCCGCGGTGGTCGGTCCGGAGTCCTCCTCCTCGTCGGGATCGTAGTTCCGCGGGAGCGGCGGCGGCTCCAGCGGCACCCCCACGTACTCGAAGTCGCGGCACGGCGGCCCGAACGGCGAGTCCGAGGAGTATTGCGAGGCGGGCGTGAAGCGGGCATTTCGCGAATTGTCCGGCGTCTGCGAGGAGGCCCTCAAGTCCGGCGAGTAGGTCTGCACGCCCCTGAAGTGGTCCGGGGCGTACGGCTGGATGCCCCTGTAGTAAGGGGCGTCCGCCGGGGACATGCATCTCGTCGGGGCCGGGGATGGCTGGAAACAATGCGATTATCAGCTAGATTCTATTTTATAAAGGGTATCCCAAAAATGCTTGTGATATACACGAGAAAGAAGTACAAACAAGATTGCAGTAGAATTACTATCAGTAGATACTAAATAATAAACAAAACGTAGCTTAATAGTGAATAAAACAGAAGCAATAATGACATATTATTTAACATCAGTTTCTCCTGACATGGCCGCAAGGGAAGTTTTCCTCGCAGGAATTGCGAGTTTTCTTATCGTTTGCGCGGGTAATTAGCGAGTTCTTGGTTTTCTGAAATAATTAGCCAGTTTTCAGGTTGCGTGCGTGACGGAAAATCCAACGAGAAAATTAGCGTGGTGCTGTTTTTCTCAGAAACTGATCAAATACCAGTCACAGATTTAGGCGTAAGGTTTCTTGGATTAAAGAAAGTAGCGGAAGTAGAGGTAAAAGGTTTACTTACTTAATACAAAGCACTAATCGCTTTTTTATCAGTACAATAACATCAAAGAGAGTACTAATAACTATCTGGTGCAAAGAAAAATAGACCAATGCCAGAAGAATTTACAGGAAAGCTTAGAATCTTTGACGCATTTTTGCAAGAATGCCATTGGTGTTAACGTAGGTAATAAGTTTGCAATCAATCCCTAAGAACTACAAGGAATAAATATCTACATTTTCCAAAATTTAGCGTTAGTAAACATCAATGGCTCTATCACCGAAGGCGATAAACCATTTACCTTCAACTCCAAATCTAAAAGGAACCGCAAACAGAAAAAAAACAAAATTTCCAACGCAAAAACGCCGCCAATCGATATAGTACTGAGCCCTCAACATACAGAGGTGTTCAAAATTAGAGTCAAACGAAAAGCGACTGAAAAAGATAATAAGAAGAACGACATCGAACACGAAAAATTCATCGGTGAACCGGTCGCAAACACCAAGGATCGCCATCCTTGGGATGTCCTGGATGTATGGTCGCACGTTCGGTTTTCGTTCTTCGGGAAACTCCTTGAGGATGGTCAGTTTACAAAGTAATGTAACAAACTTGTAAAGGTTTCTGTGTATTGCAGAGAAGAAAGCAAATCTTGCCAAGCAAGAGAATCAGATACTGCCCGATGAATCGTCGCGCAAACGGATTGATCCGGGGCTCTTCCAGACCGTCCAAACAGCACTCGGTAGCTTGCAAGCGAACTCCGAAGCGTTTCTTTTGATCGTATTCGGAGGGAGGCTGCAGGAAATATCGGAAAAATACAGCCCCCTAGTGCAAACGTTGAAGCACATTATCGAGAACACCGATCCCGAGAACACGATCATTGTATTAACTGGAAATTGTTTGGAATACAAAAATTGTAATAACGGAGTGGTCGAAATTAATGAGAATGTTAAAGAGAGTAGAAAGTTGAGGAAAATCCCTGTGTATGCCAAAGGTAAGTTTTTCGTAATTTTTATGATTTTGATTTTCCATACTTAATTTTTAGGTCCAAATTCAAACAAATTATGCGAATGTTCGCTATTATACGACATTCCGTTGATAATAAAGGACAGTTTACGAGAATCTTATCCCATATTCGATAGTCAATAATTTATTAGGAAATGTCTGTATATTTTAACATTTTGCAGAACCGTGAATTAATTTATGTTTGTTTATAATTAATAGCTGAAAATTGAACATTAAAATGCTTAAAATTTTGAAGGTTTCTCGAATTAGGTAACGAAGGTGTTTAATTCATTGATTAAGTATAAGGATTATTCAGGATCTCATGTACAAATTGAAATCAATTTGGGATTCGAAATACATGTAAATTAATCCTCTAAATTACTCACTGTATATTCTGGGCCAAGCTACCAATAAATCGAACAGTCATGTTTAAAAATACAAGTTATTTCCAAACGCTCGTAATGCAATTCTTCTGTGATGGTTATTTATACACATATCCTAAGTACAAGTCAGTAACCTTTGTGCAAAATACTAAACTTTTATTATAAAGTCGCCGATTAATCCGATTAATATTTTTCAAGCCTCATTCGATACTTGAAATAAGTTCTACTCAACATTTTTTTACCTCCATTCATCAAACACTCGAACAAATTGAGCTTCGTATATCTTAAGTTGCTCACTTGAAAGTGCTTTCAGGGCAATACAAAAATATTAAACGCCAAATAAAGAGACTTACCGGATGCATGGGGCGTCGAAAGGGCTTGGATCCGAGCGGAGGCGGCGAGAAAGCGTGCGGAGGCGGCGGCATCGGCACCGGAGACATGGGCGCGGGCCACCTGGGCCGGGGGCAGGGCATTCCGTGGGGCAGCCGGTTGCCGAACATGCCGGACGCCGGGCTGCCCATTCTCGGGGGCGGCGGCGTCGTCGGTCGAAAGTGCAGGGGCGACCAACCGCCCGGCGTGGTGCTGCGACCACCGGGCGGCGGTCCTGGACCGCCCGACATGTTAGATGACCGTTTGTAACGACAGATTACCTGCCATCAGTTCTGCAAAGATACGGTGCTTTAATAGAAATTCCGTCGCGTGGAAAAATCCCCCATGTGCAGTGGTAATAATAATACCTACACAACTCGCGCGTCTAAAAATATACAATAACATCCAAAAGACTCAAGACGAGACACCTACTCGTTTGCGAAAAATATATTCGTACGATTTTCGGTGTATTTTTAGAGAATCGCTCGAACGCGTAAGCACGAACTCGATTTTTCTTTAGCGATATATCGAAATATAATATCGAATCGCCTGGAATTAACTACACAACAAGCAATTTAATAATTCGTATTAATATAACAAGTTAAATGATCAAAATATATTAAATAAGTCGAAATTAAGGTATTTTTTTAATTACTTAATAATTTCAATTAAATCACCAAAGTAGGTAATGTATTGATTAAAATTAAATGTATTAGTCGTCTTTGGGGCCCAAATTTTCAATATAGCTTTGATTTGAAAGTAGCCAACAAATAAAAATTCTCAAAATAAGCCGCCACACTTTCACTTTCATCCAAAAAAATCCACTAAACCTCCAGCATTTGCACTCAATCAACCCAACAAAAAATTTGAAAATGAAATTGTGAGAAATTTACCGTAACTTTTCGCGTGTTCTACGACCGTCTCGCCACGGAACTTCGTAAACTAAAAAAATCCTCGCGCCGTGCGGCCGAAAGTCGCCGCTTCCAGACGCCCGACGTCCCTTCCTCGAAAGCGAAATTTTAATTTTAGAATTTGGCACCGCGACGCTCCACGTTGTGCTTCAGCGCCGCTAGCTCGATTATTCGGGACGCTCGGTTAGCGTGAAGCTTTCTTCTTTCGAACACAATTTCTCCGATTCCTTCAAGCGCCGGTACTTTGATTAAAAACACCTTTTTTTATTTAAATATAAGTTTATTTTTTTAAAAACTCCAAGGACCTATTTTATATAAAATGTACAAACTAAATAAAAACTTACACATACAAGAAGATAAGGGATGTACTAAGTTTTAAACTAACTACATATCTTCAATGTAACTGGCCAAAATGTAGTGTGTAACTACATTTTTATTTTTTATATTTTCAACTAATATAGCGAGTTTGAAATCGAATACACTAAACAAAATTCGTCATCCAGTAAAAACTCCAAGCCAGCCCGTTTCGAAATTTACTGGAAATAAAATTGCGATTTATAGTACACGATTGTTGCAAACTATGCACTTGTTGCAGTTTATTAGCCATAAATCAGTTCGAATTTTTCGAAAATGAGAGAATAATTTCGGCTATTATTCCAGTTAACAAGGCACAAATGCTTCCTCGACACCCTTACTAAATAAAACGTATCTAGCTACAAATGTTACGTTTTTATAAAGTCGAAATACTTACGCAAATGGTGCGTTAAATTTTAAATATAAATACATCAGAATTCCTCACAACACTCTATAATTATTAGTTTCGAATTATACATAATCACGCTCCTTAAATACTTTTCAATTCAGAAATTTCGTAATTATACAAATCACAGCGCCGACATCTAAAAGAAGACTAAAGACTAATGAAAAAAAAAGAATTGTTCAGTACAAAAATTATTTCAATCGCTCGAAGAATCTTACAAATGTATGACTTGTTTCCAAGTTTTCGTTCTCTCGTATCAGATAACAGATTACATTTGTTTTTTATATACCTCGAGTACAATAAATAACAGTTTTTTTCGCCACAAAAATGAATCGGACAATTAAAATGCAATAACAAGAATTTTTAATCGACTGCTGAAAGATGTTCCGAATGCTCCAGTATCACTTCCAAATGTATACTTCGAAATGTAAATGCATTCCACTAAATTTAAAAAAAAATACATTAAACAAAGCTAAAAAGTAGTAACAAACGATTAGGAAATTGTATCAAACATAACAAACAACACAATTAAAATAAAACAAATTAAAAACGACAGTTTCAACAGTCGAGAAAAAAACGAGTAAAAATATAAAACTTTACGAGACTACTAGCAGAGCCCAGGAAAACTACCTAAAGCATTATTTTTTAGCAACGGGAGATTTGGATCGAGACCTCGACCCGGTGTTTGATTTCTTTGAATTCACCTCATCCTCTAAATCGAACAAATCATACTTCGATAAATCCCCATCGTCATCGTCCTCCTCGTCTTCATCTTCCTCCTCAACCTCCACTTTCTTAACCTCCTTCTTAACCGGCGCGCTTTCCGCGATACTCCTTCGCTTTTTCCTCCTCCCGAACTCGTCGTACTCATCATCCGAATCGGCCCGTTCCTTGTACTCGACAACGCCCCGATCGTTGTAACCCCCTCCGAAACCAGTTCGTTCTTCGACCTCCCCGAATTTAGGAGCGTTGCACACGTTGCAGGATTGCCTCCGAGCCCAGTTGACGTTGCCGCATTTGTTGCATTGCCAATCGTCCGCGCTGAAGAGGCCCCGGCTCTTCTCCGCAGCGGCCTTGCCGATTTCGACGCCGAGTTTGCGCTTCTTCGCCGCGACGATGCTGTGCGCTTTGCTCTTCTCGCATCTGTTGCATTTGCTCCGGCGGGCGAAGTTCGAGTTGCCGCACTCGTCGCATTCCCAGTCCCCTTCGGTGGAGGTTCGCAGGCTCGGAGGCGGCGGGGCCTGCAACTCCGAATCGGAATGATCGGACATTGGATCTAAAACAAAAATCAGTTGCCAAATGAGTGGTTCGTTAGCTTGGTGGTATAAACAAATGTTTGCTAATGTTAAACTGGGTATCGCAAAAATATCCTATAATTAGCTGAAATTTTTAGATACGGATCTAGTTTTGTATTCATAATTCCAATCAAATCTTCCTTGAAGGACCTTATACCTTTACAAAACACAAACGCTTAATAATAGGTAAATTTAATAACAATTAGGTTTTTTTAACGCAACCTAATGACGTGAACTTTGAACTTATTGACATTTGTTTTTGACAATTATGACATCGACATAAATCTTCTTTTTTTTTCCTCTGTTAAAAAGCGCCTACTGACAAGCTGGCGCTCATTAATTGAAATATGCAACCACCATTACACAAAAATGCATTTAAAACAACAATAAAATGCACCAAAACAACTTTCATTGGTTTCGTATAAAGAAAAAGAAAGAGTATTATTGTGGGACTGTAACTTTCTTACTCTTACCACTGCCATTTTAACATTCTTTCTTTGTTTCAACTCTTAGAATTGACCATATTGCAAACAAATTTGCACTTGCCCATACATGGGTACACATCAGGGTATCTTTCTTTCTCCTTTATATGCAAATTTGCACTTGTGTATGTATACTAAATTAATAGAAGATAAATGAGGTATTTACTAATACAAAATATGTATCTATAAAAATATGAATCCATTAGTACTAGTACAGTTAATATTGCATTTTCATATAAAAATAACTAATGTATATATTTTCAAAATCTTCAAGTTCGCCTAAACAAGAAAAATCAATTTTTTCAATCTTGTTTTGGCGTTAACACCACAAAATATTCCAATACTGACAAAATTTACAATGCGCTACGCTTATTCTACGCTTAAAATTATCTTAAATTGTCCCAGATTTCAATACAAAATTTTAAAGCCACTTTCACTGGAGTCTGCTTAACACTTTTGTCTTTCGGGTCCTGAAAACTGGACATTAAAAATTATAGACTTAATAATTAAGGCGCCTTATAAAATTTAATCTGTTCCTCGTAATATTTGTAATTTTTCCCATCGGCTGTTCTCGTTGGAGGGATGCAATCTTTAAAGGGTAATTTAATCCATAAATCTAAGATCTTCTCAGTTTCAGTCGGTAAATCTGCAAACTTGTGCGATTGTGCGGAAAATAACAAACTATTTAACTTTTTTAAAATATCTTTCATGCGATTTTCTTGGCTTCGTAGCTCTTCCAGTGAATCTGGAAAATAATCAACATTACTATCGAATTTAAACTAACCAGTTGGTAAACTTACAAGATTTTATTAGATTTTCTCTAGGGTATTTTAGAGATTGCAAATCTTTCAATTTGCGCATCTGGCGAATAAATTCCAAGATGACCATTTCCTGTGTTATAAATGGATTGTCCATAATTTGGCCCAACAACGCCATTTCATTACTACCCAAGTCAATGTTACGCAATAATCGATTTATGGGAACGCTGAAAATATATATTTTATATTAAATGTCCAAGTCCAACAAAAATTAGAGTCCACTTACGAGCCAATAGGTTTTCTATCAAAATCCAAAGGAACTTCTTTGAACATCTTAATTTCCTCCACAGTAATGTTTTCTCTGAGGGAATAAAACATTTCATCCACGTTTGATATGTAAGGGTTTAATTTTCTCATAGTTGACCTTAGAGCAAATTGAGTGTTAACAAAGGAATCCAGCAAATCATATACTATTCCCATATGTTGAATTACTACTTCTTTTTTTGATTTCTAGAATAAAAAAATATAAACAATTAATCATCTATAGTACACACGAATTGGTTGAACAAAAATTGAATCAAATATTCACTCAAAGTGTTCAAATTAACTTACCAATTTTCTTTCAATTTCCAACAAATCCGCCTTTTGATTGGATTGAAAAGAAACATTTTCATTGTTCTGCAAATCGGTAATTTCTTGTTTGAACGCCTTATTCAAAGATACTACTCTGATGTGTTCAACGTAATGTTCTAATGTCTGCCTAACATCTTCAATATCCTTGTTGGGAAACTTTAATTTGTACTGGTTTATCTACAACAAAATTCAATAAAAGTATAGTTTCAATTAAACTATTATATACTTACAATATCAGTCTTCTTATTATCCAACTTCCTCTTCAGCTGCTTTAACATCAGAATTTGTTGTAGATTTTTAAACTCTGTTTCTGCGTGCAGTGACTGGAGTCTGGCTAGTTCTTCTTTCTTGCTGTAGTTATCACTTTAAAAAATAAATAGAAAAGTTATCCACTCGATTGATGAGGTATATTTTTTCTTACCTTTCAGATTTAATAAAATTCGAGTTAATTTAAACAGTATGTTTAAATGAAGGTTGTTGTTCATAGTTTGAATTACATTCCAAATATCTTCTTTGTTGTATTTGCTTATAAATTTTTTTACTTCATTTGCAGTTGGCAAGCAGGTTAGTTGTTTAATAAACGATTCATTTAACGGGGATTTGTTTGTATTAGGCATTCCTAAATGAACTGAAGGAGTAGCGAAACCTGAGATAGTATCATGATTGGATGTTGAATTCATTACGCCAGGATTTTTCTCAGGAAAGAGGCATTTGGTGACTTTATTGGGATTGGTGTCGAAAGGCAATTTGGAAATTCGACGTTTGGTATTTGAGGTGAATCTATGTTTGGTGTTGGAATTGAAGATTGAAAGAGTACTGCTATATCTTGAATTTTTCTTCGAAGACAGCAGCAATTTGTTGATAGTCCAAATTGTATCATCGTTGTTGGCAGGTAATTGCAACTCCTCTATATCTGTTTGCAGTTTCTTTTTTAACTCTGATAAATCATGCTAGAAATAAGTTTATATTTTTATAGAAGTAAATATGTACCATCTCTTACTATACCATTATTTCATTGGAGTCTCCTGAGTTCACTAATGTTGGTACATTTAAATTTTCTAGTATACTTTCAGCAAATTGCCTATCTTTGTTTAATAGCTTCATTTTTTCCCTTAACATGTATTCTCGTTGTTCATTATCTTCGATTTCCAAATTCATTTTTTGCAAGGTAAATCCTAAAAAGTTCCAACACGTATATAAGATTGCCTCTTTTACAATTTATAAGTTATATACGTACTACTAATTTTATTTTCTTCCTGAAGCTTAGAGTTTAAATTCTCCTTTTGAGATATCGAGTAACGCATAAACGTTAATTGTTCTTGGAGCTCTTTTTTCCTTAAATACAATTCTACTTCTTTCGATGAATGCTTCAGTCTTTGCTGAAATGAAGTTTTTGTATACTAAGTTTATAGTTTTAGATACTACTTACAAGTTCATCTAAATTCTTGTTCGATAGCTGGGATACTAGGATTTGCTTCTTTATATTTTCCACTTCACTTAAGGGTCGCACGTATTCCATTAATTGTTCCCATACAAATACATTTGAATTGTTGCAGAAATTAGATATGTTCTTTGGAAACTTTTTAACATCGTATCCCATTTTGTGGAACCAGTTCTTCAAATCTTCCCGTCTATCCATGGCTCAAGCAACGTATAAAAGAGTTTGCTTTATGTTTGCTTTATGTTTTGTTTATTGATTCTATTATTATTTATTGCTATATTCTTTCAGGTTCATAGATCTACAAAAGAAGCTTAACATTTATATAGAATACTTCATAATATCTAGTAGATAATTACTTTTAAAGGTGTACTAACTTATGGCTTATTTACTTTTAAACAGTTGTCTCAAAAAATTCAAATATAAACCTGTAGTAACTGGTAAAAAAGATAAAATTAATACCTAAAATTCAAACTAACTTTTTTAACAGTTTTTGGTGACCTTATGAATTTAACTGACAATTGACATTAATGACATGTAGGCTATTTCCTAAATATGAACTCGAAAAAAGAGGTGGCCTTTAGCGATGGTAACAAACAGTTAGCCGAAACATCAATAATAAAATCGGTTAATATAGAACAGTTTCATTAAAAGATTAAATTGTACACTGTAATAGTTGTAAAGCATATGATGTATTGATAATTTAATAATAAATAACATTTTTAAAGGTGAAATAGTTGTAAAAATTCAAATTTGCCGCTTCGTCATAGTGACATTTGTTATGTAACGTTGTTTCGCAAAATAACGTCACTTCATCTTGGCTACCTGTCAGCAGTAGGGATGGCAATTTTTTTTAATATATCGATATATCGTTGTGACGATATATCGAAACCTTGATATCGATATGAATAAATACTTATCGATAAAAATATCGATATCGAAATTGTCGATATATCGAAAATTCTTCTTCTTTCTTTATATATACGTTTTTGTAACGAAAGTTTTCACTTTTCACACCGTAAAAACAAATATATTATTGACAATATGAGTCATATCATAGTCATATTATATGACTATTGATTAATAGACTTATTCTTATTATGACCAAAATTATATAAATACTGTTCCACCTAAAAAAAATAAAAAATAAAAAGAAATAAATTTACCGTTTTTAATACAAAAAAAGATTTCGTTAACAAAAACAAATTTGTGTGCCTATCCACAGATCATACATACTATCGCCAATATAATAAAAAACACCTTTTAAAAGAAAACACATTTATTTGTTTTAATTATAGGATCGTAGGTACTACATATTAACATGCAATCGTATTATAGATACTTTGTCAAAAGAACAAACAAAAAACATACTTATCTTATAGATTATTACAGGGTTAACAGATTACTAACAGAATACATATAACAACTAATATACAATACGAACTAATATACGAATACATATAAAACAACTTTTAAAAATAAGACTTTAAAAATAAGACAATCAAATTACATTTCAGAAAAGGATTCTAAAAATAAAAGTTTGGAAAGTCTTTTTCCCGTTAGCCGGCTTCGATTTTTAGTGGCTATTGCCCCAGCTTTTGAAAAGAGCCTTTCGCTAGGGACAGATGTGGCCAAAATCCCGAGGTATTTTTGAGCTAGTTTAAATAAATTTGGATAAACAAGCTTCATTTCCTCCCATATTTCTAAAGGATTATCTTTTAGATTCCTTACCGGTATTGACAAATATTGTGTAAATTCATCAAATTTTTCACCTCTCCTTTTTGTTTTTTTTGTATATGCAATATTTTTATGTGGTGCCCATAAATCAAAAACTGGCTCAGGCTTTTCTACCTGTGGCGAAATATCAGAAGAAGAGGAAGATTCTTCCCCTCCTATACTGTTCATTTCACTTTTTAAGTGTCGAATAATGCTTGATAATGCAAGCGGATCCTTGAAATGGATATTTTTAAACCTGGGGTCTAGAATTGTAGATGCTGCCAATAAAAAACATTTCTCTGCCGACCCAAATCTTCGATACAATTCTTTTAATATGGCACTTTTTAAATTTTCCGCGAGGCCAACACTTGTATTGAAATGTTCGTATTGTGTTACCAAGCACATTATCATCGGTATTACTTTACTGAGTGTGATGTAATTCTGTCCACTCATTTCCTTGGTTGTTTGTTCCAACGGAACCAAAAGTTGGCAAACTTGCTTCAGCTCTTCAAGGTCTGACGCATTGACCATATTTGGAGCATTTACATTACTTAATATAATATTTCCAATAAGTGGGGCAAGCTTCAGGAATCTTTCCAGCATGTAATATGTTGAATTCCAACGCGTTTTCACATCTAATATCATCTTCAACATGTTCCCTTCTGGAGTTCCCCTATTCTGTTGGATTCTTCTTAGCTCGTCGCTTGCATGGACACTCCGCTTGAACCAAACAACAATAGTCCGCACTTTTTCTATTAATTTATCCAAATTTTGGGTATTTTTTAGTGCCTGTTCGCAAACTAAATTTATTGTATGAGCAAAGCATGGCACATGTTTGCTTTTGCCAAGGAAATCTTGACAGGCTTTCACCATATTGGCTCCATTGTCCGTTACAGCTGCAACTAATCGGTCAGTACCAATATTCCACTCATTTAAATTAGTCTCCAACTGAGTAACAATGTACGCAGACGTGTGCGCTTCTGTTAGCTCAGTAACTCCTAACGTGGCAGAACACATTTTTAAATTTTTTATAAAATGTAAAGTAACTCCCATGAAACTTTTTGTTTGCATGTCTGCTGTCCAAATATCCGTTGTAATTGTAAAATATTTTACACTTTCGATTAATCTTTTGAAGGTTTCTGACAATACCTCAAACTTTTTGTCGATTCTGTCCTTGATGCAGTTCCTAGTGGGTACTTTGTACAGTGGTGCTACCTCCTTCATTAGATTTAAAAATCCTTTTCTCTCCACTGTACTAAAAGGTAGATTGTCCTGTACAATGAAGTTAACAATAGCTTCTGTGATTTTTGTATTTTTTGATCCGCCTTCTAAAAAAGAAAATAATTTGATTATAATATAGAATATATAATAATATACATATAATAATTGAATTAATAGAAACAAAACATATGGTACCTGAGAATGAAGATACTTGTCGAATGGCCTGTGTTATTGATGGTTGCCTCGACTGTTTTAGTTTTAACACAGTTTCTGCACATTTCGAACTTGTACTCGGATCACTACTACTGCAAGAGGCTTCAAAATTTGCTACTGATCCCTCCGGTCCCTCCGTAACTGTGTTAATGCTGTCTGATCTCTCACTGGATACTGGAGAAATTGCCCTCTCTTTGTCTTTTGGGACCTGCTATAAATGATAAATGAAAAATATATTACAATTGAAACCAAATATTTTTATAATTACATTTGTAAGGTAGAAATGTGTTGATTATCATTAGAAGAATAGAATATCTACTAACCTGCTCAATTGAAGACATTTTTCTCCTTTTGGAAGCGTCGGCTGCGTCGGTAGATTGATCCAATTGTTTAAAAACGGTATCATGTTTTTGCTTTAAATGACTATGTAAATTTGATGTGTTGCCAGAAGTTTTCAAAGTTTTCGAACAAATATTACACCGAGCCGTTTCTTGGGATAGTTTGGTAAAGAATTTCCAAATAAATGATTTCGGAGCCATATTGGTTTGTTTCAACTGGCACAAAGCTAGCTTTATTCACTTCACTTTTTCAAGTTTTTCACTTATGCACTAGGTCTTGTTTCTGAGGGACAACACGTGAATGAATTATAATTGTTTATCAATGTTATAGACTTATCACTTCTAAAAAAAACTACACTTATTACACTACTACTACATACTACACTAATACATTATAACATTATTATAATTGCAATATTCATAACATAACAGATGACAATGATATTTAACAATTAATAATTTTCACAAAAGACAACAAAACGACAAACGACAAAGCAAAGCTGTTCGCATTTATCTTTATCTATCTGACTGGTGACGTGACATGTGACATGAAGGATGACGGATGTCATTACGGCCAAAAAAAAAGAAGAAAAAGAGAAGAAGGAGAAATTTCGATATATTTGCTGACATATCGATATTTTTCGATATATATCGGTGTGCACATATCGATGTATATATATCGATATAATTACAACATATATCGATATATTTTAAACATCGATGTATCGTTGCCGTCCCTAGTCAGCAGTGCTTGTCAGTTTAGCATTTATATGCGCATAGTACCGGTTTTTCATTTTGTAGTTTTTAATAAGGTGTTTATTTTTATAATAACATATTTGACTCGAATGTGGCATATTTTAAGCGATTTTTTTCCGTTGAACGCTTTTATTATTACCCATTTGACTTTAATTACTTGAGAAAAGCCCAACAAGGTAAGAACACGTTTCTTTGTTACTGCTAAATAGAATATTCAAACACGTGGACCGATCTTGTTGAGTCAAGTCATGTTACCCGTAAGCAATTTGAAGACGTATTTTTATTAATTATATGAAAATCACGTTAAAAACGACTTTTCGGGCGATTCCGGATGTTAAAATGAATTAATAGGTTAATTCCGTAAAAATTCCGTATAGTAGGCATTGCATGTGGAATGGTAAAATTATTAATGGGATTGAATTAATTCGAAGTGAAAGTTGCTCAAATTCAATAAATATAGTTTATTCATAAGAAAACTCTTTTCATTATAATTCATCGGTTTTCGATGCAAAACTAAAATTTTCATAAAATGCTGGATAATTTCTTGAGTAATTTTGTGCAATAGGGACACATTCAGTTATCAAATTTATGATAGATGTTGAAATATTAATTTTAACGTGTTTAAAAAGGGTTTCGACCAATATCGTTATGATGGAAATGTCCCTGACATAAGTCATCTATTGCTTTCCAAAATTTTCAAACGAAACCTAATAAATTTATTAAATGTTATTTTATCCTTTACCATAAACTATTCGATTCGATTCGAGCATCGAATTCTCTTCTAATTGCTACGTAACACTCTAAAATCGAAGCAAGAAGCAAGAATAGTTTAATCATTTCATATAGTAGCTGATTTTATTTTGATATGTTTCCAGGAGCACCATGAGTTCAGGCAACATTTGTTACAAATGTAACCAACCTGGGCACTTTGCCAGAGAATGCTCGCAGCCGGGCAGCCGCGACTCCGGTCGAGGTTCTTTCAGCCGGAGCCGCGACAAGTGCCACAAGTGCAACAAGATCGGCCACTACGCTCGCGATTGCAAGGAGGAATCGGCGCGTTGCTACCGCTGCTACGGCGAGGGCCACTTCGCGAAGGATTGCTTGCAGAGCCCCGACACGCCGTCCTGCTACAATTGCAGGAAGCCGGGTCATATCGCTCGCAGCTGTCCGGAGGCAGGCGGTGACAGGGAGACCTGCCACAACTGCCAGCGTCCCGGCCATATTTCGAGGAATTGTCCGGAGGGCACGAAGACTTGCTATTTGTGTCACAAGCCGGGCCATCTGAAGAGAGATTGCCGAGAGAACGACTACAGAAAGTAGTGCCACATTTATTAATTTGTTGTATCTATTTTATATATATATTTAAAACATTTGAAAATGTTTGTTTTCCTTTCAAATCCTTGTTGAAACTAATGTTTCTTTTATACTTTTTTATATTAAATAGTAGATAACGCTCAATTCTCATCTGTCCAATTTCCATATAAGTGATATTAAAAGGTACTTATTTATTTAGTTATAAATTTTAAATACCACACTTTATAGGTGAATCGTTTAGCGGAAATTAGACTCATAAGAATGTTTGAGGAGGAATAAATTGAGTCCTTTGAATTTTTCTTTAAATTGTAGTTGAAAAGAAACATGTCAGATTCGAGTTTATTTATATTTCACAATGCATAAAGAATGTAATACTTAAAAATGGGAAGATATAATTTTTATTAATAAAAGAGGTTGGTGAATAATTTTTGTTTTATTTAACCCAAATTTATTTCGACCTATTGGATAAACAATTAAATAAAATTGGATCCAAAGTATTAGATTGACCTCTAATCTTTTTTTATGTTAAAAATGCACAATACATTCTTTTTAATTATAAAAGCGGTGAAGATTAAGCTTTGCTGTTACTAAGTATAGTTCCATATTTACTGAAATTTTATTTTTAATAATTCATTGACTTTCTCTCAGAAATTAGACTTCATCGAAGTATTCCAGTAAATAATATTTGTGAAGCAAAGTACTTACATAATATTTTGATACTTATTTATTATAATAAACGTACTCATATGTTTATACAATTTTATGAATAATAATCTCTATGGAATAAATTTTACGAATATGTAGGGCAAACAATTAAAACAACTCTCTATTACAAATAGATTAAATATCGGTTTTTATTTAAATTATTAAATTGATGTCCACCTTAACACACAATAATACAAATACAAATTGTACTTTATTACTTAACTTACAAAAAAATATAATATTAATGTCGTTTACTTCGCTTTTTGGTCTTCTTAGGACCTTTTACAAAGCACCAATCGACGCCAATGGTTTGACCTAGCAACGAAGATCCGTTAAGAGCCTCTCTGGCGGCCGCCGCTTCTTTGTAATTCCCGTACTCGATCAAAGCGTACCCTTTCAGAAAACCCGTTCTGCGATCTAAATTAATGCTGATATTTTTGATCGCTCCGTAGTCGGAAAACTTTTTGCACAGATCCTCTTCGGTGGCTTCCTCGTGCACGGACGTCACGAACAATATCCACCCTTCCACGGACATTTGGGGCCCGGGCTCGTCGCCGTGGTCTCCAGCGTCAATCGATTCATAACCTCTAATGTTTTCGTGCTCCCTGCGTTCGCCGGACCCGAAACCGCGGCCCTTCCGCTTCACCACCTTGTCTTTTAGCCTCAGAACGCTTTGGTCGCCTTCGTCTTCCACATCAATGTCCACAGCATCGTTTATATCTAATACATCGGCCATTGCGGGACCGTCCATAACAATCTTTAATTATTAAAATTTATTTCAACGGCAACCATTTGTTTGCGTGACAGCGTGACAAATGACACATGACAAATGATATGAAATGAAGTTAGTGTTATCTACTTTTTTTGCTAATTAGATAAGCATAAGTGTTTTTATATCAATTTCACGTTTTTTATTTTGATTTAAAATAGTAGTTTGTACTTGTATTTACTTCTGGTACCAGTTTCATGTTTCATCACCACAATTCAGTGTCGCCAACCTTCCATGGTGTTGGTGTCATTGTACTCACTGTCTTGTTTATGTCAAAATTCAATTGTCAAGTGTCATGTCAAAACGTTAAGTAGGAATTTGGTTTCGTATGTGATTGTATTCGTTTTATTTACCATTTTAATCGCATTCGGTGCTTCTATTTTGTATTAAAACTAATCGATCGTCGTGCAAAGCGCGATTTCCATCCATTTTAAACGCACCTCGATGGCCAAACAACGTGTGAGGTAAGTTACGTGATTGCCCTAAAAAGATACATTGCCTAATAAATTTTCGCTAATAGGAGCAACAATGCCAAACTCAAGGCGATTCGCTCGAAGAACGTGAAGAACGGCGTCGTCAAAGAAGGCGTGAAAACGAGACCGGCGGGAAAAGTGCAAGATGCCCGGCAGAAAATCATACAGAAAAAAAGAACCTCTGTGAACGATGCTCGAGACGTGCTCTCGAAAATGGCCAAGACCCAAGACGCCCGGAACAAAATTAACAAACTGAGGAACGGGCGACCCGACGGCGCTTCCACCAACACCAATGTTAGATTAGTTGGTAACAACATATTGAAGAAAACCGATCGCAACGGTAAAATAAGCTTAGTCACCAACAAAGGTAGAAAGAAACTAGATATAAACTACGCCATTCAAAAGCAACTAGGCCTAGTTCCTAACAATCGACCCTCGCCCAAGAAAGTCGCCGCTAAAAGAAACGCTGCTGTAAATACCTCGAGATCTCCCCCCGTCGTAAGAAAAGTTCTTGAGCAAGATATCGAAGAGTCCGCTGAGGCACGAAGGTCTTTTAATCCCACCGTTTACAAATGGGTACGACCGGAATTAAGAGATAATTCTGCTTCGCAAATGATTAATTCATTGGAAGCTACTAGGCAAGTTATGAGGGAGGCCCTGAGAGAAGAACTGAGCAGCGGATGGCCAACTTTTGCATCACACAAGTAAGCTATTATATAATTATTCTTAAAATAAACATATACATTATTTCGATTTGTAGTTCGTATCAGAAAATGGCAGGCATCTACGAAAAAGGCCCACTAAGGACCCCACAATCCATAAGGTATTATGAATGAAACCACGAGTTAACAGTAATTGTATTAAATATTTATTTAATTACAGGAATTCGTCTCGCCTTCAGCCATCTTATGTAGATTTAGATGATGTCATGGATGAGGAAATGCCGATGGCTCCGACTTCACCGCAAATTATCCTAAAAGGAACATCCAGAGTGACGAACGTTCACTCGAGATTGGACGATTCCGGAACAGGGGATTCGCATGGAATTTTCGCGCAGAAAACTAAAGTTCTAGTACCCGCTGGTCACAGAATCGTCGTGTCGAATTTACAGCAGACCGTAACTCAAGATGACATCAAGGTATATTTTCTATTAGAAATGTTACCGAGCGATTATTAATACTGTAAATTTGTGTTGCAGGAGTTGTTTGAAGATATCGGCCAATTGTTAGTTGCTAAATTGGTGCGTCCTGGTGTTGCTGAGGTCATTTACAAGAACTTGAAGGATGCCCAGAAAGCAGTGGATACTTACCACAATAGGCAATTAGACGGGCAACCGATGAAATGTCTTTTAGTTAACAAGAGACCCCTGAATTATCCTACAGGACCCGCACTTATGAAATCCGAATCTTTGTAAGTTTTATTGAAAAATCTAATCGATGATTGAAAAATAGTTACGTCTGGATGTGATTATTATCTATTTGTTTATGCTTGCAACTTAATCTTGCTATTTTTTTGGTTCGAGTCAAATATTGTTTAAATTTATTATCTAAATATGTATTTATGCAAAGCTTGTTCTTGCCATATCAAATAATCCAGAACCTATTTGAAATTTCGGTGTCATTATGCTGTAAAGGATAAAATACTGCTTTTGTTTTAGGTTTTTGAAAGATCGCCTTCTATGAAAACCAAAAAAAAATCCTTAAACAAAGAGCGGTGTAAGTGATGGGTGGTTTTGTTTATTTTTTTGTTTTCAGAAGTGTAGCGCCTAGACAAAAGCCAGTCGTACCGCCGTGTTCGCCTGAGGATTCTTTGGTACCGGACGTTCGCACTATACATAAAGTTCTTTTCCATCGGAAGTAATGTCTCGAAGAATCTAGGAATGTTCGTAGTTTTTATTTAACGAATAGGCAATTTAAGGATGTCTCCATGACGAATCCACTTGTAATTCCTTTTTTTTTTTAACTGTATTGATTCTGATTAATTGCGTGTTTTTCTATTTCTCTGTAAATTTTAATTTAAATGAGTAAGTTTTTTTATGTCTTGCATACACCGTTTGAGTTTAGTTATGAACCCTCTCAGAGGTTTCTATTTTTATGATTATAAAATAGCCTTATGTAATCCGCATTTGTGTATAATTACGGTTTATTTTGGTTAATAAACAAATCCGTTTAAAAACCATCCAAGTTTTTGTTTGTAGATTCACAATTTATTTATTAGTTCAAATGAATAAGTCGATGGCTATGTTAGAAAACGATATAATTTGACTTTTATTTCACTCTAACATAATCACAATTGTATAATTTATACATCCACATACAAGTTTAGATGATTCTCCAATTTGTATACATAAGACATTATACATAACGCCCTAAGAAAAGTTTAAGGAAATAAATAATGTGTGATTTCAATGATTTATCTTTTGTGATACAAATTGCGAATTGTAAACTTGTCGATACAGAAGTATTTGAAAATTTTTGATACTAAAAAAACCATTAACACATTTTAGTTATTATAACTACGTAGTGTTCCTACAAAATGTAATTTTTGAACGAACTTAAAATTAAGTTGTTACTCTTGGAACACATTATACAATTAATACATACATAAGTAGTTTTATAGCTAAAACGTTGGCACAATCGAAATACATTTTTTTTAATACAGAAAAATTGGATAAAATCGATTTCATCGTCGAAGCAATGTTTGCTGCATAATTTCCACCTAATTTAATCGAAAAGTATTGAATTTTGAATCCTTTATATACATTAATACTAATAAATATTACCATTGTATGTATAAACTTTCATTTCCACATATCTTACGTATTTTACAATAATCTCAATCGTAATCAGTTGCAAACAAAAAACATACAAACGTGGCATTTAAAAATTCCTCATCCTCAGTAAAAAAAAATTACTTCCTTCTCTGCCTAAACATCTCCCGTTCGCGCTTCTTCGAATCCGCGTTCCTCAACACCTCCGCGTAGGAGAGATCCAATTTCTTCAGCTTGTTCAAGTCCTGCGAGGCGGTGCTCGGCTTGAACTCGTACTTCACGCTGCCCTGGCTGGGCGTCGGCGAGGCCAAGTTCCTATTCGAGTAGAATTGCAGCGTGTTGCCGTTCCAGCACGACGCCGGATCGACCGCCTCCTGGCTCCTGTTGCCCGACTTCTCCCTGCGGCGCCTCCCCGAGTTCGGCCTGCTCGAGTGGTAGATCTTCGGGCTGCCGATGATGTGCGTCACCGGCGAGTCCGATCGCTCCACGTACTTGTTCTTGCGCTTGGACGACGATCGCTTCCTGGACTCGCTGCCCATGTAGTCCAGGGGCGGCTTGACGAGCGGCCGCAGGAGCCTCTGCTCGCCGGAGCGCTGCGCGTCGGGGATCGGCTGGTTCTGGGACTGTATGATGTTCTCGATGATGGTGGTGGGCTCGTTTTGGGACGTGGATAGTTCGGACATGGTGGAGGACACGACGCTCTGGCTGTCGTCGTCTGGAAAGTCGGGGAGCTGGTCGTTGGATGGCGTCACGGGGGGAACTTTGGGGGTTAGTTTGATCGGCGCGTAATCGTCGAGGAGGGGTAGATTGTCTTCCTCCTCTTTGTTTTCGGCGGCTTTTTTGAGGACGTTGAAGATCTCTTTGAAGAGGTCGCGGTACTCCGGCCTGTCTCTGAACCTGGATTCGATCGGGCCGCCGTCGTCGTAGATGCTGAACTTGCAGTCGTCGCCGTCGGCGATGGTGCACAGGAAGGCGCCCACCCGCCCTTCGGTTTGCGTGGCTTTGTTGCTGGTTTCCTCCTGGAAGCCGGACGAGCTGGTCTCCGCCTCGGAGAAGTCCGTCGGGGTGGAGAACGTTTTCCTCGTCTTCTTGTGCTGGAGGCTGTCGCCGTGGCCGCTCTCCTCGTCGGTGTCCTTGGTGCTGGTGCTGGTGAATTCGCCGGAGATTTGCATGTCTTCGTGTCGAGTCAGCGGCGTCGTTTTCGCGGATTTGCTGTGGATTTCGACGAGCGCCTCGTATTTTTCGACCAGCTTTTTGTAAGGGTTATTCTTTTTGGTTTGCGTCTGCGTCGATTGGGGGTACGCCTAAAACAAAAAGGGCTATTTTTTGTGTTCTTTTGGAGAAGATTGAAATTTGGATCGTAAGCGGATAGACTTGGAAATTGGACGTCACGTTCTAGAAGTAGCACAAAAATATATGTGCAGTAAATGCAACACACATGCAACAATTAGTGAAACGAAATAAAAAAAAGCAACTCGAGTTGACTGTTAAATTTCATTCTTTCGGAAAGTGTGAAATGAAACTAAATAATCTTAACAAAAAAATCGAATTTATTAATGAAAATACATCAACAAAAGCGATAGGTAATATACATTCACTACAGTCTACGGAATTTACAGTGATTTTAACGGACGTACACAAAATGGCACAAAAAGCGACAGGCAATTTTTCGAATAGAAAAGGATCTTTGACAGAAGAATGAAATTGTTTCTCTTATGCAAATTATCTCGGGAAATTTATTGGAAATTCCATTTCCAGTTCTTCGCTAGAATATAAACTTTGTGTACCTACAGTAATACTTAATAAAATCACTATAAACAAAATATATTGCACCAAAATATTAATACAAGCTATAAGTAACGTATCTATAAATATCACATTAATAAAAGAAGTTAAATTAGAATAATTTAAGCTTGTATGTTAATTAATTTTAAATTCGAACCAGTTCAAACAAAAATCCATATTAGACTCGGTTTAATCAATTTTCTACAATACATATTAGAACTTAAATTAGGATACATTATTTTATAGTAGTAGATATTATTTCAACTGGTTTCTATTAGATAGGTAATTTTTCAAGATGATTTGCAATCACCTTTAAAAGTTAATATTTACAATTTAACATAACACAATTCGAAATTTAGGCCATTGTGTGATGCTAAATTTTTGTTAAAGTATTTACAAAACTTAAAAAAACAGCAAAGTAATATTCTTAAACCCTATTATCACCAGCATTATTCGTAATCGCAGGTTATTCAGTTAGGCAATTTAATAATACGCTCGGCAATCGCGTTAATAAAGAGCCGTTCAGTCAAAAAACAAAAATTTTATTTTGACCGAGCACATTATTTTCATTCGGATGAATTCCTTTAACCCTGCGTGGTTATTTTTTCGTCTGCGTTCGTAATGGTAATGTTGAGTTCACGTGTTTTGCACCAGAAGAAAAATTATACAAACATTTTCGAGAAGACGAAGAGCAGATGTAGAAGTCGATGGAGTAGAAAAAAACTATTCTTATAAAAATGATCCAATAATATAAAATATAAAGTGTCCAATTATTTTTAACCAATGAATATGAGCTATGAGAAGAAAACTTGAAGAGTTCAAAAAGGATTCGTATTTTATTAATTGCATAGAAGCCTTCAAATTTGTGGACAGGGGAACCTGAGAAGGAAGATTTCTTTAATCACTCCAACTTTACCATTACGCGAGTTAAATCGGAAGCGTCACATACCTTAAACGCGGACGGAACTGCCCTTTATTGCAATTTATGCTTCAGGCAGTAGTGGAAGAGGACGAAGGGAATCTTGAACGATTTGGATAGCAAAGGAAAGAGGAGAGTGTCCTTCAGGTAAAGGCAGAAGTCGAATAACACCGACAGGAGGTTCATTGTCGGGGATATCCATGTTATCGACATGGACAAGTCCCTTTGGAGAATTTCCGCCAGGTGTTTGTCCTAAAGAAAAAAAAATCACCAAAAAAAATACAACTATGAGGCTGTGCTGTTGAATGGTTTTGCATGTATGTATTCAAAAATTATGAGTAAATGTAAACATTTTGTGACGATATAATATACTACAGCAATGCACACATATTAGCTAAAATACAGCAGTTCATGCGAGAAAAAGAAGTAACAAGATTGCCATTATTCACAGTGCTAAAAACTACAGAAGAGCGCACACTAAACCACCACAAAAAAAAGTGTATAAAAAGCGTTTTAAGGACAACATTTAATCTTCTTACAACATTTTTGGCATTGAAATCACAGGTTGGACGTTGAAACACTTCAGTCTTGGAATTCAAGTCGCTTAAAACGCATTTCAAATGAAGCACGGTTTGAAACTGAGAAAGCCGAGGAACCTGACAAGCATATTCTCTCTACTGTCGCTCACCTGCACGTCCATCGAGAACGAAGAATGGAATTGCGGCGTCATCAGCGACTCCGTCATGCTGGAGTCGTCGTTCTCCATCGCCTCGTCGTCGTTTTGCTCGGCGCTCCGCAAGCACCTGCTGCACAGCTGCCCTTTCCTGCGCACCCAAACCCGAATTAAACCAACACCGCCCGCCAACCCTTCGATCGCAACAAACCTGACTTCCTCCAATGTGGTGAGCTCCTCGTGGATGCTCTTCATGTTGAGGTCGTCGTCCTTGTGCGCCAGCTGGACGACCTGGTTCTCGAGCGCCTGGTTTTGCTGCACCAGCGTGGCCAGCTGCTCCTCCAGCTCGGCGATGCGCCTCTCGTCCCTGCCGCATTGGGATCTCGCCTTGCTCAGCTGCGCGAGGAGCTGCGCGATCTGCTCCATGTCCTCTTCGCTTCGCTGAGGAACGGCGTCGGAGTGCTTCGAGGTGTTCGACGTGAGAGAGTTGAGTGAGTCGACACGTTCCTTCGAAAGGTTGTCGGTGAGTTAATGGATGATATAGATGGTAGATTTGGACTTACTTCATTGTGTTGTGTCGATGGTTTTGAACTATCTACTTCGTCTGGTGGTAGAGTGGAGCGGGGCGAGGGCGTTGAGGGGTCGTCTTTGCTAGAGGGCTTTTGGGATTTTCGTTTGAGCGTGTCCAATTGTATCTTTAAATCGTCGATCGTGGTTTGGAGTTCTTCTACTTTCGTTTCTAGAGTGTCTACGTTCAGGTTTAAATTCTGTTCGGAGCAAACGATAATCATTTATACACTTCCTATTAGAGTAATTTATTAGGTTGCTTACTTTAATTGTTTTCTTTTCCGCGGCATTTTCGAGTACCAGTCGATGGTTGGCCCTTTCTAAATCTTGAATGCTGACTTCCAGTTGTTCGTATATCCGGAGCCTGGAGTCGTTGACTTCTCGAAGGGCGACGGTTTGTTTGGTGAGATACTGTGGAAAATAAAATTGATTTTGGGCGGATTTTTGTAAAAAAATTATTTCTAACGAGCTCGAATTTCAATCGCATGTGAGTGGATACCTATTACGAGAAAAATAATAGCGTTTGATTGATAGCTTTATTATTTTTACTAATGACTTGTAATATTGCGAGGAGATCAGGAACACGCAACCGGATTTAATGTGAGGTTGGTTAAAATGTTATTTGTTGTACTCATTATTAGTCAGCGCATTTTCTATTAACTGGGTTCGTCTTCTTTCAGATATATCTACTAATGCGTGTAATGATGTTACCCATTATTTAACGCTGGCAATTCTGCTATGTAGGTACCTTCAACGGGCACAAAGAAATACTTACCTCAATTTCTTGAGCTTGGTCTTCGATGACATTCTGGTGCTGCTTCAGGGCGGTTTCCAATTCCCGGTTCCTTTCTAACAGAGTTTTACCCAATTCCGCTGCTAAATGCAGGTCTGTAACAAAAACATAAGTAATCAAAATCACTTTATCTCTTTGAATTATTCTATACTAGCAATTATGCACCGGAGTAAACTTAATTAATTAGTTAACACGATGGGGAAAACGGATCGACGAACTTGTCGTGACAACGCTGAAAGTAACATGTCCGTCGACAAGTGATCCATTTCCAGCTCCTGCGACGGCAATTACGGAAAATTTAATTGGTGTAGAAACAATATCAATAATAATCATTAGGTTTTTTGCGATGGCGTGTTATCGAGTTTATTCCACTTGTATAAAGCGATCGAACGAGTCGCGAAGAAATCGAAAGACCGTTTAGAAAACGAGTCGATTCCTCTTCGAAAGGGAAATTCCGAATGGTTTGTTTGTTTTTGAAAAGGAAAGCGAACGACATTTCGTCGTTTCGATTTTTTTACCTGGTATTAAAATATCCTGCCTTCATTTAATTCTAATATTTAGTTTTCGTTGGTAAACCACAAACCAACGCTGAAATCTCGATGGTTTTTGTTTACCCATCGTAATTGCTATTGCGAGAGAAATAAATAAAAATAATGAAGAGTTTGGTTGAATTGTTTTGTGCATCTACAACACAGTATTTTCATTGTATTGTTTTATTTTGATCGAGCCCTTTCGAATACACATTAAATCTTGTACTGTTGAATGTAGAAAAAAAATTATACAACAACTCACTTTAGCACATATTTCATTTTCAAACGCAATTTCGCTGAATTAAAGCTGCTGGCGTAAAATTAAAAGAGCGTATACTGGCAAGTTATTCGAAGAATGCGAAGATGGCGCGTTCTTGTACCAGTTTCATCAACGCTATGAATAAAGTAAGAAATTTTAGCAATAAAACGGTATTTATATAACAGTTTCGTAATTATATTGTTCATTGATCAATTTTATTACATGCAAATTTAGAAAAGTAAAGGTTTGTAGAAAATCCTCGGGTTAATTCTAACACAAATAGAATGGGGTATGGGGTCGGGGTAATAGAGGATTAGGTGGTGTACCTGTAATGTTTTAAGAGGAATAAGATAAGAAGGGTTTCTTAGAAACTGGGAGTTATAAGCAGTGGTAGGGAGCTATAAACGACAGATAAGCAACATTGTAGAGCCAATTATAATAGTACCTATATGTAATAGAGTACAATTTAGAAAAACATAGACTATAATTCGAATTTTGCATGTATCTAAAAGTTGTTTTTTGCCATTGAGTACCGCACGTTTAAAAATACAATAGATAAGATAATTATTCTAATTTTGTAGTACTTTACTCAAAGTGCGTTCTAATTTTTACATTATTTACCAATCAACTTTTGTATTTGTTTTGCAAAGTAAAAATTTTCCAGAGTTTTCATTACCTAAAAGGAATGAAATTCGTATTTTCGGACCGTGTTAAAAAAACACGAAAATTATTTTAGCAATGCCAAATATGCCTATTATAAAACGATTGAATTATAAGATTATCATCACGAATATTTGTTTTTTCAAAGAAAATTTGCAAAAAGATAAAAACATGTTTTAAATACCTATAGCAATAATTATACGTATGCATCAACCCGCAAGACAATACCTGGATTACTGTACAAATATTTAGGTACAAAGAATATTAATATTGCAGCAGTTAATAAAAGTAAATAAAAAATATTATTTATAAATATTCGTATATAAAATTACGGGCCACAAAATTAACTCAACGAATAGCTAGCTACCTTCGTTTCCTTGAAGACATTCCAACTCGATGGAATAATCCCAAAAGTCCAAAGAACTCAGAGAATTCATCGCCGTCGGACTTTCCGGTTCGTCGTTCATCATCACAATTCCACCGCAACAATCGATCGATCACACGCGAAAATCAATTCGATCCGGAGGGAAACCCCAACGGCATGTTCGCCGAGAAAATCCCTTCGCCTATCCAGAGGAACTCCACACTAACCGCGGTACTATTCCTACATATTACCCGTTAATAACAATCGCAGTCTTGCAAGAGCGAGTACCAGCCGGTGCGCTCCGTAATCATTACTCGATCGATCTTTTTGTTCGAGCGCTGCGAGTACGATCACCTGCGAACCATCCGGTAACCAAGGCAACGCGGTACTGCGGTTTAATGTTAAAGGAGTACTACTGTCGCCGAGAGAAGAACGCCGAGCGACTGTTCTACAGGTAGGCAGAGAGATAAATAAACAAGAGTGCAGTTGATGGTTCATTGGGTACTATAGGCACCTATAGGTGTATTGTATTTACTAAGGTGTATAGTAAAATTGGTATTTACTCAGTGGTTCTGTTATGTTAGTACCTACTCTGGTTTAAACGCCATAGGTGTGTTAAATTAGAGGTTCATCACCTTGCATATGTAATTTGTGGTTTAAAATTTATGAATTTTTGTACCTATGTATGATAAGATGAGATTTTATAATAATATGAACTTTCTTCATATAAATATTAACTGCATATTGTATATAGGTAACAAAAAGGCCTCTAGTTTATTAAGAATTAAATTGTTTCTAACTGTTCCGAGTTGTAAGAAAAATGAGTGAAAAAATTCAAAAGATACTACATATCCGTTTAATTTTCTGATCCGTTAGTTACTCTAATAAGTTGGAATTGAATATCGCATAAACTACACCTATTATTACGATTAAATTGCTTTTATTTAATTGAAATTTCTTGTCTATAACGATTTTAATACATTCGTATGCAGGTTTTATAGCAGTAAAAAAATTATTTTAAATATACCAGCGTTTACAGAGTGCAAGATTAATCGAGAATTAATTTTTATTGCATCTAATATGTTGTACCCCGAATAAGCGTCATTATGTATCAGGTAAAGTTATGGTTTTTTATGGAAAACCCCATCCTATTTAAATCTGGTAGAAAATGAAGGGAAACATTAAACAACCCGACGAGACACTTAGTGGAAATCAGTCGGGGATGTTTGCGGTGCAATTACGAGAAGAAATCGTCGGTTCGTTTCGAAAATAAAAAGTCGATTACCTCCGAAAGTTATCTCGACCGAAGTCTACTGCTTTAACGGATCACTGATCGTTACATCGAATTATTTTTCAATTTGCTTCGAAAAGTTCACTACAAGAGGTGCCGGGAATATTACAAAATAATTTCGAAGGCGGTTAAATTAATCTTCGACCGACGGCATAGCGAATGAACGCTTCTTTAAACCGCAAAATTTCGAACGCAGGCATTGGCATTGAAACGAGGAAAAGGAAACTTATAAAGTGCAGTTCGATAAATTATTTGGTATAGGAAAAAAACTATTTATTTCAATAAATTAATTGTAGTTTGAGGATTTTCGTTTCTGTAGATAATAAACAATTTGTCTACTTTTTTACAACTATCAATTAACCATATTGAAATTTGCTAATCATTATTTTGGGAAAACCTAATGGAATTCTATAAATGCTTTACTAGCCAATTTATAATTTATTATTAATGTCTGCGGATATATCAGATTATTTAACATGAGTATGTTAAGTAGAAAATTATTATCTACTGCTAGGAACTATAACTATTGTCAGTAAATTATCGTAAGGTAAATACTACTAACAATCTTGCGGCGGTATAATATCTATAATATACATAAACACTTTCTTTTTCTAAAATCAACATCACGTTTAAAAAATTAGCCCAGTTTAACCGTTTTCGGTCGTTAGTTTCGATTTATATCTTATAAAATTATACCGCAAAACCTACGAATCCTTAATAGTTCATTTCACCGCTAAACTTAATACATATCAGGTTAATTTATCAAAATTCGGTAATTTACTTGGTATCTCGTTCACTTTCTTTAGTTGCGGCCTAAACAACTGGGGTTATTCAGTCACAACTGCCATAAAACTCGAGGTGAAATTGGAATTTTTTTTTCAATTAACATCAGATAGTTGGCAATTATAATTTATAAATTACCTGTTATTAACAATATGTGTGAAAATTTAAAAAATATACGTCGTCATCCTTGAACTTGAAACAGAACGTAAGTGTGGGTATTATTGACGATTCGCGGTTGCGGTGATTCGCAACGGAAAGAATAAATTAATTTTTATTTCTCTTTCGAAAGAAACGTTATATAAATTTTATACGGCGTATTATCGCAATACGAATTTTTTACGCGAACATTACGCATCTAGAACTCGCAAATTAACCAAAATTCGGTATTGCATATAATTGAATTTACTAATAAAAGTTGCAAGAACAAGTAAATTAACTAATGTAATTAGCCTTTTTACATTCAAAATGATATGGAATATCATGTTGTACGTTCTGTTGTAATATTTTCCTACTTAATTATTATTTGCATTAGATATTATTATCTACTACTATTCGCTAAATCAAACCAGTCAACTTACAACGATTATTTTGATATATTTTGATAGATTTCAAAATCGTTTTCAATTTTATTATCAATCCACTCGAGAGTCCTAATCGCTAATTGCAAATTAACATCCACTTTGCTATTAACCTCGATTCCATTCCAGCCGTTCGTGCGAATTGAAAATAAGCGATGTGACTAAAAACACAACATCATGCAATGCACCTAAAATACCCGGTGTACCAAAGAAAATTCGCGAGAAAGCGAAAAATAACAAGGGAAATTAATTCTACTCCAAATTTTATGCAGAAAAAATGTAAAGTAAAAGTTAAAAAAAGAGTATGAGGATAAACAGGTGTGTAATGTATATTGAGTGATAAATATAGGGATATTTGCCCACCCAGTATTTTGGCAAATACTCGAATATTTTAAAGCACTTAGCGCTAACTTTCCAAAGCCTTATAGTCTTTTACCCGGCGCAGCTTCTTCTTTTTTCTTTACGAAGAAATGATGAGCCGGAAATTGCAGTCTTGTTCGTGTCGAATAATTATTTTTGCCGTTCGATTCTACGTGTTTTACTATTATTATAAGTTACCTGCTATTTATCGTTGTGGAGCGTTTTTCAATTTGCTTTCACGCATTTCGTACCGTCGCTTTTCTAGTATTCAAATAGCGGAGAAATGGCGCTTTTTGATTTATATCAAACGGAGTGTTCTGAGAACTGAGCGATTCTTGCCAGAAATGATTTTTGCCAGAACAATTGCGGATATCTCGTCTGATTTTCATGGTTTAAATCGCGAATGGACATCGACAAAAAACGTTCGGAAACTTTCATTTCGCTTAATCGCATAAGTAATAAGCACATACTTCCTATTTTCTATATTATTCGATGGTTGGATTGTGTATAAAATTTAATTAGCTCACAATTGAACGGCTGTTTAATTTTGTTTATTCTGCGGTGCAAATGATCCAGAAAATTGTAATTTCTACACAATTTTCTCTTCGTTTTGTTAACTCCCATTCTGAATTTTTACTAGTTATTTGCAAACATTTAAAGAGACTTCTTGGTACAATTATCGCAAATACAGACGAGCTCGTAAATCGTAGAAATTGTCGGAAGTTGAAGTTAATTAAGAAATTATCTCTTTATGTGGAAACAACAACTGCTTGTCTCGTCATTCTAACGAGAAAAATTTTAAAATCCGTTCTGTTCCTATGCTAAACAACAGGTAGTATTATAAAATTTATGAATTTTGTGCTTGTCAATATGAAATCGAAATCGTGTTCAATCGAAGAAGCAATTTGTAATATTTTGTAAACATTTCATTCAAGGTTTGTTACACTCTAACAGACATGAAACGAAAATCAACGCAACAACGATCAAATTAAGCTCGTCTTCTGCGATGGGAAAATAAATTACATTCGAAAATTCGTTTTGTTCGAATCGCTCATGTTACATTATTTTGTATTAACAAATTACTGATCGCCTTATGGCGTAAAAGAAAAGCAGAGATTATTAATATGCGAGAACAAAAAATCGTCTTATTAATGCAACAACGAAAAAAGTAAATGAAAGATTGATGAATCATAAATTCGTATTTAATTGCAGGTCTGCCGAACAGGCTATTGCCATTGGGCGTCTTTAAATTGATAATATTCAATTATGAAATTCGAAATTGAAACTTGACACTGCTTTAATCACAGGTAAAAGGCCACAGGGTTTCCGTATACAAGCGCTATTATAGATCGATATATCACCAGCACACGGTAAAATGTGTATATTTGTTAATTTTGGTACATAACATTTATACTGCACTGAATAGCTCTGATGGAGGAGGATAAATTTTGATAAGAGAAAAGAAAAGGAAACTTTAGGAATTTCCTGAACGATTCTTTAAGCGGGAGTCGTTATTGCTGTATCGTTTGAGCTATTTTGCTATTTTCTAAAGGCGATTGAAGTCCGGCCTATCCATCAAATCAGATATTGTAAAAGTGATTTTCGCCGTTAGATTCTCCTCAACCGTGGATGAAGCCGCAATCGCAATCTCCTCATATTCATAGGCGTGTGTTCGCGAATTTCCTGAACCTTTTAATTCCAATTTTAATCCAATTATCCAACAAACACAATACATTTATCGTGTACTTGAAAAACGCGAAAATAACAATGATAAACTGTTATTTTTATCGAGCTCGTCTCGTGCATAAAACGAATTTCACGAAAAAAATTAAGGCACGACAATGCCAATTTATTCGCAGAATCAAAATCACGATTCAATATGATATACTTAGGAATCGACACGCATGGGCGACAGCCGGAATGCATCACTTTAATTTCAAGAGATGCATCAGAAATGCTGTTTTATTGGGTACAAAAAGTCCGATATATTCATGTTAATTGTTACACATAGGAAATGCTTTAATTGCTATATTTACAGGCGTTATCAATTTTTTGATTGAAATGCAACTTCCATAGAGGTGTGTTATAGGATTATCTACTTGTTTGGTAGTTAAGTAGATAATTGCTTAAAGCTCATAAATAATTTAAACAAACCGCCAGACAATTTAATGCGGGTCATGTCTTATTTTTATCAAATATAACGTTACGTAAGGCCTCTTGCATACTCGATAGAGTTGTTTGGTCGCCACCTACATAAACATCAAACCGTGATTCACAATCCGCATTGAATTGTGTGGGAAATTTCTGACTTTTACCAATTTGCGCTTTACTTTCGGAATTAGCGGTTTAATAAGGAAAAAAATGGAATGTTACGAAAACGAAAAGACCACGCCACATACCTCGCCAGATTAAATAACAATAAGAATTCCTAAAAGGTTTTCTTTCGAGCCAGTTAAAGCTCTTTGAAACTAGC